CCTAATGACCCTAATGACCCTAATGACCCTAAATGGTGAATTTTGTGAATAGCCTTGTAGAGTGGACCCCAATGAAGAGCTCGGTGGAAAAAATAGTGCCAAGTGTCCTCCATCACGAAAAATATTGCAATCTGATATGCCATAGTCCAAGGAGATGGAAATGGGATCGACGTTGATAGACCGAAGAACTGTGCCATTGGGTGGAAAAGCCTGGAAGAGCCGTTATTACTCATTTGGGCCCCAGAGGCAAACGTCGGGTAGAATACCACTCTGTCAAGGGCAGGACCATACCAGATTTGAGGAAGTTCAACCGTGAAGTGGCTCAGAAGCACAAACTTGGCGCAGTCCCATTGCTCGCGTAATGAAGGTACTTTGCTCTGAAGCGGAATATTAGTTTCAATGGCGGCTGGAATTAGGTTGATTTCGGCTAGTGTCAGGTGTTAGGCTTGCCACTTACACTTTGAATCTTGTATCTGTTGAAGAAAGCCAAGCTATCGATGAAGATCCACGGAAGAGAGCGGCCGAAGTAGAACAACTCGTGGATGACGAAGGACATGATGCCGGTGGCCAGGACATCATTCTGCACCCACGCATACCATGCGACCCACAATCTCTCTGCCACGCTCAGGTGGGTGTTATATTTGGCGATATCATGATATTGGCCCCAATAGGTGCCGGGGGGCAGCACGGTAGAATTCCTAGGAACAAAAGAGTCAATATGCGACAAATTCCACAAAAGAGTATAGTTTAACCACACATGGGGGGAAGGGTGCAAAAAGGTGGAGGAGATACAGACATTGTGGTTCCTAGCAGGTCTTGAATAAGAGAGAAGAAGCAGAGGATGAGAGAAGGAGAAGAATATTTTGTTTTCGTGGAAAAGGGAGTAAACAAAGAAAGGATCTGGGGGAGAGTACTATGTGGGGCTCGGATGGCACCCGGCCTTTCTGTGGCCTGACGTTTATGTTCTGGTTCCCGGTCTCCACCGTTCGGGAATAGCCTGCTCCGAGTTATTAAAAGCAGTACTGGTTCTCACAGTATATGAATAATCTGGTAGGGCCACGAACAGACAGTTTCCGCAGGTGTCACCCGTGGCCGCAGCTTGTAATTACGGTAATTTTCTCGATTGTATACACCTCTAAGTTGTGATCATTGACTGCGGCTGTTAGTCGGTGCCTTAGTGTGGACCCGTGGCCCACCCTGCTCTCAGAGGCAGAGTCATGTGTGGCTAGAAATGACTGTTATAGCCTTGTATTCGACTCCCCGCTATAGAGAGACTTTACTGTATGTGGATCGCAAAGGTGAGGTAGATTCGAACGCAGTTTCCGGGCCCGAATCCAAATTCGCGTTTCGCCCAAGCGTAGCCCTAAGCTATCAAGGTGTCTTGCATCCTCGCTCGCTCAATCATTCAGTCCGATGCATGGCTAAGCATCTTGTGTCAAAGGAAAACTATCATAGCTTCGCAAAAGGGCACCCGCCACTTTCCCTCGCCATCAACTTCGCCATTGACGCTTCAAACTCCACTCGCCCTTGCCCACCCATCGCTCAGGTCGTGGCTAGGTTTGGGAACTGAATCCATAACAAGTTAGTTCCTACCTGCCCTGAACCTGCACTGAACCGCACCGAATGCCACTGTAATTATAAGTCTTCAAGCCTTGGTTATGGGTGGTACTATTACCTGGAATACGCCTATTAGACTGCCACTCTAAAATATGCATATACCAGACAGTGCACCACAAACACAGCACCTATTCGTTTCTCGCGTAGACACTGATCATATCTGTACCCATCCCTATCTCATGTGTCCGCTGCGGTTGTATGTATAATAGCCTGGTACACTCTCCCGAACCAGTTATCCCACGAGATGAAAGGAGGTCCCAGTAGACCCCCTTTACTCCCCATGGCGGCCCGGGGAGCGAAGGGTCTTTGTACATGGGAAACTCCAGGCACACAAGAACACCCCTAGGATTAAGCAGCGACATCATACGCTCCGCCCACGCAGCGCGCCGAGTCGGGTGTAAGGCGCACAAAAACTACATTATGACACATGAACGGTATCAGCCCCAAATTCATGTAATGTTACCCTCGATGGTATAGAATTGATGAATCATTCTCTGCCCGAATGAGAATAAAGGAGCGACTTACTGTGTAGTCGTATACGAGGTCGAACTTCATATCATTGTGGGACCAATCGGTGGCGAAGAAGTCACCTTGTAAGAATTCAACCACTCCGCGATCAGCAGAGTGGGTCGGTGGCCAATCCCCTATCTTCGGCCCATGGCCGAAATTGTAGGCTTGCGGAGCGGTAAGCTCCTTTGTTGCATAGGCTTTTGCTTCTGCCACGGCTGTGGCTGAAACTTCTAATCCGTATGCATCAAAGCCATGGAGACTTAACATAACAACTTCGTAGCCTCGGCCACAGCCCTAGGTGGTTTAGTTAGTTGTCCCTAACTTGGTACTTCGTTTCTAATTGATCCAATTGATTGGACCTAGCTGGGATGCAGGGGGTAGGTGCCCTAACCGGTACAAGAGCCTTCTTGCGCCTACCATCAGGAGTAAATGGGTGGAGTATATCTTCAGAGCGACTATAATTTTCGATGATATCAATCAGTGCAGGTGAAGGCTTTCCTCGGTCCCACAGATCGCTCTTTCCGGTGTCCCAGAGATTGGACCAACCAGAACCGTGGTCTTGCACTGAGCTATATGTTTTATCAGTATTTGACCCCTGTGTTGTTATGGTTTTGACTGATGTCTAGATAACGCTCAAGCTTACCGGTCCTCAAATTCGGAGATCAGCACACCTTTTCGAAAAGACATGTTTTCAATCAAGCTCGATGGTCAGAAGGTACGTGGTGGACATTAGCAAAAGCACTGTTGGCAGTGATATTCCTCGGGTGCTATGGCAAATTATATAGCTTTTACTTCGGCCTTCCCTTGCAGATACTCTTGGATTTGTTGGGATGCTGACTGCAATTCTTATGACAGGACCAGTAAGAATAATGCCGCATGAGACTTGGTTCGCCACTGCTACTCCTGTGCTTCTCTAATCAATGTCCTCAAAGGCTACCCAACGTCATTGAAATGGCTGGAACGAATATATTGAATTTATACTAGCTGATCCTTTCCTTTCACTATCAACTGCTAAACCTAATCTCATCATCCCAGTTTGACAACGCTAGTTCCCTTTTCTTTACTATTTTATTTTTTTTAATTTTTTTTTCTTTTATCAATACGCCTCTCATCAACATAAGTTAGTATTCTGTAACGTAGCAACTCTTGGGCAAGTGATTAAGATTCCGAACCCTGAATTATCTCTAGATATTAACTGCTAAATATTAGAAAATTCGGCCTATCTGGGGTTATATAACATTTGTTATGATGAGAAGGTTGTAACACAGACAAAGCATGAAATGTCTTGACAACAATAGACTAACTCGAAGTCATTCTCAAGCCAAGATGGCAACCATTTGTTGACGATTACTATAACTAGGGATGGAGTAAGCTATAAATCATATTCATTCTGATTGTGATTTCACGCGCGCAACAAAATATCAAGATGCCAACATTGCCACCTCCGACATGTCGTAACCATTTCTTACTGGGAACCTCTATTTTGTAAATTGAAGGCCCGTTGCTCGCTCGTTATCGGTGTATTTGGAGGGTCTTGTCCCATCACTTCTCTTTAGTAAGGCTTCCCACTGTATGTGGTAGTTGGGTGAATCTTCCCTCCCCAGGCCCGGACCGTAGATCTACTGAGCTCCATTCCGCTGCCTTCAGCAACAACTCTTCAGTGTTCCTTGTCAAAGAACAGCCATCCAGAAAAACTGGCCAGATAATATTTATGGCAGCTGCATCCCACAAGGATACCTGTTAGTGGAACTGGGTATTCTCACAGGGTGGGTTCGATTATCAACACACCTTGCCAATATGCAATGAGAGCTCCCTTTCCCTTGACCTTGACATGCTCATAAACCAACCATTGTCCTCCTGGCTTCAGATAGCGATACAGGTCTTTGATCAATATGTGAGGCTGGCTAACACTGCACAGGACATGCACTGTAGTGATAGTGTCAATTGATCCTGTTTGTATTCCTATCTTTTCCAGGCTTGTGGTGCCGTTGCCAAGGATCTCATATCGGCCAGCGAGGCCATGCTCCTCTGCCGTCATCTTCAGTGAATGATGGAAATTTTCGTTTGGCTCCAGCAGCAAAAGCTTGGATATATTGGGGTTTCGCCTGGGCGAAAACAAGTACATCCACGCCCCTGAGCCAGGCCCAACATCAAGAACCACACCACTAGCGCTGGCCAATACAGTTTCGACATCACTGGTGAATAGTGGCATTGACACGGAGCCGAAAAAAGCCCAGAAGCGTTCAAACCACGCGTTCTGGAAGGCGTGCCATGATACTAGGTGAGAGAATTTCAAATCTTTCAGCAAAAAGACAACAGTAATGGGCAAGTAGACCACTGTGAGAAGAATCATAAGAACAGGAACAAGAAGGTCCAGCGGCCCGAAGCTGAACATGATGACTTTCCACGCTCAGCGTAGTGGACCAGAAAAGGTAGATCAGAGATGACACTGATATCGATACAAGGAGGAAGATTATAGATTAATCAAAAGCCGTATCTAATAAACTCATTATATACTGCTCCAAGTGTGTAGGTGGCAAGAATTGCCAATGGTGTAGCTCGTGACTGTTGAAGTGTACAGGCCATCATCTGCCCCACACCTCCAGTATATCCTATGCATGTATGTCCGGTTTAGAAAATCAGGTTTGTGTAAAGTTTCCTCAAAGAGGTTATTATATACTATGAAATAGCTATTCATGCAAGTACTGAAGACTAGGGGTAAAGATACTCACTGCAAGGAGGCCCTGATGCGGCACGCCTAAAAGAGTCGCGCCAACTGTCTGTAAATTACAAGAACACGGCTCCAAGAGTCCGTTTGAGATAAGCGCGTGCATTATTTGGCATTTGCCTTGATAAATATGGACAACTACAGCAAACTATTCGATAATGGTAACTAATCAGGACCCAACAGAGTGTTGCCTCGTTTTTCTATGTACATACGCCCCGGATACTAAAGATGGTGTCTAACAAGACTATCGTGCGAGGAGTAGAGTAGTGTGAAAGCTGCAAGCACATCTGGAAGGGCCAGTGTCCTAACCAATGTCAATCTCTGTTTGTACAACTGTACTATACAAAATGCCAGAGATTTACAACAATGTGGATTCATGTTAGCACCACCAACCTAGTTATTTGCAAATTACCATTTGAGCATCATGCTATAAATTCGAAGCAATTGATAAATTTATCACCCCAGCAATAAATCAAGTCTGTAAGGTTTGTCAACATACAATCAATCATATATATCCAGGGAAGGCTAGATGATCTAAATCACATTGTAACTCTATGGTAAGAAGTCGACTATTACAACCTGTCGAGACGGGACAGCTGCTACCTGGGCAGCAAAGGGATTCGGAAGCAACCTATCTGCAGGGCAGAAAAAAGGAATGGTGTAAAGCACATATTTTCAACAACAAGGCAACCTCAGCACATCATGACATCGTCGAGTCTTGGTTGAATATTCCCACAGACAGACGCCACGGGAGTTTAGGGTGTGGAGAGCGTGTAGCACGGGACTATTATCCGTGGACGTGATAGAATTAAGCCTAATCAAGTATCCAAGAGCGGGCAGAGTGTTCGACATGAAGTTTGTATCACCTGTTTCCTGAGAAATTTTACAATATCTGGGAGCAGTGGCCTAATTTCATTCAAGACAGAAAATGATAAACAGAAACAATATGCCCATGAAACCCCTCACATATGGATATTTATATAATAGATACTGTAAAAAACACGATCACAAGAAAATCATGTCACAGACCTTGAATATCTCTGAAAACATCTTGGTGACTAACGTGTACAGATATCCACTTCCTGCCCCATGAATTATAATAAGTACAGAGTTTACCTGCTAGAAATCTCGTGGCATGTTTAGTAGATCTAAACACTTGCCTTTTCCTTGGTAAGGGTGTCAAGAATGAGGCATTTACTGATTTTTCAATTTCTCCTATTTCTATTATATCAGGCGTTTGATTTTTCTGTATTATCATTCATGGTCTCCAATCATATCTATCACTGCAAGAAGCATGGGGGCACGGGTGACACTGCATGGTAGGGGCCGCGACGAAGTACTGTATGTAGTGCCGATCGAGCGGGACACCGGGAGCGGCCATATCCGTAGGTGTACCCACAGCACTTGACTTTTTCAGTCTCTCGGGTCGCTTTTCTTGTTTGTTATTATTAGCCTTGCTTCATTTACTGATGATTCGACATGCCAACAGCTACAGAATGGCCCCACTCCTCACAAAGAAGGAAATAATATCTTACCTAACATACTGTAATACTTCAGTCTAATCTTTGACATACAGTCATCTTTAATATTCGGAGCTTTCCATAAAGGTATCTTTAATATTCGGAGCTTTCCAGAAAGGATCTCAACTACTAAGGAGTCATGTGTGGGCCAGCAACTGAGACAAGCATGCTATGTTATTGAGCCCCGTGGTCATAGTCAAAGTAACTCTGCTGGGGTGTTAAAACAGAAGCCCTACTTAAAAGTGCTATGATTCTAAAAGAATAGAGCAGAACCAGACTGGTTGACAATGTGGAATAGGTCAAGGTAGTAAGACTTGACATATCCTGATAACAATCTATCATGATCCTCGCCACTTAGTAGTGGTTGCGAACTTGATATAATAAATGAATAATAAAATGAGATCAGACAATTTCCTGTATAATTCGTGCTAATGGGGAACTATTGTATTCTCATCCTGTCCCCTATTTGATTCTTCACTTGATTTCTCACACTTAATTTGTACAGTGACAGTCAAATAATGTTGCATGTGGAGCTGTGAAACAGCAAATCAGGCTCTCAAGAAAATCATAAGAAAATCATATGTAAGGGATAAGTATGTCCCCACCCACAGTTGGCATGAGCTGCAGTGTTTGAAGAAACCCCAACTCATTCACAATGATACAAGGATACCATGGTAATGTCTCTGTTCTGTCATATTTTGCATGACAGTAAATAAGTCTGCCATTATGGCATACGTAATGTCGAGGAGAGCACTAGTTGATTATTAACTTAGTATATGGAAATTACAACTTAGATCATATTTTTGTTCTGATTAGTGGTTACTCGATTAGTGTTTTTAGGAGTTATTATTACTCCAACGCACATCAGAGTGAACAGAAATATAGATGAAATGGTCTATAATTTGAACAACAGCTTTTCTTATATATTGCCACAATGGATTAAAAATCATCATAATATATATACAGCGCGTAATAAATCAACAGGGCTAAGCGTCCACCAATATTTCATCAGGGGGCGGTGACAAGCACTAAGTTACCAACTACTGATTATTCCTATATCATGGGATGGCACGATAATACTGGACTTGTATCAGGCGAGGGAGTAACGTTTCCAGCAGACTTGATGCACGCAATCCCTACAACTAGTTGCCTTAGAAAAATCTGTTTACAACGGCTTCCAAATTGAAATTCTTGCAGTAGTTTCTTGCAACCCGTTTCCCCCTCTGGTAAAAAGGAATTACATATTGAAGTCCGATGATAGCCGAGTTCTGGATTCTGTAAAGTATATATATATGCATCGTATCTACTGCCTTCCATGGAGAACATCAGTATCATTTTCTGTGCCAAATGACTTTCGGAGATTCAAAGTAGATTGTCCTTCCCTCGAGGTCTAGAATGGCAATATCCTCGAATGAGTACGACTATGACGTCGACAAGGTGCGGGAGACTGAATATCCCATGCTAAAAGGTACCTCTTGGAACAACCAGTTTGAATTGTCAGGAGGGGATGCTAATAAAGAATGTTTGAACCTCTCAGGAGAAATATATCTGGACCACGCGGGTACAACACTCTATTCTAGTTCTTTGATAAGAAAGTACCTGGCCGAGCTGTCTGCAAACTTGTACGGAAATCCGCACTCAGAGTCAAGATCATCTCGGCTCTCAACCGCCCGAGTTCAGGAGACCCGGGAACATGTACTACGGTTTTTCCATGCTGATCCAGAGCATTTTGATATTGTGTTTGTTTTGAACGCAACGAGCGCAATCAAGCTGGTGGCGGAGACTTTTACATCTCTTCAAAGAGAGGGCACAAACCGTCCTATCTGGTATGGCTATCACATTGACTCGCATACGAGTGTTGTTGGCCTGCGGCAGCTTGCCAGTGCAGGATACCGCTGTTTCGAGTCAAATGATGCGGTTGACCACTGGATTGAGACGGGGTCTCCCATTGGTGAGGACAAGGGCAGAAGATCTACGCCTGCTACATCACAGACGTCCCCGATAGGGCTTTTTGCGTACCCAGGACAGTCGAATATGACAGGCCATAGACTACCACTGAACTGGCCGGGGCGGTTGAGACGCTCTACGATTGCCGCCCATCAGGAAGTGTATTCACTCCTAGACGCAGCTGCATTGGCATCCACTGCACCGCTGGATTTCAGCGATCCCAAAGAGACAGCAGACTTTACCGCTATCAGCTTTTACAAGATTTTCGGGTTTCCAGACCTTGGCGGATTGATAATCCGCAAAGATGCCGCACACATTTTCCAGGAACGGCTCTATTTTGGTGGTGGCACCGTGGATATGGTTATCTGCAATGGCGACCCTTGGCATTCTATGAAGAGCAGCTCTGTTCATGCGGCCCTCGAAGATGGCACAGTACCGTTCCACAACATCATGGCACTAGACTGTGCTTTGACTACCCATAAACAACTGTACGGTGGTATGGAAAAGGTCAGTCGACATACTTCAATGTTAACGACCATGCTCTATCACCGACTATCCTCCTTACGGCATCGGAATGGTAAGAAAGCTTGCCAAATATATAAGGACGCTTCATCAAGCTACGGGAATAGTGAGACACAGGGAGCAGTGATCGCTTTCAATATCAGATCCGAAGATGACACATGGGTCAAGCTGTCGGATCTGGAAGGCGCCGCCAATGAGCACCACATTCATCTTCGAACAGGAGATGTTTGTAACCCGGGAGGTATTGCCAGACACCTTGAACTAGAGCCATGGGAGCTTTTCAGGAACTTCAGGGGTGGTGTTCGCTGTGGCTGTAAAAACGTTATAATCGGTCATAAGCCCTCTGGGATTGCAAGGGTAAGCCTCGGCGCTATGAGCAACGCCCAGGATGTGGAAACATTCGTGAATTTCGTGCAACAAATGTTTGTCCCAAGTCTATCGTTATACATCCAGAACATCCTGGTATACCCAATTCGAGGGTGCAGTGCGTGGTGGATCGCAGACACAACACCCGTGAATCTTACAAGCAATGGTCTCCACTGGAACGGGCAGTGGTGCTTGGTTGATCTCCACAATGGGACCATATTGACTCCAAAAACGGCACCTCGGGCGTTATTATTGTACCCCGAGATCGATTCTGACAGTCATACCCTTCGAATCGGAGTTCATCGATCCCTCTGGACTTATCCAATGGTTCATCGGAATGTTGTGGTGTATATGGACCGTGAAGACTCAGATATTGGTCATACAAGCTCAAAGAAGGACATACACATGTTCTGGGACGAAGATACAGGCATGAGTGTGCAATTGCTGCTGTACAGAGAACCGGAAATACAAACATTCCTGACTGCCGCCCTGGGAATTCACTGCACCCTGGCCAGAATTGTCGATCAGGAACCCCGGGACGATGACTACGAAACGACACCGGATAATCTTGACGCGCTGACCATCATGGACAAGTCACACCAGTCGAATGATTCTGGTCTCACAAACGGTTCTCACCAGCTGAATGGTTATGACCTATCAAATCATCCGCGGCGAGTTATTGGTTCCCAGCGACCTCGTCAAGTCTCCGTCGCTGAGACCCTGGGGGCTAATATTGTACTGGCGCCCGTGTGTACAAAGGAAAATACCCATCATATTGGGAGACACTATTTTGCATATATCGGACAACGCCGGCACAAAGCAAATGAAGTCGAGGAAGACGGCGTCCGTCAGATATACCATCTTGCCCAAATCCGTGAATCGGAACTGTCCACCCAAGGGAAACTTCCCAACGAATTTCGGGCAAATTGTGTAACGAAGAAACTCATTTCCAATGCAGTGAATAGAAGCGACAAAATTGCTGTTCCACAGATCCATATAGGACAAATCGTTTTGTCCTGAATAGACACATTCTTGAACCGCTATCCTTTCGCCAGTAAGTATCTTTGGACACAGATCTGGTGAAGATATTTTTTCTAGTCAACAATTTGCACATGTTTGTTGTTTTGAATTATTATAGCTCAGAAGATTGATCATCAGTACCATTTGGAACCTTGAGCATTTAATTATATTGCATAATTCTACAAGTAGCCCTTGCGACATAATAGTCGTGAGGCCCAATCCCCAAGGATATAAAGTAATCCAGTAAGCGCCAAAGTAGCGTAGACTCGCATCGTGTCACAAATGTTAGGCAGGGCAATGGTGAACAAGCGAGCCAGAGCCTCCGGCTGTGTTAGGGCATTATAGATCCCAAAAGGCGGGCCTGAGAGACAGTGGGAGACATGACCGCGACTAGTGCGGAAGGCGTATTGGCTTGTAGATAGATAGTGTTGATACGAATAAAATGGGGATATATAGTTACCTTTGCGAGTCTCGCTGCGCTATATAATAGCCTGTATAGGGAGCTCTATCTCTTGTAGTTGAATGCCTTGAACTACTTTGCCATGCCGCCCCTCCGCGAGATGTGCTGTAATTCAATGCCATAGGCTAGTGGCTTGTATTCAAAAGCCATCCAACCTTTCTCGGCCGTCCAGGCTCGTGGAGCGTATGGGAGGGAATAACAGGAGACAGGTAGATGGGGGGGGAGTGCGGGAATATTGTGGACCAGCGTAGTACACTAGACAAATTGTGATATCTAAGACTTCCTCAGCTAGGATGGAATATCACATACCTGGAATGAAAGAACGTTGGGTATGAAAGAGTGAGCACTAGGTGGGTGCAGTCAAGTCATACTTTCTATCAATCAAATCAGAGGTAACATTGGTAAAACTCCATATACCCAACCTGTATAACAACAGGAATCTAACATCAGCTGCAAGATTCAAGAATTATTGTGATCAATGAAATTTGATTCAAGAGAGCTGACTCTGTGACCCTGCCACCCTGTCATCTCCGCTTCGGTGTTCTTTTCATTGGCTCGGATCAGCAAAACAAAGGACCAGGAGGTCCCAGGAAACAATTATCTTCCTTGAGGTTTTATGATGATTTCAAAAATACCTAGCACCTTGCATCCCTTCTAGCTTTAGTCCAATGATGTTAGCCTTACGCTTGGGGCGGAGTTTCGTGGTGGTGGATTCACCTCCGATTGGTCTCAACAACAGCCCGGGCCCGTCGATCAAATGCAGGTCACCCGGAGTGGACCTCCCACTTCACCCCTCTGGTATGAAGTGGTATCGCTCCACCGAGGCAGAAGATCCTGTGTGTATTTATGACCGCGCCCCCGCCTTCTTTTCGTTGGTATCATTGTCTCACTGAGTTCCCTGTGCGGATATTTCGATGCCACCATGGGAAAGCCAAACAAGCCAAGGAAGCCCCAGACACCGCTGGATCAACTGCCGATCCAAGCGAGGCTTAAGATCAAAAATTACTCGCCGGATGTCTGCGATGCGGCGATTAAGGGGCAAGAGATTCCAGTCGCACTGGGCTATGAGCTGACGCGGTTCAGTGTGATCCGGGGCATCCGACACCATCACGGCTTCGCCCAGGAGCTGCACGGAGTGACTCCCGAGTTCACTCGTGCTTTGAATGCCCGCGATATCATGAGCGGGATCATTCCCACCATATCACACCCGGATGAGACTCCTTATTGCATTTGGTATCCGGATATCCCAACGGAGCATACCCTGCGAGCTCTGGTTCAGCGCTATCCCGATATGATCTATCATGCTGCTCGTGCCTGTGCCATCGCTGGATACATCGACCTATACAAGGAGCTCGATCCTGTCCCAGAGGTCCATGTCGCAGAGGAAGCCAGTCATGCCGGGATTCAGAGGAGCAACAAGGGAAGCCAGGAAATTGCCCGGCGTATAATATCCCAGCCAGTGAAATTCGCCATTATGAACGACTACACAAGAACAGTGGATATTGCCAACCCTCGAATCGCATTCTTGAATGCTGACACCGCTGTTCATTCCAGTCTCGCGGCCCGACGGAAACACCTAGAGCCTAGGGTGCTGGCCAATTTCTACCGAAGTTCCGGCAACCCTTATTACCCATCTTCCTACTTCAATATTACAGAAGACTGGGGTATAGACGACCATAATAAGGGGGAGCCCGAGCCCGCGGAGAGCTACTTCCCCCTTTTATATGAGCCGCTGCCGATGGACCTTCCACCCATCAATAAGGATAAATTGATCCTGATGGCCGCACATTCCGGTGATATTGATCGCTACAGCCGTTTGTCCAGACCGCAAATGATCTCTGGCGAGTTTTACTGTATCGTCTGGGCTATATACCACCACCCTTTTTGGGCGAAGTGGTGGAGCATGCAGGTCCCTAAGCAAACAAGCTCGCGGTTCTCGAAATTTGAGGAAACGATGATCCAGCGGGCAATCAATGCTCGCCGCACCATGTCCGATGATGTGACATGGGTTACGCCGGACACACCGAAAGATTTGCTCCCGAGAAATATCTGGTTTCCACGGCTGGCTTGTCCAGAATCCTATGAGAGGCTGGCTCGCATCAGGCCCGACATGCTGTGGCCATGCCTCTACGCCTGCATTGTCGCCGATTACTCGGACCTGTGGGATAAGCTCTTACTGCTGCCATCTTCTGCCACACTCGCCATCGGTGAGATGATGCCGCCGGTTTCCGAAGGGAGCGAGGCCCAGAATCTGAAGCTTCAACAACTTTCAAAAGTAGTTGACAAAATACTATGGCAGGAAGCCAAAACGTCGCGCAACGATCATTACCAGTGCGATATCAAAGCGGCTATCCCCGACCAACTAGAATCGCTCGAGCCCCGCCCAGGTGATGCTCCTGCATTGATGTTTCAACACTCCTCACGGGAACTATACACCCCTACATCAGATAGGAGCTCTAGATTCGTGTACAGAAATGATCCCGTTTTTGTGTCAGTCTTTGATTGGGGCCGGTGTAGCCCTGAGTACGAAGTGTATGACGGCGTAGCAGTCGAAATCCCTAGTATAGATTTTGCTGTGTTTGCCAGGGATGCTGTTGGCGTGGACCATGATGTTTGGAAGGAGAAGGGGAACGCTGATCTCCAAATGTACGAAGTGTACGAGTTGCTGGAAAAAGAACATCTTGTCACTAGCGTCTAGCTGAGACCTGTTTTGTCAGACATGCACACTGAACCCCTTTACTATGTAGTCATATTTACATGTTTTACCGCGCATTTCGCCCTTGTGCTAAACAAGTTCTCATAATGGTCTTCTTAGCCTCTCTGATCGCCCGAATGTTGTCGATATGATTATTGCTCTTAGCTGCTTCAACCTTGGAAAACTGTTTCAGTTCATACCTCAGATTGAAGCCAGACCCCTCGGGCTCAGCATTAGGTGGGTTAGTTGCTTGGATCCGTTCACCTGCTTCCTGCAGATTCACTGCGATGTAGCGCAGGTTATTCTCCAGACTGACTCGTTCGCTTGTCTCGACAACCAAACCCTGGGTTACAGGGGTGCCTCCTGATAAGTCGTTTGCTGGAACATGATTTGCATCGAACTTCTGACGAAGATGATCGCCGGCCGCCTGAATATTACCTGCTACACGCATATCCTCAATCCGTTTCCGTGCAGTCATGACTTGATTCAGGGGATAGTGACGCACACTCTTCCCAGCGGTTTTATCACTAATCAAACTTGTTTGGGGGCGGTTAACTCCTCGTCCATGTCTGCGTTTGAAGGTTAGAATTCAATAGGAAGCTTACCTTGCAATCATTGCGAACAGATCAGGTGCTTTATCTACCATCTCGTAAACATAATTTATTCGGTAGGATCCAGTAAGGTGACCACGGTGAATCATCTCAGCAGCTGTGTCGGCTTTTATACTGTGTCCGTTGATGGCGTCTGGGAGCGATCGAGCGTTGGCCTTCTCCCCCGGGCCCTCTGCAATGTAGGTGAGGAATTGCTTGAGATTGCATGTTTTCACACCAAATTCTCCTGCGCAACGCTTTGCAACCACCTTGGGCCCGTCCGCTTGCTGATCTAGCTCATAGGCATACCAGTATAACATTCGCTCGTAGGCACCAGAGATGCCATAGGCGGCGGTGTTTGTTGAACACAGAACTAGAAGCAAGAAGAGAGGAAACTTCATTTTCGGCAAAGGGCTGGGAACAGAATCGATGAAGGCGATGGGTGACACAAAGACTTGGAGATATCAGTCTTATCAAGCCTGATCACAACACGGTTCAGTATTATGGTGCAACGATGAGAAAGAGCATGAGCGATTCCAAGAATTCCTGGGAGCTTCGTGCTTTCTTGTAAGTCGTGTTGACACAACCACCACCCAAGCCCCTGGTGTAGTCCCCTACCCCCTCAGTATCAGAGTCCTCCTCTCTTCCTGTCAATATCTTGGCATACCGTTTGATTCACTATCCATACTAGTGGTTTCTGGCGCCCGTTGGCAAGTGGGTCGATTGTCCTGGCCCCCATCAACTAAAATCCACTCGGTGCCGAACTACCAATTAGTGCCCTCGACGGCCTCGGGCGCCCATCGAATAACGGACAGACTCCAGCTGCCAACCCCTGGAAGTCGATTTGGAATTTGCGTCCGAGATTTTACTCCGTGGTCAAGCGTCCTGTGCCTCTGGATACCGGTGGGTCCCGCCTTGGATGTTCCTGGTATTCTGGTTCCATGCCAGCCCGGGGTGCCCGTACCTCTCTGGTGTCTTACTTGAAAAGGCAAGAGTTAAGTCTCTCGGGCTTAATCTCAAATGATCTACCTGCCAAGCAGCTAGCATCGGTGGAAGCAACCGAGGTCTGTGCGTAAGCGCGCTTCAAAAGCTTAACAAAAGTGCGAACACTATGATAGACGACGTAGGAGAACGGCGCAGAAGACGGTAACCGCCCCATCCAGCTAATGTAGTCCGAGGGAGTGCTAGCTGACTGTGCACGCGACACGCAATACCTGCGGAGCCATGGCAAAGACTGAGAACATCCCTGTATGTGATGACTTTGGCTTCTAGACCAGGCGAATTTCTTAACACTTGCCAAGCCATCATGATTGAGAAAGCGTGGCATAAAAAAACAGCAAAATATAGACGAATTTGGTAATTGTTAGGACTATGAAAAAACTCGTGGGTAGTTACAAGATTGTAAGAAAACATGGATAGTCAAGATATAATATGCATGGGAAAACTCGCCCATGTACATGATGACTTTGGCTGCTACGGAATAGACTGAGTGATGAGCGAATCTCTTAACCCTAGCTAACCTATCACATATAGTCATCACATGATAGGCTGATAGGAAACATGAGGCACTATCTTTCTTGATATGCAGCTAACTCATTAGTTTAGTAACATAGATCCACCACCTGGGCAAGAGAGAAGCTTAGTCTTGCGAGATGCAGCCTCCTGCGCCATGTGATGTGAAAGTCTTGTGCATCGCATAAGAATGACCAAAATGAAAGGGTGAGGTAATCAGTAGTCTCGGAGCAGCGGTCCTAACTACTACAATATATCGCGCCCTATCACAGGCGAGGTCCACAGTGTCCTAATGAAACAAGGATCACTTGGGGTCACGCTTTTATTCGGATGGGCATTTTCCGGCGCTATACAAGTCCCTGTAGACCAAGATAGCTTCACTTTGCCACATGCAGGCCAGCCGCTATGTGGTCACCACCCGATGATCTAGCATATCCAAGCGAAGGACCTCCGTCTCATTATCGTGGAGGATCTGTTCTCGCTTCTCTCCTGGACACAACAGCAGACAGGTGGAATACAAAAGTACAGTTTGGTCAGTCGTGCCATACGGTCGTCTTGTGGGGATGACTCGTTTGTAATAAGGCTGGATGGACTAAAAGACAGCCCCAACACTACAGCAATGAGTTAGTACCAGTGACCCCTTTTGATCTCATAAGTAACAAGGACATATCAGACAACTTCTCCGGGAGTCTAATTTCTAACCATTCAATCTGTCTGTTCTTTCATTTTTCCTAAGGCAGTTGCCTCGAGCGGTTTATCTCCTGTCTGTTTTGATAGCACTTCTTAAATTTCATTTTGACTCATTCCTTTGTCTCTCCTTGTTTCTTGCTTAGTCCTTATTCCTTCCTCATTCTCTCTCTCGCGTTCTTTCCTCTCTCCTCTCTTTCTTTGTTCTTTTTTTTTTTTTTTTCCTTTGTGAGGTCCTCAGAAAACAAACACGGTTCAAGATGGGCTGGTTGGCCCAGTGGATCGCCATAGGCCAAATGGCCGTCCTGGGGGCGGCGGCATCTTCCCATGTGGTGATGGACCCTTATATCGCAACCCATTGGAATGCGTGTCCCGTCCCTTGTGAGACCGCCGATTCCAGTCATTGGGATTACTATCGTGGGTTGCGCATCCTCAGGTCATGCAACGAGTCAATGCTCCTGAATATCGCCGTGAACACCCCCCTTAGAGATTCTGATATGGGCCTGGAGTTGTATGCTTGCACCTTATCCAGCACCGAGGGGTTTGAGATGTCTAAGTCTCAAGTGCCGGATTCCTCCAACGTTGTGCAGTATTCTGCCAAAGATGTGGAGATGGAGATTATGTGGCGAGGTGAGCAAGCCAGCCAATACTTTCCTCATGCTGAGGCGGCTGCCCGGCTGGTGCAAGCTCAATTTGATCACCCTGCCTCTCAAGATGCAAGGATTGCCTTTGGGTACTCAAATGGCGTGGTTCTAGGATCATACATTGGGTCGATGGTAGGTAAAGATCCGGACAAGAGCATACTGGCGTCTTTCTTAGAGACATTGCGTCAGGGGGGTCTCAACACGTCTGGTTCCCTGATGCAGGTGTGCAAAAGCAACCGCCCGGCGACCCATAACCTTGGTGTGATTTTGGAGGCAAGCACGAACCCGGAAGAAGCCTTAGCCACCGTGCAAGAAGCACTTGCAACCTGGAACCGTGGTGGCTGTGTGGAAGGATATGGTAACAGTCGCAAGGGGCACATTTCCGTGGCCGAAGTGGCCATTCCACGCAATCGCCAGAGTTCCTATCGTACCTCCCATGCGCGGGCACATGCCAAGAAGGCCTTCTCGGGGGTCCATGCCCGTGGAGAGTGCAGAACAATACAGGTTAACCGGGGGGACGACTGTGGTGATCTAGCCAAACGCTGCGGAATTTCGCCCGCCGACTTCACCAAGCACAATCCGAGTAGAACGTTGTGCTCATCTTTGGCCGGCGGTCAGCATGTATGCTGCTCGTCCGGATCCCTTCCAGACTACTCTCCTAAGCCTAACGCTGATGGAACGTGTGCAACGTACACCATCCAGAACAACGATGACTGCGCTACTATCGCTGCTACCCATAGTATCACGGCAGATGACATCGATGATTGGAACGCGAAGACATGGGGCTGGCGCGGTTGTCGCAACCTCCCGCCCAACGGTACGTGATGGATCCCTTCCAGCAGCATAACGGTACTAAGCTACCAACCGATTCTAACAGCAGATCAGGTAGAATATGCATCAGTCGGGGTGACCCGCCCATGCCTGTAGCGATGCGAAATGCTGTCTGTGGGCCGCAAAAGCCCGGGACTAAGAGACCGGAGAACTGGGATGACATTGCGGAATTGAACCCTTGTCCACTCAATGCCTGCTGTGATGTTTGGGGGTATGTCTCGAAGTTGGATATGTCGACCTTCCTCCCTAGATACCGTGATTCTAACTCGAGTCCATAGTCAATGTGGTATCACTCCCAATTTTTGCACGGCAACAGAGGTACGCTCTCCCCCAATTTGGTTCAATCCAGTGTCTTCTTCTCTTGTCACCCCGCCTCCCTCCATCTCCATCAAGGGATGAAATGACGGTCCGCCTATGCTGACCCTCAATAGTCGACCACGGGCGCGCCGGGGACGGCCAAAAATGGCACGAACGGATGCATCTCCAATTGTGGTATCCATCTCAAACTAAACTCTGACGCCCCTACCGAGCCGGCTGTCATGGCATATTACGAAGCATTTAACAATCAGAGGCCGTGTCTACAGCTTTCGGTAGAAGCTATCGAAGAAGTGACCAAGACGGGTGGCGAGGATGGCGACCTGGAAATTGATTCGGCGTGGAGCCACATCCATTTCGCGTTTGCCAACATCATGGAGGACTTCAAGGTCGACATGACGGGCGTCGAAGACGAGTTCGAGGCCTTCAAACGGTTGAAGACGCCTTCGGGTTACAAAGGAGTCATCAAGCAAAAGGTTCTTTCATTCGGCGGGTGGTCCTTTTCAACTGGCCGCGACTCATACGCCATATTTCGCAAGGGGGTTACCGACGTCCAGCGTTCACTCTTTGCCACCAACGTTGTGAAATTTGCCAAGGAAAATGATTTGGATGGCTTGGACTTTGACTGGGAATATCCTGGCGCGCCGGACATTCCTGGAATTCCCCCCGGTGATCCGGGGGACGGCGAGCGCTATCTGGACTTTCTGAAGGAGGTTCGGGACCAACTCCCATCCGACAAGACACTCTCCGTTGCCATTCCCTCCTCATACTGGTACCTCAAGGGATTTCCCATCAAGGAAATCTCGGATGTTGTGAGCTACATGGTGTTCATGACATACGACCTTCACGGTCAGTGGGACTGGAATAATAGTCATGCCGCGGACGGTTGCAATGGCGGCGCCTGCCTGCGATCTCACGTCAATGCTACCGAGATTGCGCTCGCCTTCTCCATGATCACCAAGGCCGGCGTACCAAACAACAAGATTTTCGGTGGGGTGGCCAGCTATGGTCGGTCATTTGAAATGGAAGACCCGTCCTGTCATGGTCCGGAGTGCAAGTTTACCGGCCCAGAGTCCGGAGCCATCGCGGGGGAATGCACCAGGACTCCGGGCTACATTGCGGAAGCCGAGATTTATAGGTGGCTCGAGAATGGGGGCGAAGACATCACCACCTACTACGATGACGCGAGCGCCGCGATGATCGCTTACTCGGCCAACGGGACCTGGGTGTCCTATAACAACAAGACCCATCGATCGACCCGGCTTCTGGATTGGTGGTACGAGGGGCATTTTGCTGGGACGGCCCTCTGGGCGCTGGATCTGACCGAATTTGTCTCCCAGTACCCGGATGGTACACGTATCGAACCGACGTACCCGATCAACTGCACGCGCTCATTTGACGATCTCGATGATTTGGCCTCCGCTACCGGCATTGAGGATGAGTGCATGAACATCTACATTCTGCAGGCCCTGTCTGGAAACCTCACAGCATCCCTAGGCAAGTATAAGGACCAGCTAGACCACGATTACGACCAGAAATTTGGCTGGTACGAGGACGCTATTCGAGGATCAGCACCCCAATCGCTGGAATCGTTTGTTAACACCAACGCTTCGTCGTACTTTGACTGCTCTGTGACCAAGTGGGGCCGGAATCATACCGACTGGGGCTGCTTCTCCAACAGCGACAGCGAGAACGAGGTATACTGGACCCCCCGCAACACGAGCCAATTCGAAGCCGACCTCTTCGCTGCCTCGGGGATTTCGGCCGATTGGCTGGCATACGGCCACCACAAGGAAAGGCTCGATAGCGCCAAAAGTGGGGTCAGCTGGACTGCCAATTATTACGGCGCTCCCTATCTAAAGGACGAATTCCAAATCAGTAATCCTAAGGACATGATCGCCAAGAGGCTATCAGCCATTGCCGACTTTCACGAGAACCTGGACTTTACGGCCTTCCTTGCCAACGAGTCTATGTACATGGGCGACGTGAGCGACGCCGTGGATGGCGCGTCGTTGGTGGTGTTCATGATCTCCTCTTCCGTCACCAGTATGTCCCAAGTGGCGCACGTAGGGGAGGATTACGAGGATGAGAAGATCAAGACCCTCATCGTTTTGTTCGTCTCGGCCATTCTCTTCGTCATCCCCGGTCTCCAGGAGGGAGCCGAGGCCTTGGAACTGGTGATGATCGCCAACATGCTGAGAATGGTCGGCACAGTCGGGGATGTGGCCATGAGTGCGTACGACGTGATTCAGGCCAAGGACAATGCCCCAGCGGCGGTCTTTGCTGCTCTGCTGGGCGGCCTCGGTGCATTGAACATGGTAAAAGCGCCGGAGAACTTTGGCACGGCCGCCAGAGCAAGAAGAGGGATGGGTGCCGAGCATGTGGAATCGTTGGGAACGGAGGTGAAGGGAGGGCTGGGCCAGGTTGAGCAGTTGGTCAAGCGGTGCATTTAGACATCTCACTTTGACTAGGTCATGTCAATCATTTATTCGTTATAAGGCTTGTCTATGATCTGATGTATCCAATTTCTTCTGATAATATCAGGGACCTGCTGCATGATATATAAACATCTATCACCCAGTATATTATTCAGATTGAACATCTACACAAGACCAAGAGCATTTCAAGTGATGATCTGTTGAATCTCAGCTTCTGCGTCAAAAGTTCTATACTCTTTCTGCCGCGGTCCTGATATACCATTGCATTCACTATCTAACACTGTACGAAGCGTACGAATTGCTGGGTGCAGATAAAGCGTCTTACTAAGATATGGCAGAGAGTCACTATGGCATGATGTCTAGGTGTGGTCTTTCCTGTCGTTAGCCCAAAGCTCGCCCAAAAGTGGCGTTGGTTTTGTCCCGTGCAAACTGGCCAGAATAGAGATGAGATCTTCTAGGACTGCTTCAGGGGATTACATTGCTACTATAGGCGTAAGAATCGGACACGGACTGAGCTAGAGCAAGGGAAAGCTAGAAGGATACTGATTAGGGTCACGCCCGTCAATCACAGAATGTTGTGTAGGTGCAGACTGATAACTGTGACCGAATCAGTGAGTACTTCGTCATTTGCGTGGCGATGACGTCGATCTCGGAGACGTCATCTCCTCATCAACACGACTCGCTACATTTCCTGTGGCTGTAATTTCCACTCAATCTACGGTACATTGAGGACGAGCGAGACATTCTCTCTCAGTGTTCAACATTTAGACTCTCCGGAGACAGACCACCGCAACCACAATGCAGGACAAGTTCACCGTGGTCGTCATCGGCGACGAAGCCGTTGGGAAATCAGCCCTCATCATACGGGTAAGTTCCTTGGAGGCCGAAGAGTATAATACCGACGCAAGAGGGGCGTAAACTGAGCGATCCCGACAGCTTTGCCTTGACCACTTCCCTGAAAGTCACGCGCCGACCGCGGACGACACGATCCGCAAGCCGGCGGTCATCGACAACAAATCGTGTCTGGTCAATATCATCGACACGGCCGGACGCGACGAATACGCCTCGCAGCTTGAGGAGTGGATGAGCCACGGCGATGCCTTCCTCCTGGCCTACGACGTCACCTCGCGAGCCTCGTTTGACCATGTCATCAAGTACTACAACCAGGTCCGCCGGATGAAGCTGGGGCGCGGGCTGGCCAAACTGAGCTCGGGGCAGATGCTGTTCCGATCGCCGCACGGCGTATCTATGGTGTTAGTCGGTAACAAGATCGATATGGCGGAGTCGAGGGAGGTATCGACTGAGGAAGGCAGACGGCGGGCAGCGTCATTGGGGTGTGGCTACGCGGAAACCTCCGCCAAGGAGAATGTCAATGTGGAGGAGCCGTTTGTCATGGCCGTCCGGTGGCTCCGACAGAGGCGACGACCCGACTCCGGGGATGACGAACACGCGAAGAAGTCGGGGTGTTCAGGGCTGGTGGGCAAGCCTTCACGACGATCCAAGTGTACGATCTTATAGGGGAAATATCGGGCAAATATCGGGTCCTTGCTCCATGCCGGCTAAATGATCTGTGATCGTCGCGGCTCCTTCCGAACTAAGATTTAGTTACACGTTCCCGCCCTCCTCTGTCACAACGGCAGTCCGTCACACTCGGGGAAACCACAGATCAAGACTATGAATCTTTCTCCCGGCGATTTCTCCGTTTCTCTGTCGCTATGTCCGCTCCTACCTCCACCGGGTTGTCGCCAAGACCACCGTTGGACGTATCGACGGGGCACTGATCAGCACCCATCCTGAGAATATGTATTCGGGCATTTGTCGCCGGTCGCCTAAAACAGTCATTATCGCTGCCGTGCTGTGAGGGGGGAATGATTCGCGGTGATGATGACAGGCGGTTTGCCGCACCGCTCCAGGACATGATCACGGCGTACGCGTACCTCCTCCACGGGCTCGATACCCCGTCTCGGATTCTCGTCAGCGGCGACAGTTGCGGCGCCACCCGCGCCCTGGGGTTCTCCGCTACCGCTACGCCCACCCGATTCTCCCGCCCCAGCAGTTCGCCTGCTTCTTCCGGTGGCGGCGCCCGTGGCGCCCCTTTGGCATTCGTTCCCGCTGCCGGCTCCGGCGTGTTCGTGACCGGAGAGTGGGGAGTAGGAGGCGATGGTGACTAGCATCGGCTGCTGGCGGACCGCCTACGAGACGTGCCCGGGAATTGAGACGGGCGTGCGGAGGTGTGTCGGGGGCACGCGTACAGGACTCCAACGACGGGGAGAATGACGACGAATACACATATATATCTATTGGGTCCTCTGGCTTACATGTTACAGGCACATGGGAGAATCAGGTAGAACGCAGACAACTCAGCGTGGGAATGATCGTTTTCAAATATACAACATAGATAAAAATAAAGCACAGCAATCCAAAACCCCTCTATGGACTAGTACAGGACCCCTGACATCGGCTCCAACAAAGGTGCTCCATTCCGTCCTTGCGTAGGGAGCAACACGTTTTCCGGTCCTCCAGGGAGCCGATTTAACGCCACCAGGGCTTGGCCGCACGGCTGGAGGGGGTGGGAGTCGGGCTGAAGGTGGGAGGCGAAGTGGGCGTGTAGATGGGAGTGGAGGTGGGGATGGCCGGAGTGGTCGTGTTCAGACGAAGGCCACCATGGTTAATGAGAGGACGGTGACGGCCGGGCTACGACATTAGCGATGAGACTCATATCCCCGCGATGAGAATGAAAGAAAAAGCTTACCGTAGCAAGAGCCGTGGGCACCAGGGCCAGGGCAGCGATCGCACCGAGGACAGGGAAGATCTGCATGATGACTGGAAGTTGCGATGCGATATCTGGACTGTATAAAAGAAGGACTGGAGGGGCTATACAAGCATGGACAAGTTCAACCAAAGCTGGAGGCGTCGGGTCCAGCTTTATAGCTTTCCCACTGGCCTCGTCGGAAATTTGGGAGCGCGGATCATTCTCAACGGGAGTTGAGACTCAGGAGATAGCATTCGACAGGGTCTGCAACTGGACATGGGCCACGGCCATCGTCGGTTAGCCCTCCTAGGCAAGAGTGATACGGCACTGATAGGTCGAAACGGAGCCCGACGGGGGGGACAGGCTGGAAAATGTGACCTGCACGGAGAAAACACTGACGATCACGGCCGGAGACACAGACGGTCCCTGTGAGTCTGAACCGGGACACGGTCGACGACCGATATTGGGATCCAGGGTCGATGGTGCGTATCGTCCACTGACAGGTGGTGGGTGGAGATGCTGAAACACACCACGATTCAACCACGCCAAAAATAAATGAACCGGCGGCAGAACCGGCCTCTCCGTCAGGGGAGAGAACCAATAAGGGAGAAGAAGGAGGGGCATCAGAGCCACTTCAGAGATTTTGCGATACGATGTTCGAACCTCGCTCGTCTCTAGACCTCTGCAGATCACTGGATCGGTTGGCCCTGATGCCCCTCGAGTGGGATGTGTTGAGAATTTCCCACAACGCGTCTCGAATAACACGACGGTGTGTATCAAAATGACGGCAGAGAGGAGAAGATAGACGAAATTATCCAGAACAATAAACTCCACCAATGCAGCCAGATCCTGCAGCCATCCTGCGGTGGACTTTGTTTCTCCCGGAGGCGTCACTAGGAATAACCTTAACTCCACCATCACCAGCCCTCGGATTCACAACAGAAGGGGAAAGAAAAGCCCGCTATACCCCTGGAATACTCACACGGCAACGGCTGGAGGCACTGGATGCCGCCAGCGTAACATGGCGCGCATGGTGCCGATCACACCGGAACCAGCAGGGGTATGATGGAGTCCGTCGGCCTTGGTGATAGGAACAGTATGGGTTCCCCTGGTCGCAGACCACGGCCTCTAACAGGCGGACTCTCTTTCTCACATTCGTATTCTGCAACCTTTTCCCCCCTGGTTTACCCCTGATAGTGTGTGTCCCTGCGCGGAGGACCTCGTCACTGACCCGCAACGGTCGGAAATCTGCTAGATATCATCCTGCCCAAACACGGGGAGGGGAACTGCCACCGTAACCCAAAAGGGCATGGATCTGTCGATCACGGACCTGTGGCGGCGAAGGATCATATCGTGCACGACCTGTTGCCACCAGTCTGCAGCGCGGGGACCGTCCGGGGATACTCCGTCGCTGATCGACATGAGGATAGAAAGGATCATCGAACCATGGTCGCATCGCAGAGACGGGGGAGATCATGGCGTCCGCAACGAGCGAATCGCACCCAGCGATCCCCTTATCTATCCATGTTTCCCATTCTTCTGCGCGGATGCCGTCTGCAGTTCACATCCACGCCGACCATGGGGCCAGTGGACAACCACGATCCGTGAATGGGAGCCGCCCATTGACGACGACGGTTAGTCCCTCTCTTTAGCCGCCAGCCGGAATATTACCATCGTGCGGGAAAAATGTATCCTGATATCTGATCGAGCACCATGACAACGCACACCCGACACCAAATGGCGCCAGGACTCGTGTCACTTCGACAGTAATGTTTTCGTCCATGGGCAGAGCATAATCTTCGCGAAGACTTTGCACACGAGCATCCACACTTGGAGGTAGAACGGCAGAGAAGCGAATGGAGTGCGATACTCGGATCAGGGTCGCTGTCTGCCGGCCAGGCCTCGGCAGGACCACCAGACAGTCGCGAGTCTGGATCACCGCGAATCATGTCATCCTCGGGTAAAGACCAGAAACTTCAGGCGGTTGATCCTCGAGGATCATCGATGCTTTCCATCCGGCGACAGGTGTTTGGTGGATAAAATCGACGGGTCGAGACGGGTGGTGCCAACTGGACGATTGCAGATCGTCAGGGGCAGCGATCCGATCGTGTGAATCATCCGGTGGAGGTTGTTCCTGACGGGCCGTGGCTCGAAATCCCGTGTCATCCAGCTCCATCGGTAAGCTGCCCAGGGCGAGGTCCAAGCCACTCTCGTCCGTGCTCCACCCGCGGTGAGGCGACCAACTGGCGTAGGAATGTCGAGGCTAGCGACCGCTTCGTTAGGCCCGTCGTCGCTATCTTGCATTATACACATAGGAAGATGTGGAATATAAGCCTTCTATCTACTGTGTAGTGCCTAATCCTGCCATGGTGGAGAGAGACCCGCTGATCTAAGCCCGCACAGCATCCACCGTCATGCCCATCAGTGGGGACGGTATGGTCTCCGGACTGGGGCTACGGAGATCCGATGGTGGCCAGAAGGAAATGGCTAGAACGCTGAATCTAGACCAGAGGCCATAACCCACCCGTCAGGGCATCGCGCCGGCAAAAGGATGTGAAGGAGAGGGGATGAAAACACAAGGCCGGGACAACAGGTGAAGATAGACAAGGATCAAGTATACATATATTAAGTCTAATGTCTAAGTACACAGAGGAAATCGCATCGTCATCGAAATCCGTGATCATTAGCAAACAGTCTGGCGTAAGCGGCCGTCTAAATACTCTATGAAACCCATAACAACCAACGGTATGTACAAGCCTTCATCGCTCCATGTATAAACGGAACATTATCCGGGGGTCTAAATGCGGCCAGGCCGACGTCGACCGACCGCGGGGTCTTTAAAGGATCTTTTTTCAAGGCTCCATCGAAGGGCGACTGACCCTCCGGCCCTTGTTGGCGGTCCGCTCCGCCAGCAGCGATTGAGCGAACTTGCTCTTGGCGCGCACCTGCGGCCCCTTCCAGTAGAAGACATAGATGGGCACCACGACCAGGCACGACAGACACGCCAGGATTGTCGTGGCGTACTCGACGTGCCACTTGTCGCCAATGTTCTCGTACATCGGAGTGGCGTACATGGCCGAGATACCAGCGAGCAGGTCTCGGGCGAAGGCGTTGCCGCCCGTGGCCGAGGCCGAGTAGACACCGTACGAGGCGACCATGTAATCCACCGTGGACAGGTAGATCGCATAGTTGGCGATACCGACCAGTGCGGAGAAGATCATCGAGCCGATCCAGTGGACGCCGCGCTCCTTGCCGAAGGACGTCCAGGCGAAGCCAAACAGACCGATCGGTTCCAGCGGCGCCAGGAACAGCAGCCACTTAAGACGGCGCTCGGGTGGGATCGCATCGTCGCCGTGGCGCTTGCGGATCTTCTGGTCGCGCCAGAACCATGGGAAGTACGAGAAGTAGCCGATGGCGTAGGCCAGGTTGATGGGGATGAAGGCCCAGGCCTGGGCGAGGGTGCCGAAGCCCCAACCCTGCTCGTACACGATGGCGAAGCTCTCGAGGAAGGTGAAGATGAGGGCATCGGAGAAACCGGACAGCAGCGACAGGCAGAGGACGATGGGCTCGCGCAGCAACATGTGGAAGGGGCGAAGCAGAATCGTGCCGGCTTCCTTCATCGAGACGCGGGGCTTCTTCAGCTCGTTGGGTCCGTAAACGTTCGGGTCCTCACCGGACTCGCGACGCCTCTTGGCGATCTTATCCATGATGATGGTGGAGCGAGACTCGGGCATGAAGAAGATGATGAGTTGGACGGCACCGCCGAAGATGAGCTGGATCCAGAAGAACCATTGCCAGTCGAGGACTATGGGAGGATCTTAGTTAGCAAGGGCAGTCTTGACAAGGAGGACATTCAAGTTCAAAACTTACAGCGAGCGATGGGTCCACCAATGATACCACCGATACTCGTCCCGATACAGGACGAGAAGACGATGAACGCCAGCGGGAATTGTTGCGTTTCGGCTTCATAGATATCGGCGATCAATCCTAGGGTGACACTGCCACCGGCGGTCGAGACACCACCCTACTATTGTTAGTTTCTCCCTTCAAGAAAAACAGTTGCGAACAGTAACTCACCAGGCCACGCGCCACCAGAAGACTACCCCAATTCGGGGCCAGGGCGGCCGGGAGCTGCCAGATGTTGATCAAAAACATCGACAGCTGGAGGATAGGCCAGCGGCCGAATTCCTCACTCCACGGCGCCCACAATTCGCATCCCACCGAGTAGGTCACCAGATAGATCATCTGGCCCGTCCGGGCATGTTGCTCACTGATGTCGAAGGCCTTGGACAGGGACTTGACGGCGCTGGGATAGACGGAGGTGTTGAAGTTCATGGAGATCTGCACGCACGCGACGGCGAGCAGGTAACTCCACTTCTTCCATCGCGGCCAACAGTACGCCAGCTCCTCGTAACACTCGTCCTCCGTCAGCTCCCTCTTCCCATCCGGACGGAGACCCTTGTCGGTGTTGCTCTTCTCTGTCCCAAGCCCGGTAGGGCTAGGGATGGCCTCCAACTGTGGAGACTCACGACTTTCTGCATCGGTCATTGTCATAAGATTGCGGGGATAGTAAAAAGAATCTTGGTTGGAGAAGCAACAAAGACGAGATCTCGAGAATTTCCGGCGGGGATCAGGTACATATATACACAAAACCCTGATTTCGGATCAATTCACATTTCCGCTGCTCCTGTCAGTGTATCCCAAACCGGATTCACCGAAGGACCCACCAGCCGCCAAGTGGATCGGCAAGTTAGGGTACGAAGCACCAGAGAGCTTCAGATTTTTTTTGCCTTTCCGTGGAAGCCATATCCCATCGTGGGCTGCCTACCGAGAGGCATCCCGTCCCAAATCTCGGATTTCCCGACATTATTTCGACCGTATCTTTGTCCACGGTGCCCGAGAATTTCACGAGACGCGGGGCGTGGGCCATGGAACGAGCACCCCTTCTTGACATGGGTCCTGGGATCACCAATATCCCCCCATCAGTGGCTAACCGACCTGCAGCACCCAGCGGTGGCACAGCGAATTGGTCGCGAGAATGTACCGCTGGCATCGCCATGATTCGGCCAAGGGCCTCGGAATTCAAGGCTTGCAGCGATTGGAGACAGAACTATTGAGAGCCCAAGCTCGGCCGACCTGCTCCTTCGTCTGGTCGGGTCCACTTTAAAACTGGATTAAACGCAGCGACGATTGTCTTAGACCCACCTGGTTCCTCGGAAATGTCTGTGTCATGGCGTCAGAGGTATGACCGTTGACCAATGGCGCGGCGTGTAGTAGCATTAATTTGGCGATCTTGCTTAGACATCGTGCGATCGACCATATGAAAATTGGAGATTTTATTTTCGCCAACCGAGGGTTAAGAGATGAAAGGACGTGACGTCACTCTGGGCGTGGCAGCAAACCAGACGACGAGGGTTGATATTCGGCGCGTTGCTTATCTTGAGACTGTTTGCTAGTGTCGTGGATCTGCTACGGGGTTGAATATTGGATATTCTCATCACGCTACCGGTCGCTTTCCTTCCTTCCTTCCTGCGTATTGGGCCTCGTCACGTCTTTTTTTCGATTCTTTTCTTTTGCTTTCTTCTGTGTTGTCTGTAGGGTATTTCCGACGCCAAGTTACAACGTAGATAGGTACCGACCGATGGAACCGGTGGCAATGCCACGGACATGAGGCCAACAGCCACTCACTCTGCGAGAAAATCCCATCCCTCCGCAGTGTCTACCCCGATTCTCGAATGTAAGACTCCGCAATCATGCGCCATCGTGGGAGGTGGCGACTGCCCCGCGATCTCGACGGAAAACTCACGTCGCATTCCACCATGGGTTACGGAGTACTTCCATGGAGGGTTACCCGTCCCGCTGAGTTGATACATCTGCACAATCAAAATCAGCACGATGGTATTGCGTTTGTTATACAGAGCTTCAGACGGAAATTTTGATTCAACTGGCAAACCTATTGAGCTACAGCCGAATAAAACCAGACACGTATTCTCCTGACCCCATTCACGGGGAGAGTGAGAACCCCTTCAATCACACAGCTCGCGACCAATAATCGGATCCGAAGAGACTCCGATGAGCGATGGAAGGATCATGACGTCATATCCATGAGCCGCAAACCATCAAGGATCGCCACAATAATTACATACCCCTTCCAGAGCATCTCGAGTACCTGCAGGCGATCTTACCACGGTTGCACGCCCTGCTGGTTGATCACCCTTCCCACGTCGTCATTGCGCGCCACCACCACCGCACTGCGGATGAATGGCCCTGCGACCGCGGGGGCGCGCGCCCAGCTTGAGGAACCCTGGATTACTTCACAACCGCGTGGCCAGGAGTCCTGGTGGAATTGCCCAGACCTTGGCCCCCTTGGCGTGCAGCCAGCCATGTCCCTCGCGCATCAGCATGTTGAGCCCCGTCTTGGCGCTCCGGTAGGTGCGCACGCTGAGCGCCGTCCTGGGCCATCCCTTGGGCGGCACCCGCGTTCGTCCGGATGCTCGAGTCCTCCGTCCCTACCAGGTTTGCCGCGCCGGAGGTGATGAAAGAGCAAGCGAGGGTTGGTGCTCTGTAACACCAAGGGGGCCACGGTCGCGGTGAGGATATGCGTGCCGGCAGTGTTGACATTCCAGGACCGGTTCCACATCTTCCGCTCGCGTATCTTCCCGGCGCTCTCCCGTTGGTTAAACTGGACGTCTACGGTATGGTCAATGGACGTTCACACCCGTAGGGTGGATGGTTTCATGTTTCACTGGCATTGTTGATGACCACATCGACCTTGCCATGCTGGGCCTGTAGCTCCGCAGCGGCATGCTTGATTGACTCGTCGGACTCGATGTCTACCACCAGGGGAACGAGCGTGCTCGCGGAAGTGGGGGGCTCTTCCTGCGCGAGGGCAGTGGCTGACTGCGCCTTCACCCGCGATCGGCTGCCCACGTGGATGGTATACGGCCGGTCGGAGGCGGCGGGGCACTGACGATTTTAGAACCAATGTTCGTATCGGCGCCGGTGATGGGGACAATGGTCTACATGGTTCAAAAATTCCCGGGGCCACTAAGAGTCTACACGGTGTATGCTTCTAGGCTGTCTCGGTGCGCGCCTCAATTCCGACCCGGAGATAGTCGCTGCTAGAGGCTTAACTCGGAGTGTTTCAATCCCCTCAGATATCATTCCGGCCATCTCGTTGGACATCTAGGCCGATCCTGGTCAGTTATTTGTCGGTCCTATGACCGCCACAGATTGTTGCGCCTACTAGATCATTGTGGTTCATCGCTATTTTTGAAACGCAGCGACCATCACTTACTCCTGGGGCAATGCAGATCAACCACCATATCCGCCCGTCAGTACAGCGTGTCTGCGAGGTCCGATGCTGCGAATACCTCCCTGACACTTGTTTTCGCAGGTCGTGGACCAGGTTGAGGGAATCCCACCGCACGCAGTCGCTTGTGGTTTTCCATGGGTTTATTCGTTAGTGGTGTATCAGTAAGTGGTGTGCCTCATCGATGGTATCTTCCGGTACCCATCATCCTTGCCAGCACAATGTCTCCGCAGAATGTGGTTGTAATGCCACTACTTGTAGTAAGTAGAGCGAACTCACAGGGCGGTCAGATATGAGAAAATGTAGAACACCAGCCGGTCATGAATAGCCTAGAGATAGGGGATACTGCGTTTTCCTTAATTGACAGTATCGTCGAAGTTACGGTCGCGTGGAACGAGATATTATCGTTGAGTACGCTGTGCAGGCTTCGCATCCAGCACGGCGACCTTTCGTGGCACGCAGGTCATGGGATCTTCACCCCGTCAGAGTGGTCATAGTCCACCGTCTCCACGATATAATGGATATGAGTAGTACATTTCAGGGATATACGAAGGCTGTCGACATTGGGCGGTCCTGTCCTTCAGGTCGAAGGCTTTAAAGCTCTCGTGGTCTTGGACTCCTGTTCAGGGTTAATACCATAAGACACTGCTCCATGTGCAGCGGACAGATAATGCTCATGTTCGGTTTTGGGGTTGATACCATTTCATAAGGAACGCGGGTTCTCCTACAGGTAGTCCCAGGATGGGGATTATCTTAGCCACTACACCAAAAAGCCAAACGGCAGTTTGGGTGGGCTTGAACAGACTGATGTGCTAAAACATCATACAGTCGTAGAAACTGCATACACAGAGCCACACTTCTGGCTCAAGTGTATATAGTGAGACGGACTTCTATAATGACTGGCATGGTGCACCTCGAACTCCGTGAAGTATGGCTTTATACGACGCATTCTTTACCAGCGACGTGCATGAACATCTTGCAGTATTCACACCACAAGCCTGATATACCGCTTCCAGGTGTCCCAATTTGTTTATGTCGCACAAATATGTCACAGTAAAAACAAGAGCTCCGTCTCAATGACAGCGCCAAGTTCTGAGGTGTCGTTGGGTGTCTTTCGGCTACCGCCTGTGGCCAATTGTAGATTTCTCCATCTCTATCGAAACACCCATTGGATTTGAACACATATGCAACAGCACACAACCAGACGGTATTGGAAAATGGGGTGTATTAGGACGTAGTCCACAAGGGCTTGTCGGCTGACTCGTCGCAGCCAGAGAAGAAGCGTATTATGTCAAGTTTCTGACGTCTACTGAATCAGAACCACGCGCTGCAACAGCTGAGACACGGGACCAGTGGTAGTCTCTTAACCGGACATCGCATCTTCAAACGTCTATTGACAATCGTCGAAATCCACTGGACGATGGATTGGTCACGACATTCCAGTTGAAGCTCGTCAGTCCGAGAAGGAAGTTTCTCCAGGCCGGTATACCTATAGACAGATCGCAGTCGAGAGAGGCGTCCTTCCTGTACCCGTTTTACACACCAGCCATCCTACCGGTCGGAGATCTCCGGTAGGATCGTTATGATGGCGATCGGAGGCGGAACAAACCGTCATCATGCCAGGCGAAGGATTGGCTAGCGCATGCGGGGATTATGGTGGGCTGGGCTGAATTGGCGGGAGCAACCGACATATACTCCGTGATGTCGAGGAGTTATAGCCATGGGCTTGTGATCTGCTTGTCTGAGAACGGGTCGATTAGAAGTCCAGTTAGCTTTTTGTGGGATTATTTTATAGATGGAGATGGGTGTGGGTTTGTTGGTGGCCCCGGTTGTGTTGTTGCGACGGTGATATATATCGGGCGGGAGGGTGTAGCTTAGACCAGGTCTGCCACTCAACTCAATAGACAGGAACACCAATTGAAGTAGTTGCAGGGTTTAACCATGGCAATATGATGGCTAGTTTTATCATTTGTTGACAGATCAAGACTGAATCCTATTTCCATCGTCATTCCGACAGATCCAATTTCCCAAGTTACGATGGCTAAGAGTCTTGAGAAGGCATGATGCGGGCCACCAAGGCATGAGACAGAGTTGAGTGATCTGGACAGAAGAAAATGGTCCTCCTGGCAACCGAATAACTACGGAACCACCACGGGCCAATCAACCCAAGACGTTACAATAGGTTCTCGGCTGAACTACGAGGGATTTAACCATCGCAACCCCAGACCCCAGGTTGGGGTTGGACGGACGGCTGGAGGACGGTGGACCTACACATCCCCTGAACAGCGAGTGACATGTCCTGGTAATCCTGGAGTGTGTGGGGTTGTCGTGCGCTTTACGGATCATTTCCGCCCCGACAATAACATCAACATCGTCGCCGTGGGTGGTGACTCCGAGGCGGACGGTGAAACCGCCGGGCAGTTTTCTTAATATCGGGGAGTCAGGATCATTAAGGGGACGAGGGACGGAATATAACGACCGATGGAGAGAGATAGACGAGAGATGATTGATTTCTAATCTCTGAATGGGAGTCACGGAGAGTCTCACAGATATGAGATCTCCACTGTGGGGATTGTCACCCAGAGTCTTACTCTGTCGGGGTGGAAAGAGGAGAAGAGAGAGAGCGCGCGTCGTAACCTCTATCTCAACCCGCCTGGCTTACCGAGTATGGAGAAAGAGTCTTATCTCTGCTGGTCCCCCCTCGGACTCCACAGACCAGCTGACATCAGCTTCTCTCCACCCAGTTCATCCTTACTCCTTCAGTCACCGTCTTGTCTCTCCACCTCCACCGTTGGAGACTGACCCCAAGACTTCCAAAGATCAGGGGAACGGCGGCATGAGACTGAATGAGACTGGATCTTTCTGGACACGACCGATGCAGCCGGGATGCCACGTTGGTGGCTCGGAAGTCCGCGCCCCTTGCATGATCGCATGGTCGCATTCGTCCAGGCCAGAATCGACCGGCTCGGCGTGAACGCGGTGAGGGGGCGCAGTCCCATTGGTTCATGGACGCCAAGACGCGACGTCGGCGATGCGATCGACAGACCAACGAAAAAAACCACGCGAGACCCTGACTACCGACTGGCTAGTGGCCAGTGGCCACTACCATCCTGACAACGCCCCGGATGCAAGGGACTTACTTCCCCCATCACAGCATGGTGCCATGGCGCCCAAGACCGGGAGTGAGGCGGGAAGGATTCGGATATCTGCAGGTCGATGGGCCGGGCGATGTCCGGGCCGGCAACGAGGCCGAACAAGAATTTTTCTCTCGAGCGAGTTTCATGTCTCGATGGCATACGAAGTCGGGGGTGCGATGACCGGACCATTACTAGATAAGAGCTGGAGCAAGCGAACACCGCTCCAGGGTTCCTCGTGGTGGGAATGGGGACCCCGACCCTTCGCCGAGTGGGCCGAGAGGATCCGTCTGGATGCCCAACGCCCGGCAAGGTTACATGCTGGGGTTTAAGGTTTACACAGGTAGAAATATACTCAAAAGGATAATCTAAATTACTAAATCAAATAAAGAAAATAGAATAAAAAAAAGGGAAGGAAAAATCACGCACCTCTGGCGGGGAGGCAGGGGGAGGGTCGTGCGATGGACGCCTGAGGTGGCAGTTGGTCTGTGGAGTGTGGTGGCAACGACTGAATCCCAATAGGGCAGGATTGAATTGGGATCCTTCCACGAGCCTGTGATGTACTCTATTCTTTTTACCTTCGGTATACGACACCCCGCAGATGATGTCGAACAGACAGTCTGGGGATGACACCAGGGTGAGGGATTGCGGAGAGAGTCGGCGTTCGGACTCCATCCATGACACATCGAAATGAGCTGATCAAGTCTACGGATACAGTTCCAACTGTTCCCAACTGACCCGTCTGCTCACTCCGGCCTGATGAAATGGGCGTCGGCTCGACTAACCCAATCCGGGGCGGCCACTAACTCCGCATTCGGCCTAGCGTGCCTCGGATCAAGCCTCACGCCACAAATCTTATTAGTCACAGTATCGCGCGCTGATTGGCTGCCGCGGTCAGCCCGCCAATCACAGCCCGCCCTGCCCCTGTCCTCCACCCGGCCCGGCCAAATCCATCCTGCCGCTAACCCCAACCCGGCTAGCGGCGTGGCGCTTATCTTCAACATTTTGACAATTTCCATTCATAATTGCAGGAAAAGTTTGAGGTGGATTTCTCTTTTCTTGTCTCTCCCACTCTGTTCTCTCGCGGTTCTTTTTCCTTCTCTGCTTATCTCGCCAAGTCTCGTGCTCACCTACCCACTCCGTGGATCCCCGTCCTCGCCTTTTTTTCTTCCTTCTTCTCCCGCACTTCCTCCTCTACTTCTTCTTTCCTCCTCCTCCTCTTCTTCTCCCGGCAGCTTCTTTCCTTCCCCAACTTCACGGTCAAATATATTCCTACCTGTCTGGTCATCAAATCCTCTGGTCAAAGGGCATCTCCCCCCTCCCCCCCCCCCCCCAATGTCCTCTCGCCCGTACACCACAGACCCCCGACAAGACCTTCCCCAGACCACTCCCACCATGGGCCTCACCCCCGATGATATCTCCGACCAGGAGTCCAACAAGGTCGTCGTGGATTCCGACCTGGAGAAGCGGGACGATGTCTCGGCACCTCCCATCTATGATGGGGAGATCGTCGCCGAAATGACCGAGGAGGAGCGGAATGTCTACGATCACGGCGTCCAGAAGTTCAACCGGTTGGGTTGGAAGCGTCTGACCGTCGTCCTCATCGTCGAGGCTATCGCCCTCGGCTCCCTCTCCATCCCCTCCTCCTTTGCTACCCTCGGCATGGTCGCCGGCGTCATCTGCACCATCGGCCTCGGCCTCCTCGCCATCTACACCTCCCACGTCATCGGGCAGGTCAAGCTCAAGTTCCCCCTCGTCGCCAACTACGCCGACGCGGGCCGCCTCATGATGGGCCGCTTCGGCTACGAGCTCGTCACCGTCATGCTCGTCCTGCAGCTGCTCTTCCTGACGGGCTCGCACACCCTGACCGGCACCATCGCCTTCGTCAACATCACCGAGAGCAACATCTGCTCCATCATCTTCGCCGTCGTCTCCGCCATCATCCTGCTGCTCCTCGCCGTGCCCCCCAGCTTCGCCGAGGTCGCCATCCTGGGCTACGTCGACTTCGTCTCGGTCATCCTCGCCATCGGCATCACCATCGTCGCCACCGGCGTCGAGGCCTCCGACAGCCCCGGCGGCTTGGCCGCCGTCGAGTGGTCCGCCTGGCCCAAGCCCGACATCACCTTCGCCGACGGGTTCATCGCCATCACCAACATCGTCTTCGCCTACAGCTTCGCCATGTGCCAGTTCTCCTTCATGGACGAGATGCACACCCCGCGCGACTACATCAAGTCCATCTGGGCCCTGGGTCTGACCGAGATCTTCATCTACACCCTCACCGGCGCCATCGTCTACCGCTTCGTCGGCGTCGACGTCAAGAGCCCCGCCCTGCTCTCCGCGGGCCACCTCATGAGCCGCATCGCCTTCGGCGTCGCCCTGCCCGTCATCTTCATCTCCGGCTCCATCAACACCGTCGTCCTCGGCCGCCTGCTCCACGGCCGCATGTTCCGCAACTCCCCCATCCGCTTCATCAACACCGCCATGGGCTGGATCACCTGGTTGGCCATCATCTCCGTCGCCACCGTCATCGCCTTCATCATCGCCGAGGTCATCCCCTTCTTCAACGACCTGCTCTCCATCTCCTCCGCCCTCTTCATCTCCGGCTTCACCTTCTACTTCCCGGCCATCATGTGGTTCCAGCTCCTCCGCGAGGGTAGCTGGACCTCGCCAAAGAACATCGCCCTGGCTTTGTTGAATGGCATGTGTTTCATCATCGGTCTGGTTGTGCTCGTGGCGGGCATCTACTCCGCCGTCATCGATATCGTATGTCCCTTTCCCGCCCCCTTCTTGGCTTTTTATTTATCATTTTTTCTGAACATCTACTAATTAAATTAATCTAGGATGCGAAGTACAAGGCCGGCACCGTCGGCGGGGTTTTTAGCTGCGAGGCACCCAACGACAAGTAGGTCGACCTCGATCGATCGATGTATATAGATGGATGGAGTGGAGGATTGTATAGATAGAGAGGTTCCTGCCTGGGCCGTGCCCATGATACCCTGTTTGCATGTCATTAATTTATTTGTTCGTCATCTATCCGTGCCTGTAAATCCATCCGGTCGTAATCGTTGGTCCTCCACTACAGGCCCTCCGACATACATAGATTCTCCGCGACGCTACTGTTAGCGTGCCATTCTACCGGACTCCTGGGTCGACTAGTGCAGCCACAACCGCGGACCGATCGCCAGTTCAACACTGGTAGGGATTGAGCCGGACTCCGGCTGCTGCCGCAAGATACCACGTCTCGCACGCAATCAGCGGCTAGTACGAAAACTAAATCCAACGCTACACGTTCGTTGTCTTGGCTCGATCTATCGGTCTCATCCGTTTGATTGGGTTATTATCATCTATTTGACTAGAGTTATGTGCTGGAAAGAGGAATAAAACACTGCAAGAGAAAGAGCGATGCGGTGAGGGCTTCGCTGGGCACGTGGTCTCAACAGCCAAGTCAGCACAGCAGCCAAGATTCACTACATATCAGTCTGGCAAATTGGCATCAAGGGGGGTGGCGAAGTGTCTTGAATGAAAGTCATCTATGCGTCCAATGACAGATAACCACTCGTACCGGCAGGCTGCCTTCGACTGCATGATCCACGGCAGAGGCCCCGCGACTCCACCATGAGGCCGCGCCTGCATTGTCAGCCACCTATGGATGCATAAAGGTCGCGCCTGCCCCTAATAGTGGACCCAACTACGACCCGTGGACAGTATCAAAACTTGCCGACGCGCATCAAGGCCACCCATGCCTCATCCCCCGACCGTCCAAGAACAATGACCTCGAAATGACGGTGCAGGATGCCCCCACCCACGACGACGTGCTTGGCGAGATCACCGATCAAGGCCCCAACTACAGCAATGTGCGCGCAGAACAAACCCCCATGCGTCTACTCCCCTGATGACTTCTAGCTGGGCTTCCTAGGTACTACCGTCCTCATGATGAAGACCGAGGTCGGCCTCGGTGTCCTCTCCATCCCGACAGCCCTGAACATCTTGGGCCTCGCGCCTGGCATTCTCTGCCTGTGCGCCCTTGCCGCCATTACAACATGGTCCGAGTACATCGTTGGCACCTTCAAGGCCAACCACCCGGGAGTCTACGCCATCGACGACGTGGGGGCATTGCTTTTCGGTCCCCTGGGGCCGTGGTATCCTGGCCGCGGTATTCTGCCTCTGTATGTCGTGGTAGGTCAACCCATCGAGACAAATCGACTGACGATCCGTAGACTGGATCTTCGTCACCGGCTCGGGGATCCTGAGCATCTCCATCGGCCTCAACGCAGTGTCCACGCACGGCGCCTGTACCGCCGTCTTCGTCGCCATCGGGGCCCTCGTCGGATTTCTCGGCAGCAGTGGGCGCACACTGGGTCGCATCACATGGCTGGCTAGTATCGGGCTGCCGTCGATCCTCATCGCTCGTAAGTCCTCCCGGACGCGTGTTGCGAGCTACTCCCATACTCACAGCGCCAGTGGTCGTCGTCACCATCGCCGTCGGTGTCCAGGACAGCCCGGCTTCTGCTCCCACGACCCGGGGTCCCTGGGTCTCTGACTACCAGATCGTCGGCGATCCCACCTTCCCTCAGGCTATCAGCGCGGTCGTCTCGCTCGTCTTCGCCTATTCCGGGTCCTCGGGGTTCTTCCCCATCGTGTCCGAGATGCGTAACCCATCCCAATACACTCGTGCGTTGATCGTCTGCAAAGTTGGCGTCACGCTGATCTACGGGGTCATCGGCTGCCTACTCTACTACTACTGCGGATCGTACGTGGCGTCGCCGGCGCTGGGATCCGCCGGTGGCACCGTGAAGAAGGTGTGCTATGGATTGGCGCTGCCGGGGTTGATCGTGACGACAACGATCGTGGCGCACGTGAGACACCCATTCCCACCCAAATTCACCCTCTGATTCCTGAAGATTCCGTCCAAGTTCGTCTTCGTCCATCTCCTCCGCGGCTCGCCCCATCTCACCTCCAGTTCCCCCACGCACTGGATCACCTGGCTCGGATGTACATTGAGCGTGACACTCATCGCCTACATCATCGCTAGCGCCATCCCTTCCTTCGATGCTCTAGTATCGCTCATCGGAGCCCTACTGGGAACGCTAACCTGTTTCCAGCCCATGGCTTGCATGTGGTTATACGATAACTGGCACAGCGGGACGCGCGGGTCGAAAAGGTGGTGCTGCATGGTGGCGTGGAGTATCCTGGTCATCGCGATCGGGACATTCCTGATGGTCGCGGGCACGTATGGATCTGTCGTTGCGGTGATTGCATCGTACCAGACTTCAGGCGGGGGAGGGGCGTTTTCATGTGCCGATAACTCTAATTTGGTGTAGGTTTGGGTTGGTTGGATACCTGGTGGATGGGTATATCGAAAATACCACGCGGAATGTGGTTTTTAGGATACAATAGTTTGGAACCCAATCATCAGTATTATGAGTGCTCGGAGACTTGTTCTGTACTCTAGTTGGCATTTACATTGCGTGGTATGCTCGTAGGGACTGCTGTCGAGCTTCTCATACCAGGCACATTGGATCATACGTCTGGTCCGATATCGTGAACTGCTAGTAACGTCTCTCAGCCACTGCACCAAAACACCGAACGGTATTCTGGCCAGGCTGGATATGACTGATATCCCAACGACATCTAGATCTGTCCCCCGCTGACAGTTGAGCCAGGTCCACGGCTGGCCTTAATATCATTTATCCATTGTCGTCTGTACGCTGTGCCTTTAGGCCCCTTGGAAGAATAAGGCGTATGCCAGTGTCAAGTACGTCCAGGGGATCGCTGGTATGGAACTTATTCCAGTAAAGTCATGGTCGTACAGCGTTCTTCGTCCGGCTGAGATGTGTCGAACTCCTTCCTATGCTGTCCGATCTACTGGGGAGCTCATCGAGGAAATGAATCCACCGTCCAGTAGCAGAGTAGTCTGTTTATCGAGTTTTACCAGAATATGCTGTCCAAGTGCATGTTAGCGAACGATGCAAGCTACAGCGCCCATGCCCATGGCTCCGAATACCAATGGTTGGATATAATTGAGATGATCATGTTACATCATGGGGAGTGGGCGTATTAGACAAAATAAACAGAATGTTTGACACGGAGAGTCTCAAGGGTGTGGGGAGTGGAGTAAGACTAAACCCCGCGTCTCCAGTCTCCACTGATATTCGAGATCGAGTCGCCACTAGGGTGGTCCACTCGTCCGTGATGGTGTGAACTTAGTTGGTGGGGAGGAGTGGAGGTTTGATCTTGCTGTGTGGATTAAGGATTCGTCTTGTTGATATCAAGGGGTAAGTGTTCACTATCTATACTACATCTAGTTTTTCTATGAACAGATGTAACCTATATGTGGTGATACCGTCAGGTTATACAGCATATTTCTAGGAGAATGTCTAGACACTCTTAATCTTATTAAGCATTGAAAAGTATATTTTCCATTGTTTGTAAAACGCCAATTTCAAATTTTGTACATCATAATATCTTTCTACTGTTGGTATAGGATCTATTTTTCCTATATTCGGACGCCTTGTTAGTTCTTGCATGCATCAACATTGCAATCTAGCGATGTTAATCAGTATAATCTACTATGGCCTCCCTAAGATTCCCAATCTCAAGCTAAGATAATGATAGGCTCAACATCCTATAACATGTCCAATGCATCAACATTTTGTTAAATTTCCTATCACAGCATCCAATCGTTTATCGACGGGACCTTTTCGAGGTGATAGGGCGCCCTGCTATGCGTCTTGCTCAACATGAATGCAACCGATCTCCAACAGAATACCTCCACTCACTATTCGGATAATTTGCCAAAATGTGCGAGGTGCCCCTCCGGAGATAGGCGACGGCGACTAGGCAATTACAATGCCGATGTCTGGAACATCCCTGCCGGCTGCAAGGGATACTCTTGTATTCTCGAGACAAGGGATGTAAGGAATCGGGAGTGCTCAGCCCAGTGGAACACTCGAACGTGAGTAAACTCATTGGATACTAAAAATGATCGAGGTAGGGCAACCTGCCGGACCGTTCCAATCTCTAATCTAGGTCTGGAATGCATGGGGTGTTCCACTGCAATGTAACGGGATAATCCATTCCACAACGTCCTTAATAGGGGATACGGATGTGCTATATGTCCCCTTACATGGACGCATGGAGTCATCCGAAACCTCACTACATGAGATAAGATACCCCTTTAAAGACGAAGATCGCAAATTCAGTACATTGACAATGCCATCGAAGCACCCGGGCCAGAGTATCATACATGTTGGCAAACCATCAGAACTCCTCAATGGACGCGATCAAGCCCGTGGAGATCACCGAAGAGGTCAAAAAGATGGATTATGAGTCTCCTGCAGAGGACCAGGAAAAGATCAGGGTCGCTGAACCACCCAAGGGTGATGTGTTTGGGGACGAGGATGCGGAGGGAGTGCAGTACAAGGTGCTCAGTTGGCAGTATGACATGCCTTGATCCTGATATACCTCCTGAAGCTAAAAAACGCCACAGAAAATGCGCAATCGGTCCGTCATAGCCCAACAATTAGTCACGCCAGCTAACCAGGCTAGTGATGCTCGCCCAGATGATCTCGCTAGGGGTGCTATCTCTGCCCTCCGCCATCGCAACTCTGGGTCTAATACCGTGAGTAGATAGACTTATAATCCCGACCAGACTAACAGAACAGGGGGATAATCGCCTTGATCGTACTAGGCCTTCTGGCCGCCTACACCGCATACGTGATCTTCCAGTTCAAAATACGCTACCCACATGTCGTCCATATGGCAGACGCGGGAGAAGTCATCGGAGGGCCGATCGGACGCGAGATCGTCGGTGCCGGACAGCTGCTCTTCTGCCTCTTCCTGATGGCGAGTCATCTGCTCACCTTCCGCGTGGCAATGAACGCCATCACCGAGCATGGGACTTGCTCTATCGTGTTTGGCATTGTGGGCATGATAGTCGCCTTCGTGGGGAATCTGCCGCGCACGTTGAACAACGTAGCTAAGCTTTCATTCATCTGTGTGTCTCACTCTCCTACCCTACACACTGTCGCTGACCGGCCCAGCATTCACCAGCATCGTCAGCGCCGTACTCCTCTGCATGATCGGCCTCGCGGTGACCAATTCCCCAGCTCCCGTCCACGCCGTGAAACACACCGAGTTCACCACCGCGTGGGGCGCCATTACCGATATGGTGATCGCGTACGCCGGCCACGTAGCATTCTTCGGGTTCATCGCCGAGATGAAGGAACCGAAAGACTTCCCCAAGGCGTTATGCGTCCTACAGATCGTTGAGATTGCGTTATATGTGGCGGTGGCAGTGGTGATCTACTGCTATGCGGGAGACAGCGTCACGTCCCCGGCTTTGGGGTCGATGGGGCCTATCTTGCGACGGGTGGCGTACGGATTGGCGTTACCATCGGTTGATATCCCCAAACTCGGCAGATTGAATTCCACAGGCTAATGCTGGCAGATTGTCATCGCGGGAGTCATCTTCGGCCACTCCGCCTGCAAGCAGGTATACGTGCGTATCTGGGCCGGCAGTGACCGTATCCACAAGCGCGACGCAGCAGCGCTGGGGTCGTGGTGTGCGCTTGGGGTGGTATTCTGGCTCCTGGCTTGGGTGATTGCCGAGGCCATTCCGGTCTTCAACAGCTTGTTGAGTTTGATCGTATGTATGCCCTTCCCGCTGGACTGAACATGAGAGACTGACTGTATAGGCTGCGCTGTTCGGAAGCTGGTTCACCTGTAAGTCGCTGGTGATTCACCTTGTGGAATTTCGAGCTAACGGGTTAGACGGTCTGAGTGGTGTTTTTTGGCTGTTCATGAACAGGGGCCAGTACTTTGCGTCTCCGCAAAAGGTCTTATTGACTGTGTTGAATGTGGGGTTGGTCGGGATTGCGACTGCTCTGGTATGTGTTATTCATGTTCACGTCTTAATACGTGTACTGACGATGTGGCCAGTGCGCACTAGGTCTATGGTCATCGGGCAGGTCGATACATGAGGAGGGAGGTCGCAACAGTTTTTCTTGTTCCTGAGCTTGCCATTCCAGGGTCCTCTGGGTGAGCCAGACGAGGTAAGGTGGCGAAATGTTTGCTGTAGAACGCGATGGTATAAAAATGGGAGATACTTATGGCGTTTTGTAATACTGCTGGAGGATCACGTCGGTGTGAGGACGGGAAGCCGAAACAGCTTGATAGAATTGAATCAAGGTTTGCAAGTTACGTACCGTCTAACAAGACACCTTGCGCACCATCAATATCTACAAAGAGACTCTAAATCCCGAAATACATATTTCATATTTGGCATGGGTAGCGAGGACATGCAGCTGCCATCCCGACTATGGCTCATATCCCTTGGCAGACATACGTGGCGCTCGAGTTGCGCGCCAATGCGGTTGAGCTGCATTGCCCTGCAGTAGACAGCTTGACGTATGTGTCTTCCAAATAATATTGTTCGATCAATTGCGCCTATTATGCATGCATAGATACAAAGGAGAGTGACAAAGGAATCGCTATTGATTCTCCACCTGCACCCGAAACGACCGCTCCACTCCCAAGACCCCCGGGTTCTCCGATGTCAACCGATCCTCGCTGGTATTCCACGGGATGGCCACCTCTGGATTCCCGATGATCGTCGTGGTCACGCCGTGCGTCTCGTCACTGGTGGCGTCGTAGATGCGTCCGCCCTGACGGGTCTTCTGGGAGGCGCCCATGTAGGAGAGTGGGTAGCTCGACCTGGACGACCGCTCGCGGCAGAGGCGAAACAGCGGTCGCAGGGTAGTCAAGCTGCCTGCGGTGATGCCTAGCCCGGCCTCGACATTCGACCAGATGGAGATTTGATAGGTGGCGTATAGGAAATCGTGGTCGCGGTAGGTGGGGAGGAAGGGGATACGGACGATGACGGCGGAGCTGGCACTGTTTATGGGTTAGATCGACTGACCAAGGATGGACGCTGAATGGGGCAATTGGGGAACCTACATGCAGCCGAGACCCAAGATTCCCGCAAGCGCGAACTTGGTGCGCGCTGACATCTGCAAGTCCAGGATGATAAAGCACGGCAACAAACCGATGGTGAAGTCGGTCAGGGCCGCAATGGAACTGTACAGGTAGACGATCGCCAGCAAGGTATCCACGGACAGACAGCTGCCTTCACCAGGCTGACGCATCCAGAAGTAGCTGACCGGGCGACACTCGAAGATACTGAAAAAGAGGAACAGCATTCCCACGGCTACGGTCAAAGCCCCGGCCACATAGAGAATGATGGCGTGGGCGCGAACGATGGTGATGCGGAGGAGGGCGATAATGATGGAGATTTTGGCCACGACGCAGCTCACGATATAGAAATTCTGGCCCACCCACCAGCACTAGAAGAGGAGAAGTTAGTCCCGTCCGTCGATGGAGGAAGAGGGCGCAGACTTACCAACAATGACGTTTGCATCTGGTTCTCCTTCCCGATAAACCAGGCCGTCTTCTCCCCCACGCCGTAGTAGCTCCCCACAAAGATACAGACAGAGAACCCTATATACAAGCACTGGATCGCGAGTCAGGGGTGATTGATTTTGTGGGGGATCCACGTGAATGACCTACCAAGGCGGCCACCATGATCCCATCATCCCACCCGAACGCGCGCATGAGTCGTAACCGCACAAAGCATCGGAGAGAGACGGTGATGCACGACAATGCCAGGAATAGTGCGGTCACGATGGTAATGGCCTCTCTGCGGCCGTTCATCTTGCCGATCGTAACCAGGCGCGATCTGATATGCAAACACAGGTCAAGATCGCGGCTTCTCGACCATTCTCAGGCGCTTCAAAGAACTCTTGCGGATCGGTCGAGGACAGGACATATTCGACCGTCCTGTCGAGCGTTGAGGGGGGAAGGGTGGAAGGTTCCGACACGTAGGGGAGTTTGCGGGTCGCACGGAGTCCAACGAAACACTGATGGAGACACCGACACGCCAGGAATGACTCCAATTAATAAATACACGACGAAAGAGGAGCTCGGGAAAAAAAAAAAGAAGGGGAAAGGAAGCTTGGGAAAATGGGGAACCCCAAACGGGAAAAAGAAACCCGCGCCGAGGTCAGCCATTGGCCTCTTCTCGCACCCAGAGTTCAAGAAAAGTCTGACCAACATCAGGCCCACTGGATCTTGTGGGGAGAACCGGGTGAGGCTGTTAAATAGCTGGGTGTTCGGCTGAGAGCGGACCCGACTAGGCGGGTTCAGGCCCGAATTCAATGGTTTGATGAGAGGCCGTCAGGCATCAATAGCCGTGGAGTAATTGGGATCATCATCTCTTCCATGAGGACGGCGATTGAAGTGGTCTGCCATCGCAGAGTTGAGAGTTTGTTTGCAGCTGCAGGCAGAGTGGTCCGGTGTGGCGATTTTCTGTCAATAAACTTCGGCGCGCGGTGGGCTGCGGAGACGGCGACTGGCAAGCCCCAATCCAATGAGGACCGGGAACATCATCATGAGCTCACCGATCCCTCCCTTCTGGGAATATGGGCACGGTGGAAAGTGCCATGCGATGAGCGAAAACCACCACCACCACCATCACAACCACCTGTTCATGGACCCGCCCAGTGTAGATCCCCCTTTTCGTGCACCTAGTCGGCTACAGGTGTGGCCAGAACCTCGGTAAGAGGAAGATAGGGGTGTCAGCCCGTGTTGATGTTGAAGTTTCCCGTCAAAGGGTCGGATCGGATCCGAATCGTCTAGCAAGCTGGATGCCAGGGATGAGGAGGATTGATCAGGATTGATCCCTGGATGAAGTTCTCCAGGATCTTGCTGGGGCTTTGATGATCCTGGCAGTCACGGGGCGCACTACACGATGACTCAGCCTGTGCACTGCACAAGGGGATGGTGGGGATTTGACTTCCCCGATATATATGGATATCGACTCCGTATACGCCCATACGGTCTACGGAGTACTATATCTAAATCTAGAGCTCATTTCTGGCGGACGTGCCAGACTATCGATTTGAGTGGATCGCGTGGGATCCAAGCGAGTCGGGCTGGTGGATAAATGCGCTGCACTCGTGGAATATCCACCTCGTGCTTGTGAGATATCTGCCGTTCCACCAGTGAATCATTACGGACGGAAGACAACGCTATGTGAATTATATGGAACCTCATCTCTCCAATGTCAATACTCTCTCACTGGGCTCCTCGAGCTGGAGGCTGGAGGGATCGGCGGCAGAGGAAGGAAGCCATTTCGAGACACAATCCAGAAATATATATCCACTACTGCTTACGGCCCCCAATACTCTACCACATTCTGGAGGCACGGAGTAAAAATTGAATGAAATATTACGAGGTACAATGAGATTTTAGAGAAAAGAGACAGAAAAGAAAGAAAAGAACCCCACAAGCCTATCCCACCCGTGGTAATTGGCCGGATACATTGGCCCAGAACAGACTACAGACTACCTACCCCAAAAATATACAGTCTTCCCCCCTGATTGTCCATTTACCTGCTCTGCCACTGATATGACACTTGTGGATGAAGGCGATCAACTGGAAACATCAAACATGACAGGAGTGGTTGAACAGTTGAAACGCGACCGGGCTGGGCCCGCGGAAGAATGATAATCACCGCCAACAACCACCCAACAACAACAAACATCAACACTGCCCCAAGTGGGGATCCCCGTTTCTCCATCCACAGGAGTCCAGACTCCCCAGGATTGTCAACGTCTGGGTTTCTCACCAGAATGCCCATCTACGTCCTCCATACGACGGAGGATGATCGTCCAGCTCGTGTCATCTTCGTCCAGGCCATCACCCTGCTCCACGCCCAGACGTTTGGCACTCCACGGGCGGCCGTGCGCGTCGAGGTTGTCAACGCTCCGCGCCAGGGGTCGGAAGTGTGGTCAGAACATTATGTAGGCGCCCCAGATATAACCCCTGGTGAATTTGTTCTCCATGTACTAAACCAAGCATTAAGGGTGGGACGGGTTTTCAGGCCAGTGCCGGCCTGTCTAAATTTACCGACTACCTCGAAGTGAAGCTGGACTTCCGGGGGACGCGTGACGAGTGGGAGGATTACTGCCGCGAGATCGTCTCCATCCGCCCGCAGATCCGCTCCATCTACCTGCAGCGACTCGAGTTCGAGTTTGAGCGACCGGATCCCTCCCTCCTGGGCGGACTGGTGACGCCGCCGCGCAAAGGGGAAGGGAGAATGACGGGGATCGCCGCGCTGCGGGGACAGCTGGCCGGGGGACCGGTGTCGCGACGGCGATCCGTGGATGAGGAGTCTTTACCCCCGTATCAAGAGTGACAGAGGGGGCAGGTCCATCGGACTCCGTGTGTATACAACGATATAGACTTCTACCAATGCATTGTGATGATGTGACGACAGCACCGGACATCCCGCCTAATAGACTGACAGGGGACAGATGGCTGCGGCGGATGCCGCCCGCAACACCTGATTGACCAAGATGGGATCCGCTCGCAGCGAGCGACCCAGCTCGATCATACGACATGCGATGGACGTCTTTCAGCCGCCGATGGTGCCGATGGTGCCAACCACGACACGAGACTCTTCCCGTCGGTAGGAAAGTCAGAGCCAGGGCGGGGAGATATCCAAACCCGTCTTCAGCTGCTGCGCCCATGCAACAAAGGAACTGTCGTGCTCCTCCCGAAAGCGTCGGTCTTTCCGTTCCTTCACAATGTTGTTGTCGAAGAAGCAAGAAGCAAACCTTGTTGTGTTCCTGCCATTTGACGACGCGCCGTTCCGCGAAGCTTTGGCCGCCGCTCACCCAAATTTAGTCTTTAGGGTAGGGTAACGACAGCCGATCTGAATGGTGCTGTTGGGCTATAGGATAAAGCAATCGTGGGGATGGTTTTGGGCTCATAATATTCCGGATTAAGTGCGACTTCGGATAGGAATGTCCCATCCGATGACATCTTGGAAGGCTTTCAGTCTTTTGAACGCGTCCTAGGACGCTGATTTGACGAATATATTTCTGGCAGCCGTACATCCGTCGCATAATGTTCATAGCTGTTGAAGTATACCACCGGACAGAGATGCGCCAGCTGTAGCAGTGTCTTTCACTGGATGAAGTCGTCAATTATGGTGGTTGGGTCATCTGTAGTGCTGCCTGGGGAGATGTCCTAGGGATTTATTATATCGCACATTCCGACGATACAGGGAACATAATCTGGGCAATCGTTTGGCGAATGTACCAGTAGGGTTTCTAGTTTCCACAGTCGATCACTGCGCGGGTCTAGGTATGAGAAAAAAGTCCTGATAGGCTCGATGCAGCAGACCCCGTCTACAGGGGATTGCTCGATAGATCGGTGGGTCAACTCCGCTGGAGTGCATAAAAACAACTCGACTCGCTGATCGAAACGCAAATTATAAGCGTTCTCTATAAAATTTCCGGAATATTGAATGGGAATCTTTTCACCAGTGCATTGACAACGACGACATGCGTGCTATAGACTGTACTAATCGAGAGATTGCGTCTCTAACCCATGGGACCGGTGCTACCTTTCCACTTCAATGATCCTACTGCACCCCGGTCAACTCCAGGCTGCTCATGCAACTTGCCGTGGAGGGCGAATGATCAGCCAAGAATTACCGATCTGGGCGTTCCGCCCCGCTGGCGGCAGCGTTGCCGGATTGGGACATTCCCGACAGGGCGGGATGACCTGTGACCTGTCTCATCAACATTTCCACCCTGATTCAACGCCAACATAACTTCTAGCGGTCAGGGCTTTTGCAATTATAGAAAAGAAATCAATCTCTTCAATTGCAAGTCACCATATCGCCGGCAAGATGTTTGCCTGGTAAGTCCACACTTCCATCAGACGTCATCCGCCCGGCGCACTGACAACAAACAGGTATCAGCGCAGTCTTCTGCAACGCCCGGTTTTGACCCAGAGCATCACCACCGCGGTATGTCCCATCGGGAATTTCGCGTGATGACAGTAGACTGATGGGCAATAGTGTCTTTTTGGCTTAGGTGACTCCTTAGCACAACAAGGCGTTGAGCGCCGCGGCCTCGCTCAGCATGATGTAATTCGTACAGGGCGAATGGCCCTGTACGGCGGCGGTAATCTATGCCCCTTAATATCCCACTGCACCTCGTCACACAGATGAGTACTCAACTTCGAAGGATACAACTGACGCAAAGACAGTGATATTTGGTCCGGTCGCGACCAAGTGGTTTCAATTTCTCCAACACCGCATTCAACTGTCTACTCCGGGCCGCACGCTCGTTGCGCGTGTCGCCACGGACCAGCTTGTCTGCGCGCCCACCATGATCGGGGTCTTTCTATCAACGATGTCGGTCCTGGAGGGTGCCCACCCGCGCGAGAAGCTGGAACGCACGTATTGGGACGCGCTGCGAACGAATTGGATGGTCTGGCCGGCGCTGCAGAGTGTGAATCTGTACCTGGTGCCACTGCAGTATCGTGTACTGGTGGTGAATATCATAAACATTGGTATGTCTTTCATCTCTTCTCGTCTCTTCCGACTCCGACTGTGCTAATCGTAAGGGGGTTAGGATGGAATTGCTTCTTGAGTTTTCTCAACAATGCCGAGTACGATGAGGAGCCACCGGTTGCTTGATCGGAATGGCCCAGATGGTTTCCTGTCTGAATCGCGTTTCATGTCGATTAGAAAGCGTCCGATATTTTGCTTTTGTATGATAGACAATAGTTTAATGCTGCACTCATACTCGTGTCCCCTTCTAGATATCTTAGCTGGCTAGATCAAGCGTTAGCCGTCCGACCAGGTATTACGTATGAAGATGGCACCATGGATGAGGATGATGGTTAGTACTGATCATGAGGTGAGAACCGAAGACGTGCAAACAAACTAGCCAGAGGCTGAGATAGTGGTCACCTGATCGCACCGAGCTGTTTCGGTGTATTCTGATGATTTCAACTCTTCTTTATTTCTTCTTTCCCATCCCTAACCACATCAACCTTATCATTTCCATCCAGTTGACCCCTGCTTCTTCCTGGCGGGGGCTCCGAAACATTCAACAAGCAAGAGGATAAAGAAGACAACTTTCGAGACCAAGCAGCTGCCAATCTTCCTATGGATCTCCGACACCTCAGCACCTCATGGGTGTATAACGCAAGGCATCGTGATGCTCTGGGCTCCCAGAGACGGGATTCTGGACCGAGATTCTACAGCTAAAAGATGAGTGGAGATCATTCGAGACCGTCTGATTGGCCTATCGGGCAAAGACAGTGGATCCAGGACGCTACGGCCATTCCATCCGATATGATATCTCCCCAATTTATCGACTTCATCGGGTAGGAGAGCCGGTCAGATAGGTGATTATCATATCGGGATATCAGTTTCTGCCTCCGCAGGCAAGACAGGGTTCCCCGACAGGAACCGGGGTGCTAGTGCGGAGAGCTCCAACCGATAGCAAAGAACAGGAACGATGTGATCGACCAGCCACATGCCGTTAGGGTCTGGTGCCCATGACCCCGTTATCACACGAAATTACCCCGCATGAGTTTCTGGAAGAGCCAGCAGCACATTCAAATACGGTGTTTTGACTGAGAGATTTTATCTCGAACCTCGTGGGATCTCTGGCCTATCCGAACATCAAATCACTGAGACACCTGCGATGTCGCCCAAGGACCTCACAGGAAAACGCTCCCTGAGGACAGGCAAGCGTATATCGAAAGCGTGTGTTTTTCATCCCAGGAGGTGGTCAATATCCCCAGCTAACCATCATGCTACATACGACAGCTGCAGAAGATGCCGAGACCAGAAGATCCGATGCTCAGGCTCGCACCCCTGCGACCAGTGTAGCAAACGGAATTCGGCTTGCCAATTTGACAGCACGTCACAACGGGTTCTTGTCACTCGGAGGTAAGTGTAGAAGACAGACCTCTCTGTTTTCTCGCCTAATGATCCATTGCCTCTTCTAGATATATTGATAGTCTTCACGAGCGAATAGCGTCTGTCCAGCACCGCCTTTCCCATCATGCCTCCAGCAGGTTGACTTCGGAGCGACGGGAACACTCGACCAGTGAGTGGTAGTAACATCCGATCAGCGTGGATACCCTACTGAAACAATGTCCAGGTTGTGAGGTGCAATCTCCAGAGCCTGAGGACAGCGACCAGAATCAAGGTTTACCACCGGGACATGCGCCCCTCAAGTCGTCTGGGATACATGGCGGGAGGGAACCGAAAGCCCCTCTTACGAATCCTCTGGCCTTTCATATCACCGATTGGGCAACAGGCCCTATGGGCAAACCGCGTGCGCTACTCCCGATCCACCATCGCCGGTTGAGCTGCTACTGACCGTCATTGTAGTATTCATGGGCACGTCGTCTACGTGGGCCTTCGGTCGCCGGGTGTTAGGGATGACCCATATGCGACTGACGGGCCTACCGCTGACGCCCGATCCAGACAAATTGCTGTTTGATCGGCATGTCTATGACCCCGGGTGGGATGGAAACAAAGCCAATACTCCTAGTAATGTGTTTGATGTCTCAAACCTTCCGACGGCCGATTTTGCCCGCTATCTTATCAACTCAGTCAAGTTCCACTGCGGTCACCTCTTCTATCTTTTTGAGGAAGAACCGTTTATGAAACAGTTTGCCGCCTTCCAACAGAACCCCGCGGAAAAATCGCGTTCTTCGCCGCTGTGGTTTTGCCACTACTTGCTAGTCCTTGCATTTGGTAAGGGTTTTGTGGTGCAATCGGTGCGATCGCGAAGTCCTCCGGGGTATGATCACTTCACCCAAGCCATGCAATGTATGCCTGATCTCACTTTCTTTGACGGCGACCCAATCGAAATGACGCAGGTACTCTGCTGCGCCGCGCTCTACCTGCAGTGTCTTTACAGACGTGGACCAGCCTACCGCATGGTAAGATAAACGTCTAATCATTCGAGCAATTCCTTTTACCGCCATACTGATTCCTGTAGCTGGGCACGGCGCTACGCTGGGCTCTAGAGCATGGCATGTATACCGAAATGCACGGGCTCTGTCTAGATGAAGCATATGTACAGCGGTGCAGCCTCGTGTGGTGGACCATCTACACGCTCGAACGTCGGATGTCGTCTCTGCTAGGGGTGCCGATGGGAATATCGGAGGAGAGCATAAGTGCTTCGTTTCCCTCGATATCCCAAGAGATCCAGGGCGCCAATGTGCTCGAGATGCAAGTGATGCTGTGTCAGATCTTGGCAAAAGTGGATCTCAGTGAGTAGGGAACATCCGGCACGCTTCGTGGCTAATTCAAAATAGCTGTGTACGGTAGCGATGGGAAACTTGACAGTCGGTACCTGAGCGCCACGCAGTCCGTTCTCCGCGATATCGCCAACGTGACCGTACAGCTGAACGCTTCGTTCGATTTATACGCCAACGGGTCCATGAGTGGCACTTCGCGGATCTCGGCGCATTTGCATCTGCTCGAGCATCAGGTATGACAGTGCCGAGCTATGTGCTTTCTGATGATATGCTCATCCCATTCAGTGCATCATTCTTACGACCAGGCCGCTTTTGTATATTTTCCTTCAGTCGAAGCTGGGCCAGTCCGATCCGGCACTCATGGAATGGCTGCAATCCGCGACGGTCAAAGGTCTGCTCCATGCATGCGTGGAGTCTGCCCAGCAAATTCTCCGGATTCTATCCAACCTTCTCGAACAGGGACTCCTAGGTAAGTGTCTATTTTGACCCTTAAAAAAAGGCCCTTGTGCTGAATGTGTCTCCTCAGAAACATTCCTTCCTTTTGACATGGACGCGGCATTCATCTCCACAATCCCTCTCATGATGGCCGCGACAATTGATCAATCACTGCTACAGGACCATTCACCCTGGTCCCAGCGTGCCTACACCATATTGGAAGATATGAGCACCCGCGGCAACATCTGCGCCCGACTGGCGCAGTCGGAGTTGAAGCAGTTGGATGACGAGCTTGCTCAATTATTCCTGAAGAACAATGTGCCCACGGCCCTGGCGAGCAGTATTCGTGGACCTGAAGATGGCAGTGGCCCCATTCAGATCTTAAGCCCGGGCGCTCCTGATGGCTATACCCAATCGCTTGAGCTGGAATTTGCGGACAGCTTTCAACAGCACTATGAACTCAGTCCCGAGCAATTAATGGAGCTGGCTAACTCATTGGATTTGAACAGCTTGACCTGGCCTCTTCCGTCAATGGATGACATCCCGGCCCATGACCTCTAGACATCACAAGATCAGGGCGGGTGTTACTATAGGTGTTCTGTCTGCTGTAGCCGTGACCTAATCAATATCATTATGAGGTCGTTCATCTACTGACTGTTTAAAAATGCGGGCATTGGAGAACACCCTCGACAAAACCCAACAATAGATGTAAAAGAAAATTTGATCAACGAACAGGTATAGTGCATACTACAACCAATGGAGTATGCGAACAAGATGATAGACACGCTAGGAAGTTAGGCTTTCTTAGCTAGGCTGCACCTTTATTGACGGTCAGCCTTGTCAGCCTATGCTTCCAACTCAGAAGGGTTCCCTACCCCACCGTTCCAACTATGCTTAACACCATCTAATACCTGAAGAAAAAAAACCACCCACTCATTCCAACATGCAGGAGAAGTTCTTCAAGCTGGGGATGCGGGCCGATTCTAGACCGTCAGATACAGAAGGTTCCGCTCTCCAGCGCGCCGCAGTGAAGGGCGACGCGAGCGCCATTGCGAAGTTGGCGAGAGACGGCGTCGATCTAAGTGCTCGTTTAGACAAAGGATGGACGGCATTACATATCGCTGCTGCGGGCAACTTTCCCGACTTCGTCGATGGACTACTTCAGTGTGCGGCGAAATGGCAGATGAGCATCGAAGATGGTTCAACTGCGCTGCATATGGCCGCTGCAAATGGCCATCACAGAGTCGTCGAGGTGCTATTGCACCATGCAGCTCGAGCCAATGTGAAGCGAAGTAGTGATGGGCTTCAGCCCCTACATATTGCTGCCGGTCGGGGTAGGGAGGATGTACTTCGGGTGTTGATCGATGCCTACGCTAAGTGCGGGATGGACATCGACAGTACCGCGAATGATGGCGCGACTGCATTGAAGTGTGCATGTCACGGCGGGAATATTGAGTGTGTGAAGATGCTGGTGTCCGCAGGTGCCAATGTCGACGCTATTGTCGATGATCGCGGTCGCACCCCGCTCATGAACGCCGCCACAACCGACAAAGATCAAGTTGCGCAAGTTCTGTTAGATGCTGGTGCTGATATTGATCGTATCCATGATACTGGGATCACGGCGGTGGAAATTGCGGCATTCTCGGGAAGTTTGAACATTCTGCGCGTTTTGATTTCAGAGGGCGCCAACCTCGATCATATGGACAACCGAGGATATACGCCGTTACACGCAGCGCTTGTGGGCCAGCATCCTGAAGCTGCTATGCTCCTACTCGAGCAACGGATCAAGGTCAACAGGGCCTATGGGGAACATGAGTGTACGGCCCTCCATCTGGCTGTTTCTGCAGGCTATCTCGACGTGGCGGAAGCCCTGATCGGCAAAGGGGCCGACATTGATGCGTGTGACGCCGACGGTGATACGCCACTCCAATGGGCTGTCGAAAGGGGGTCTCTGGAAATGGTCAAGAGTCTGCTCCGCAACGGGGCTCAGATCAACAAGCGCAATGAGAACACCGACGAGGTGGTGTTACATTGCGCCATCAAATGTGGCCATGTCAGCATGACAGAGTTACTGCTTGCCCGCCGAGCGGATCCATCATTGATCGACCTGGATACAGTACAAAGACACGAATCGGCAGACGAAGAGCAGGTCGAGACTTGTAAGGTCCTAGTCTCCACAGCCCCTTCTCCGGATGACATACCCGACATTGGCGACATTGAACTTTCGCCGCCCCCGAAGCAATCGCCCATGTCCACTGGCGCAGAATACCGAGTGAAAGACTCTACAGACACTACAGGATCTGAGTATAGAGAGGCAGATATCAATGATCGTATAAGGCATCCGGTGCTGCACATACCGTCACAGATAGCAGCGCAAGATATCATCTCCAAATTTGGAGGCAGTGTGGAGCACATCGGTGTTACGTGCGACGGGCCTCTGTGCAAGACGAAGTCGGGGAGCGTCAAAGGAGCCCGATTCAGGTGCTGCTGGTGTGAAAATGTGGACTTTTGCTCAGGTTGCATGGCCAGCTTCCACAATAATCATCATCCTGACCACCCCATGATACACTCCCAAATACCGACCGAGTTTCACACTGTAAGGGAGATGGATGATGTGTCGAAGCGGTCTTGCCTCGAAGCGTGCGGAGACCCGTCAGTTTCTATAGAAGATTTGAGTCACATTGTCTATGCATTTCCAGATAGCGAATCTCTGCAAGTGCAACTCATCTCTACCGAGCACCACCTGCAGGACGAGGAAATTGAGCGGCTTCTGCAAGGTTTAGGCCCCGCCGTGTTCCCAGTTGTCAGATCCACGCTAGAAGAGAGCGTCTTTGCGGGCGTTGGCAATCGCGACATCATCAGAGAAGGCGATGATAAGCCAGGGGCCATGTCTTATTACAAAATTGACGAGGCTGGCAACGTCCGCATGAAGAGCTACCACAAAGAAATGACTCAAAATACCGTCCGGGATGATGACGTTGTTCTGCACCACCTAGACCCGGAGCTTTTAACAAGGGTTCTGACGGGAAAGCTCCGGTTCTATGATTATTCCGAAGACAGAACGTTGATAGACTGGGCGTGGAAGGGTCGCCTTGTCACTCGCTTAATTGATATCAAGCCTGGAAATTTCGACGACAAGCTCGAGATTGACATCAGGGTTGTCGACTTGGATAGTTGGCCCACATATGAGGCTTTATCCTATACCTGGAAGGAGACTGCTTACGAAAGGGCAATTGTACCCTCTTGGTCGCGAGAGGATGTGGAAACAGCTCGAAAGATGGCCAGGATTCTTCACGGCGTATACTGTAAAGACAGATTCGGAAATGAACGATATCTGACAATCAACTGCGGACTTCGGGATGCGCTGAAGCAAATGCGCCATCCATCAGAGACCAAAACCTATTGGATCGATCAGCTGTCGATCAACCAGGGAGATTCTGAGGAGCGAAGGTTTCAAGTTACAGGTATGATGTGGTTTTACAATCGAGCGCAGCAAGTGACGCTGTGGGTGGGCGACGAGGATGAAAGCACCAGGGATGTCTTCGACATCTTTCGAAAGATTGCCCACCGGTTTCATAGCCAGGGGTTCTTCCCTGGCCCCGACGAGATGCTGGCACACCCGGGGCTACAGCTGCCTTCGTTCGATTCGCCCGTCTGGAGATCGGCAGTAGGCTTTTTCAACCGTCCCGTGTTCAATCGCTGCTGGGTTACTCAAGAGGTTGTCGCCGGTCGGAAAGTCATGGTTCGGTGTGGGGAGTTTACTATAGACTGGACTGACCTGGCTCCAGTCGCTCAAACTTTCAGCCAGCGCTCATGGCTCAACAAATTACCACGGGACAGCCTGGAAATCTCCGCGGCGACTCTTCTCCTTCCACCCAGTGGCTCTGAAGAAGAGGAAGCCTGGCCCGGCGGTCTCCCCTCCGTGGTCATGATGAACGGTCTCCGCGAAGACTTCCAGATGCTGAAGATAAATTCGGTAGAAAACCTACTGTACATGACCAGTATATTCCAGGCACAGGACCCCCGGGATCGAATCTACTCTGTTCTTGGACTTCAAGGTGCCAATATCAGTCTTAGCGATGCCAGAGTGGTCGAACCGGACTACGAGAAGCCGATGGAGGATGTCTTTGTCGACGCCGCCAAGGCCTGTATCATGCAATCATCTTCTCTGACAATATGCGGCCTCAAAGACTGCGCATCTCCCCAATTGCAGGAGAGCCTTCCGTCCTGGGTGCCTAATTTCGCCACAACTGCCCTCACCTCTACGACCTCGTTGTGCCGCCCTGTACCACTTCGTCCGTATAACGCTTGCGGGGACACGTCCCTCGTGGCAGCATGGCCGTATGAGGAACGGCAGGACCTGCTTGTTACCTCGTCATGCAACATCCAAACCGTCGTCAGTGTTTCCGATGATGTACCTTGGGGCCAGGAGGCCTTGACGGGCATCGTTTTGGAATGGACTAAATTAGCGAGCACGGTCGGGCGACAGTATCCAACGGGTGAGTTTGCGCCTGACGTCTTTGTCCGGACCTGCGTCGTGGACACGTCGGGACCCTTACGCCAGAGTCCGATGCCACGCGACTACCATGATTCATTGTGTCGGCTGTTCGAACGATGCTACACTCACTATGTTGCCCTGAAATGTGGCGGGCTTGATACACCAGATGATACTGTCCTTCAGGAATGCACCAATCCGCTGATAGCAACCCTCATTGTGGATGCATATCAGACGGAAAGCCCAGCGAACCGTGATGAAGCGGAGCCGAGTGGAACCGCTACTGCTGACAACACCGTTGGTGGGACCTCGTCCGGCGGGGCTACTGTCGATCCTACCGCTGTGGAGGCGTTGTGGCAGGCTTGTAATAACAGGCGGTTTTTTGTGACAGGCAATGGCTTCTTCGGTCTCGGGCGTCGGGATCTTCGGGCAGGGGATGAGGTTCACATCCTGGGTGGAACACCTGTGCCTTTTGTATTAAGACCGTATGCGGTCAGCGCTGATGGGTCGGGGGGACCTGATGAGGACACAAGGACTCCAACAGTATTGGACGTGATCGGTGAAGATGATATTAAGTTGTATAGAATGGTGGGAGAATGTTATATCCATGGATATATGCACGGTCAAGTCTCCACAAGGAATGATGTGGAATGGGAAGGGATTGGGATTTTCTAACTTCGTCCCGATCTGATGACAGGGATATCTAGTGAAACAACATCACGGAGAGATATGGACCTGTAGGTGGTTTTGTGTAGGGCACAGTGACAGAATGTCTGGCATGGCCATATAGTGAAGATTATACGATACATCCAATCCAGTCACTCAGCTACGAACCTTGCTGTCCTGTCACTATCTACAGGGGAATCATCAAACTGTCTGTTGAGATTCCTCCACCGACGACGAAAGATGGCTTACAAATGACTGGCTAGTGCTCACCCCTCCATTACTAACCACAGAGATTAGAAATCGAAGGACGTTCATAGTGAATAACAGTATCAACACCGGGGTTTAGATTTATCTAAACCCCAGCCGGTGACGTGGCGCTTAACTCCGGTCCGACCCCCGCGTTTGACTCTCTATAAATATCCAGACAATATCCAGACTGTCCTCAATCAACCCCTCATCAACTTCCTCATCGATCTTCAACCTCTTGGAGCTCCGTATCTATTTAGGCTTGACGTATATCTTCTAGAGCTGTCCATCATGACTGTCGATTCGATCCAAAAAGTCGCCATCGTGGGCGTACGTCATGCATCCATCCTCCTACCAGCCGCGATCATATGAGAAAGGAACTGACCATTTCAGACAACTGGTCGCATCGGTGGAGTCTTTGCCGAAGCACTTGTGCAGACCGGCAAACATACCGTCACAGGCCTGACTCGTCAAGGCAGCCATGGGCAGCAGCCCGACGGCGTGCGTCACGTCGAAGTAGACTATGACGACGAAGCCTCGATAGTCGACGCCCTCCGCGGCCAGCAGTTCCTCGTAATTACCCTCGGCGTCTATGTACCAGAAGAGGTCCATCACCGCATCGCTGTGGCCGCCGGCAAGGCCGGTGTGCCCTACATCATGCCCAACATCTTCGGATACCCGGTCTTGGAGCACGCCAAAAAGGACGAACAGGGCTTGAACAACGTGGTCCACGCCCGGGTCGACCACGTCCGCAGCAATGGCGTGTCGTCGTCGATTCGCCTCCCCTGCGGCTTTTGGTACGAGTGGAGCCTCGCGACCGGCGAGCAGTGGTTCGGCTTCACGATCAAGTCCCGCAAGGTGACGTTTTTCGACGACGGGCGCCGCACCCTCACGGTGAGCACCTGGGATCAATGTGGGCGCGCACTGGCAGCGCTTCTTAGCTTCCCCGAGTCCGGAGCGTCGCCGTCGGTCGCCGACTTTAAGAACCAAGATCTCCTCATCTACAGCTTCCGGGTGTCGCAGCGGGACATGCTCGATAGTCTTCACCGCGTGCTGGGGACGACTGACGACGACTGGGAGATCACGTACGAGTCTGTCGAGAAGCGAATTGCAGATGGCGACAAGGAAATTGCCAAGGGCATCCGGACGGGACGTCCCAAGGCGCTGTATGGGCGGGCGTTCCGGACGGACAATGCTACGGCGGACTTTGCGGATACGATGTCCACGGCGAACGAAGTTCTCGGGCTACCTACGGAAGATCTAGATGAGGCGACGAGGCGGACGGTGCAGATGGTCGAGGACGGTTGGAATCCCTTGGGTCTGGCGGTTTAATCCATGTGCTGCGGTTGTGTAATTATCTCATTTCAAGGGCCTGCGTGGACCGCGTTCGTCAGTCAAACAAACAAGCCTTCGATAATCGTTAAATTTAGAAAAGGAAAAATACGTTCTGTCTGACTTAGTTACATTAATGATATAAACATCACTCGCGCGTGGGTTTTCATCCCGTATTCATTACAGCGCAACTCCAATCCATGATAACTGCCTGCCCGTCCCAGGAAAATCCTGATATGTATGAGATCGACGGACCCAGAACCACCAACGCAGGACATTGAATAATAACAACATCAATAGCAATCATTGATACAAGTTGGAAGTTGAGAATAAAAGATTGAAATAAGGGAGAAAGTGAGGAAGTGAGGAAATGAGGAAATGATTGAATGAGTGAATGAGAAAAAGGATTATCCTCTCTACGAGCTCTGGCTTGAGGTCTCCGCCTCGATCCACTGAGAGAAATCGGGCATGGGATCAAGACGCTTGCGTAGGACTTTGACCTTGAAATGCCAGATGGCATTTCTTAGCTGGTAAGCAGCATGCACGCGGGTCGGCACGGAGAAGACCTGGTCGAGTTCCTCCAGGGTGAGGGCTATGACCGTTAGTATTCGCCATCTATATAGACCAGGAAAATACAAAAAGGACAGGATAGATCTTACATTTCGTCTCCGGGACGAACAACAAAACAAGGAATGTTCCCAAGACACACCAGGCCGCGTACCAGCAAAAGGCACCCTGGGGGCGGAAGGTGCTCTTCAACATGGGCCAGGTGAAGGATAAGATAAAGTTGAAGCACCAGGTAGTGGCCGTCGCCCACGACATGCCGACCTCTCGGACGTTGAGGGGGAATGCCTCAGCCGAGTAGGTGAAGGGGACGGGGCCTTCGCCGGGCGAGTAGAAGACCTCAAAGAGGTACATCCCAGTGGTGACCATGGCGACGCGGGCCTTGCTCTCTGGATTTTTTTCGTCGATCCAGAATGAGAAGCCGGTCCAGAAGAGGCAGAGTGCGAGAATGGGGAAGGTGAAAAGCAGCAAGTTGCGACGGCCCCATGTGTCGATTGTGAAGAAGGCGGGCAACGCGAAGACCCAGTTCAGGATTCCTGTGCCCATGGATGCCAAGAGGGCTTGCTTGATCGAGTAGCCGCTGTCGGTGAAGATGGTGGTGGAGTAGTATGCAATGACATTGACTCCACAGAACTACCGTCTACTTAGTCTCGCCTGAAGTGGGTAGAGGAAGAGGGAAGAAAAGAGATACCTGTTGCATGAACATGACGATCCAGCTGGCCAAAGTCGCGCGTCGGATACGCGGGACGGTGAACAGCTCCATGCACATCGTAAAGAAGTTCTTCCCCTGGTTGACTTCACGCTCCAGCTGTACCCCAACGTAGGCGTAGTACAGATCGCGGGCCGCTTGTAGGTCTGTGGGGCGCAGTGTCTGGAAGGCCGCGAAGGCCTTGTCAATGCGGTTGTGCTGGATAAGCCAGCGGGGCGACTCGGGGCATAAATACACTTGGATGCAGACGAAAATGGGGAGGACGACGGTGGACCCCAGCATGAGGCGCCAGGCGAGGTCTTTTTCGACGTCCATGAAAGCGACGCCCATGACGTTGCCCAGCATGATGCCAAAAGCCGTCCACATCTGCCACATCATGACGAGGGCACCGCGGATAGGTGCAGGTGAGCACTCGGCGGCGTAGACCGGGACTGTTGACGACTTGGACCCAATCCCCAGTCCCAAGACAAAGCGGGCAACGAACAGGTTGACCCACGAGTTGGCGACCCCCTCCCAAATAGACGCGACGGCCGCGATGAAGCATGACCAGAAGATGGTGCCCCGTCGCGCCAGATACCGATTCAATGGCTCGGTCAGCCAGCAGCCGAGAATGGCGCAAGCGAGATAGGGAGCGCCGACGACCAGACCAGTCAGGTAGTCCTGCATGGGCTTGTCGAAACGGAAGTTGGTATTGTTTTTATCTTCGGGGACGATGCCGAGTTGCTACCGATGTTATTGGAGAGCCTTCTCCACACACATAGCCACGGACGGAGTGAATCTGTCGCCTACCGTAAGATAGATAGCTTGCGCCCCGTTGTTAACCGTCTCGTCCATTCCCTGCACCGCCGCCGCTAGGGAGCACATGGCTGCGAGATTGTTAATCCCTGATCATTGAAACAACCAGTGTGAGAGAAAGATAGCAGCGCATACCGACCAGGAAGTACAACATCCACGGCTGGGACCACTTGTGGGTCCGCTCGCGGATTACAGCCTCCCTCTCGCTCTCTGTAAGTTCAGGAAGGGCTTCGGCGGCTCGCGGGCTCTGCGAGAGGAGGGCACCCTTACGGAAGGTGTCGCGATAGTCCTCTAGCTTGTGATCGTGGCAGAAGCGATCCACGTCGGCGAAGAGCTGGTCCCGAGGGATGCCCGCCAGGGGATTCTCGAATACCGCACCGAGTCGGTTGGCAGATGCGCCCTCGACATCATAGATGCCGTGTTTGCGGCCCTCGGCATGTTCAACCGTTGGAGCTCCAGAGGCCTTCCTCCCGACCTTATCCTTCTCGGTAGCCGAGCTCAGGGATTCGTTAACTTCCATGGTGTGGTATGTTGGAAGAGGGGTTTGTCCGTGGTAGCGTTTTTATCCAGCCCGAGAAGTGAGAAGAGTAGACTCGTCTCATGTTTGATTTACCATCAGTCCCCGTGGAAAACGGCCGCGGAGAGATGTGGGGAGTTCCACTGCATTTATGTACCCCAGGATCCACCGGCCGGTCCACCGATTTCGATGAATCCTACCTTGATTCGTCAAGATCGGTGCTGGGGGGTCAGCCATGAATTCCCCGATTGGCATCGCATGGGATGATTCCCTCATGGGATGCCATCCAAGCGAGTGGGCGGGACGCACCAGGATTGGAGGACCAAGTGAGCTATGATTAGCTCCCATGAAGGACGTGGAGGCCATCAAGTGAAGTACCACCCACGTCAGGATGCAACGGCCACGGGGTAAGACGGCATGGTTCCAGGATTCTAGACTATCGGCGTGGGAGAATAAGCATAGCAAGCTTTGCCCACCCGTTGGACCCGGTTGGGTCAGCGCACGCCCAGCGGATCACCGAACGGGGGGGGACGCCACTGACGGCTTGTGCGAGGGGGCCATTTTCGTCGGACCCATCAGACGGAACATCCATCGGATGCGCACGATGGATAACGGCTTGAATGTGACAGTCGGCCACTAGAATAGAACCGGGATACCCCTTTTAGGAACGGATGGCTCAGTGTCGGTTGGTCCGCCCGCCCGCTGATCCCACGGTTGAGCAAACCCTAAACCTCGTGGGATGGTCGATGATAAGCTTCTCTTTCAGAAACTTGTTGCCCGGAAGGATCCGGATGATCAATGAAGGTTTCGAGGGCTCTGTTCCAATTCTGCCAGTTAGGGTTGGTCTAGAAGCCCTACAAGTGCCTCCAAAGTTACCCTCGTCGACCAGGCGGACGCCATTGAGCCCTCTATCAGACTGAATAGTGGCTCTTTGTGCGGGTATCGATCAGGAGATCGTGGCCGCATGATAATTACATGCCAGCCACTGACTAAATTATGCATTGATGTGCTAGGGAACGATATGCACTTGCTAACATAGACTTGTTGGATGTCGCCAGCGGATGTGGAACATGACCACCTTTGTTCGCGATGGACTGGCGAAGACCCGCTGTATGAAATCATTCGGCCATAGGTGATCAGCATATTCTCCTGATAATTTGCTCCGTCGCAAGACCATGATTTGAGCAAATTGTTTGTTTGGATCTTGTGTAAATCAATGCTGTCAGCTTCATCCCCAACATAGGATCATTCTACGGTCCGCCTCTGGCTGATCATAATCTGTCCGACCGAATGGATGAACTAGTGGTGCTGTTCGTGAAGCACAGAGCAAAGAACGGCATGTCAGGTGGCTGACTTCCAAAACAAAGGGTCAACCAAAGGGGCGAGGGATAGGGGTGCATAACTGGGAATGATAGCACCTCGCTAAATTGATATTCCTTGCTCAGGGAAATCCTGACATGGCCTATTCGCCACAGTATGAGAGATCATCCGGGCCTGAATGGCATCAAGATCCAAGACGTGGCCTGGCGCCGGCTGGGACTGATCGGACATCCATGGCTCTAAAGTCACCTAGGCAGAGACCATCTCCCTGCCCGTACATATCGGATTGTGGATTGGTTAGAATCGTGAATCCCCGTAAGCACTAGTCCCAGTTGAACCTCCCTGAAGCGCCCATTCAGCCTTGCAGCACAGACCGTGCTTACCAGGCGGTGCTTGGAAGAATTACCGATGTCTACATCGGTCGGTCAATAAATTGACCTCCCATTACATCCCAACTTTTATCGTTCCTATCGATGCAGTGGATAAAGGACCAACATTGGAGCACCATGCAGTGGGCGACGGGCATGGTGAGGTTAATTCAGGCAGTATCTGATCCCGTGTATCGACTCGACATGTCTCGACTGATCGACCACGGATAGTTCCTCTTCGGAGTCGTCGTCCTCGGCCTCTCGGTCACACTGCTGCTCGGCCAGCATTGGCTCTCCCCACCGGCGGTCACCAAATATGCCATATTTACCGGCGCCTTCGGCATGCTCGCCGCTCTCGTCGGTGTCGCAGAACTCTACCTTGATCGCCTGCCTAGTTTCGTCACCTGGGCTGTCGACGGACTAGCCGGTGTGGCTCTTCTCGCGGGTGGAATTGCAAGTACCTCCACCACTATCCTTTTTCCCACATAGGTTTAATAGCTAACAGGACGACAGGCCTTTGCCGCCATCCTAGGGGGCGCGGATTGCTTCAACGTTCGCGAAACGAGCACGAACCAGCTGCTCAGTGGGGGATGTTGGGATTTCGAGGGCCGGAAGGGGTGTTGGCACATGGCCAACTTCGACACCGATGCTCTCGAGATGCGGTGCATGTCGGCCAAGGCCGACTCAGCGTTCATGTTCTTGTGTTTCGCAACCTCACTCGCTGCGATCGCATTTTCGGTGTTTTTGTCCCGGAAGGGCGACGGGGCCCTCGTTACACCCCGGCGCATCTGCAAACCTTTCCGTGTTGACGTGTTGACTAGTCATGTACATCGAATGATTCCCCGATCGGGGTTTACGGGACCATGAAAGCAAAGTAAATCCGAGGGGTCTATTCCTATCTGAGCTGCGCCACAGCCGTATCACCTGGGCAGCTTCGCCGACAGCTTTCCCAGCCAGCCGTTCTTGCGCGTCGCGCGCGACGGTGAAGTCTCCGCCCACCCATCTGGGGCTTTTCGCGTGGGAGACCCCTTCCTTCGCTTCCAGTTGAATTCTGTGTTGGTCATGTGGCCCGGACGGTAGGCGCGCCCGTAGAGTTCCTGCGCTTCCTCCTCCGTCCGGATCCGTAGAATATCATACGTGCTGGCTGCAGTCATGGCGGCGTCGCGCTCCCGGGGCAGAGTCGTCCGGTCGCCCACAACCTGGACGTTCACCCCGCGGGCGCGGAATCCATCTCCCGCGATCTGGTCTTCGGTTTCCGTGACGAAGATGGTGATCCGCGACGGGTCGACGGGGTAGGCGAGGAGGTAGTCCAGGGCGTCGGCGTCGACGCCGCTGGGGATGGGGCCGATCACAAAGCGGTGGTCGCGGGTGATGGCTGCGTTGATGGGGGCAACGTAGTGGGTCTTGAAGTATTCGGCCCCGGGGCCGGTGTCGATCGGGCCTGAGATGAAGGCCACCTCGGGCTTTGGCATGTTTGTGAGGGAAATATCGAAGTCGAGGGAGTGGGGTGGTAGTGGATTTCCGGTGGGACGTCAGGCGTGATCGAGTTTATTTATGGCCAAGGTGGGGGATATCAGCCTCGTCGGGCAGGCTTGCTAGGCAATGATGGCTAGAGACACCAACAAACCCCTGGATGGGAGAGTTTAGAGTCATCTGCGAGCGGCGGAGTGGCTTGAGCGTCGTAAAGTATTAGCCTGTGAGGCTAACAGGTACGATCGGCCATCGGGGGGGGTATTTCGGGAATGCGCAGTCGAGTGATCGGCGCGGATACAAGCCGCCGCGGGGAACCTGATGCGAACTCTCTTCTTCACCGACGCGGTTTTCTAGGTAGGCAGCCACCATGTCGGTCTCCCTAAAATGTATTGGAGTCATATCCATTGGAGAAATGGGCCTGGGCGTCGCCCGCCTGCTCATCGCCCATGGATATCGCGTGGTGACCTTTGTGGCCGATCGCAGGTATGAAACGCGCACAAGATATATCACCTGAACGATACAAGTCATGACTATTGACACCAACCAGCGCCACAACACAAAATCGGGCCTCGTCTGCGGGGGTGGAGGAGTGTCAGTCGCTACGTGAAATGGTGTGTGAAAGCGACTGTGTCTTGTCCATTGTTCCCCCCAAGGATGCCCACGACACCGCGCGACGCATCGCCGCAGAGCTGCCTAGTCGAGCAGCGAAACGATCTACGCCTTTGTATTTCCTCGAGCTAAATGCCGTCTCCCCGAGTAGCGCACGCGCGATGGCAGCGCTCTTCACTGCCACTCCCTCAGCCGCCGTGACCATCGATGGCGGAATCATCGGTGGTCCTCCCCAGCCCGTGGACGATGACCGCTGGAAGAGTCCCAGACTGGTGATGTCCGGACCCAGTCCGCTACCAGACGGTCAGCTTACCACCATCCTCAACGTGCGACACGTGTCGACCGAGATCGGCGCGGCGAGCGGTCTCAAGATGTGCTTCGCCTCTTTGACCAAGGGCTTCACCGCATTAGCCATTCAGTCCTTCACGTCGGCGCAGGGACTAGGGACGTTGCCGGAATTGCGCGACCTGTTGCAGGAACACTTCCCCGCGATGCTGTCCCGCGCCGACGCAGGCGTGCGATCCATGCCCCCCAAGGCGTACCGCTGGGTGCGGGAGATGGAAGAAATCGGAGACACCTTCGCGGACGAGGGGTTCGAGCGCGATCTGTTCTATCAGGTGGCACAGGTCTATCGCACCGTGGCGGATGATCCGATCCTGGGCCAGGAGCAAACCGGACAGAGAGAACGGGGTCAGACGGCGGAGGATGTCGCGGGGATCTTACATGGTGCGCTTTCTAGAGAGGGGGAAGATCCACAGTAGCATGGTCCATTACTTTGATCTCAAGTCTCAACCTGCTCGTAGACAGAAGGAAGAAGAAGTGTGAATGAGAAGTCGAGAGATTGGGAAATCAAGAGTGATTTCGGCCTTGTTTTGCTCCTGAGGCATAAGTGGGTGCCTGAAGATGTAGGCAGTAATAAGGCAGTGTTATTTCCTGTTCTAGACTAGCGTCACCCGCCCCTCGTGATCTCCATCTCCAACCCATGATCGCGACATCAACAGCTCATTCTCGTGATTGTCTTGATGGAAGACAGCTTCGACAGACAAAGAATACCACCCGCGCAAGAACCATCCATTGTATAGGCATCATAGGAATGGCGGTGGAGTCCGCCAGGGTTGACCATGGGATCCACCGTTACATCCGCGCAAACCCTCACATAGCCTTGTCGAAGAAAACCAAACTAAGCTCGCCTGGAACTAAGCTCGCCTGGGTCCTTACATCATCCACTCGCCGGTTATCCCTACTGAATACGGTTGGGTGCGGCGCTGAAGGGACAGGGATCGATACGATGTAATCTGATAGGTGGGTCCAACAATGATGCGACAAGGCCCCCCGTTGCTGTTCCTCCGACCGTTCCTCCGACCTGCAGTTCCAATTGTTACGAGTGAGGAAGAAGAGAATACGAGCATCCCTGACTCATCCAGTGACAATCGGTCTTGTGTCGCTGATACGGACGGGGGGCCTTGATCGATGCGTTGGCCGTTTGTTTTCCACTTCTTTCCGTCGCTGCTTCCGAGTTCCCTGCGAACTGGAAGAGTTTACCCTTAAGCGACCGGGTTGAGCGATCTTCATGTCAATAATTCTCTACTGGTGTCTGGGGATTCTTCCGACCTAGTGAAGATGTCCTCATCATCTTCGCCGATGGAGGAACGGCCAGGGTCGCCCGTCTCCAAAGAGAAGGAGAAGAATATCGACCAGCAGCCGGAAGAATCCAGTCTTTCCGTGGACAAAGGGGAGGATATCACGAAGCCGGCTTCCCTAGCGAGCTATCTGGTAATTTCAACACTTGGCTAGATACAGGGCACTGTCCAAACTGACCATTGCAGAGAATCCTTTCGTATGGCACCCGAAATGGGGGCCTCGTTGCTATGATCGTGGGCTTGATCTGTGCCATGGGCTCGGGAATTGTACGTCAACCGGACAGGCGAGTAGCTAGTTTAAGTAGCTAACCGGCGATAGGCCCTCCCACTGATGACTATCATATTTGGGAAGATTGTCGGAGACTTCAATTCATACACCGCGCCAGGACAAAATTCAAACCAGCAATCGTTCACGTCGACGATCAACAGAAACAGGTCAGACTTCGCATCCACTACCGCGCTCTGTTAAGCACATTCCTTTTTGAATTCAACATTGACTGTCGCAGTCTATACATAGTATACCTTTTCATCGGCAAATTCGTCCTCACCTATATCTCTATGGTCCGTAGACCATTTGTGAACCCGAGGTGGGATATATGGCTGACAGATCCCTAGATATGCTTCAGAATCATCAGTCTCTACGCCTCGGCCGCCCTGCGCCTTGAATATACACATTCGTTGTTTTCGATGCCCGTCAGCAAGTTGGATGAGATCTCGGTTGGCACCGTCTCTAACGCGATCACCGCCCAGTCCAACACGATACAGCAGAGTGTTTCGGATCGCCTGGCAATTCTCTTCCAGTCGTTGGCGCTACTTATCTCGGCGTATGCGATCGCGTTTCGATATTCCTGGGCCATGACACTGGTCGTTAGCTCCGCCATCCTCTTCGTGGTCCTATGCTTTTGCCTCACCGTCCCCTTTATGATCAAGGGACAACAGTACACGGACCAGGCAGATAACAAACATGCCGCTATTGCCGCTGATGCCTTTGCCTCGATCCGCACGGTCTTCTCCCTGGGCGCCGAGGGCCCGCTGAGTCGGAAGCACTCCCAGTGGATCGATGAGTCCTGTAGACGGGGGCTGAGGATGTCGGTGATGACAGGAATCCATCTCGCCGCGTTGTTTTTCGCGATGTATGTTAGCTTTGCTCTGGCATTCTGGTTCGGGCTGAAACTTTACCGGGATGGAAACATCGCGAACATTAACACCGTCATTACGTATGGTCTCGGCCGTAACGGACTCCGTGCGTTCAGTGTGGCTGACCAGTTGCTAGGGTCTTCTTCTCCGTGCTCCTCGTCGTGACGATTATGGGAGGCATTGCCTCCCCCCTGATGGCCATTTCCAAAGCTGTTAGCGCATCGGGGTCCTTCTTCGGCGTGATCGACTCCGAGCGTGCCCCCACCACCGGGCTTCGGGAACCCGAGGTCACGAGCCAGGCAGATATCGTCTTCGAGAACGTCACCTTTGCCTATCCCACTCGCGCGGAGACCCAAGTTCTCAAGGATCTCAGTGTACGGCTCCCGCGGAGTAAGACCACGGCGCTCGTCGGTCCGTCGGGCTCGGGGAAGAGCACCATTGTTGCCCTAGTTGAGAGATGGTATCAGCTACAAGGCCCCACAGATCTTGAGAAAGAAACCACGAGTGGACGAATCTTCGTTGGTGAACACGATATCAACGACCTGGACGTGAAATGGTGGCGCTCCCAAGTGGGGCTGGTGCAACAAGAACCCTTCCTATTTAACGAATCGATCTTCCAAAACGTGGCTTTCGGCTTGATAGGCTCTAAATGGGAGAATGAGTCGGAGGCTGTCAAATTGGAGATGGTCATCGAGGCGTGCAAGGAATCATATGCGGACGAATTCGTGGAGCGCCTTCCCGAGGTAGGATCACCCTGTCCGTTGTCAATTCCGGCCCTAGTATTTCGATCTGTTCCCTAACGTGACCGCCAGCGGTATTCCACGAGAGTCGGCGAAGGTGGCATCAATCTGAGCGGCGGGCAACGCCAGAGGCTTGCCATCGCTCGAAGCATCGTCGGCCAGCCGTCTATCTTAATCCTTGATGAGGCGACCAGTGCCATCGATGTTCGTGGCGAGAAAATTGTCCAGGCCGCCCTGGATCGTGTTTCCAAGGACCGCACGACCATTATGATAGCCCATCGTCTGTCGACAGTTCGCCGCGCTGACAATATTGTGGTGATGAAGAATGGGACGTGCGCGGAGCAAGGCTCTCACCAAGAATTAATGCTCCACGGTGGAGTCTACCAAGACCTCGTCAACGCGCAACAGTTGGAGCCCCTGGTCGGGTCGGAAGAGCCTGCCGCGGTGGACAAGGTTATCTCGCAGAAAGAAGAGCTCCTTCACCCGGAGGAATATCCCGCCGATGAGAAGGAGGAAGGCTCTGTGAAGGAGACGAAAACAAAAAGCAGGGGCTTTATGCGGAGCGTGGGCACCATACTTTACGAGCACCGCAAGTACTGGTTATTGTTTGTGGTGGTTATCATCAGCGCTATTGGAGGCGGATGTAAGTGCCCATTGTTCTCATATGGCCCTCGAGCGATCGTAAACTAATGCAACTCAGCTGGCTACGCACTGCAGAGCTGGCTGTTTGCCAAACTGATACAGGTCTTCCAGTTCAAGGGACAGAAGCTAGTTGACGGCGCCAATTTTTGGGCCCTCATGTTCTTCATTCTGGCCCTTGCAATGGCGGTCTTCTATTTCGTACTGGGCACAGCTACCAACACGATTTCTATGGTACGTCACCAGATTTCCCATCTTCTTGCCTGCGAACTCGACAGCTGATAAGATGCGATTAGCGTGTCGGAACGACCTATCGTAAAGAGTATTTTGCCAACATCCTCAAAAGACCGGTGTCGTTCTTTGATCGCGATGAAAACTCCTCCGGTACACTCATCTCGCGCCTCTCCTTAGATCCCAAACAGGTGCAGGATCTACTAGGTCCTATGGGCGTGTTCCCCCTCATCTCTGTTTTCAACGTGACGGGGTGTGTTATCATCTCATTCATCTTCGGCTGGAAACTGGCGGCGGTTACATTCTTTGGGGCGATGCCCTTTATCCTGCTGGCAGCTTTCATGCGCATCCGCCATGAGACACATTTCGAATCGATGAACGCTGCGGTATACGCGGACAGCTCCAAGTTTGCGACCGAGGCGATCCGGGCATTCCGCACAGTCACCGCTCTGACCATGGAGGACACGATCATTCAGCGATATTCAAACCTGCTTAGAGAGCAACGCGCCAAAGCTTTTCGGAAGTCGTGGTACGCGACCTTAGTCTTTGCATTCTCCGACAGTGTCGAGCTCTGTGCCATGGCACTCACTTTCTGGTATGAATTGCCCTATTAGACTTTCTTTTCTTTACGTATGGAATCGTGGCCTATAGATGGTAAGGACTAATAAATGAAACAGGTACGGCGGGCAGCTCCTGGGATCCCATGAATACGGGGGGGTTGCATTCTTCGTGGTGTACATCGCCATCATCCAGGGCGGGCAGGCGGCAGGCCAATTTCTCTCGTTCGGACCCAACGTCGCACAAGCTAGATCGTCTGCAAACCGGATTTTCGCATCGCGAAAGCCGGTCGAGGGTCAGCTTGAAGATCCAGCCGCCGAACCAATGCCACCCGACCTACGCCCATCGGTCGAGCTGAGGGACGTCTCGTTCAGCTACCCTGGCCGCAACGTGTTGACATTCGACAAACTCAATGTTTCCATCGACAGCGGCCAATTCGTCGCATTTGTCGGTCCTTCGGGCTGCGGCAAGTCCACGACTATCTCCCTTCTGGAGCGGTTCTACGACCCCACAGAGGGCCAGATCCTCTTCGGTGGCCGGGACATAACCGCCATCCAGCGCACGTCCTACCGGCGGTCATTGTCGCTAGTGGCGCAGGAACCGAAGCTATTCGAGGGGACCATTCGCGACAATCTGCTTCTCGGTATCGAGGGCACGCAGGGGGCGCAAAGCGAAGAACGCCTGATCCAAGCGTGCAAGGACGCCGAGATCCACGACTTCATCACCTCTCTCCCCGACGGATACCTGACGGAGCTGGGCGTCAACGCGCAGGCATCGCTGAGCGGCGGGCAAAAGCAAAGACTTTGTATTGCGCGCGCTCTTCTCCGCAACCCGCGCCTCCTGCTCCTCGACGAAGCGACCTCCAGCCTGGACTCCCAATCCGAGAAGCTTGTGCAACAAGCCATGGAACGGCTTGCGGGGACCAAGAGCATGACTATCATCGCCGTAGCGCACCGCCTGGCGACGATCCAAAAGGCCGACGTGATCTTTGTGTTTGGCGAGGGAGCGCCCGGTCGGGGGTCGACGATCCTCGAACAGGGGTCCCACCATGAGCTGCTCCGGAACAAGGGTGCTTATTGGCAAATGGTGTGTACATCCTATCTTCTACTAGGTTCTTCACATACTGACTGATTTGTGTTCCAGTGTCAAGCGCAAGCCCTAGATCGGTAGCGGTCGGCCATGTGGCGTGATATACCCTCCTCTCCGTGTTTAGTATAGAAGCTTGTAGTGTAGTATATCCCCACTCAATAGATAATGTATTTTACATGCCATTATGTGTACACAACAATGGGGTAGAGCAGCATTTGGCAGTCGCGTTTATTGTCCACTAACAGTAAGCAGGCAATTGCAAGAGACTATCGGTAAGAGACCGTTCCCTCGTCATTCTAACCTCGGCAGTCTAACTATATATGTAGCCTTCAAACATTGCCCCGCGTACTTCCCCGCTCCCTTCTTGCCCCTTCAACACATCGACATCCCAAACCCATTCACTGGCACTATGACCACAACCACCAAACTGGGCCACGACCCAGCTAACTACTGGACCTACGATGGCGAAACAGGCACCATAGACCTCACGCGAGGGACAGGGGATTCCACGCAGCATGTCACCCTCCAAACGACAACGAACCCCATCCGAGTCAACCCAGCCACGACCGCGCTCGTCATAATCGACATGCAGAACTACTTCCTGTCGCCCGCGCTGCGACCCCCCACCGACGGGGCCACCACGCTCAGTGCCGGTCAACGCGCCGCGGCGAACCTCCTCGGGAGCGCAATCCCGGGAGCGCGCGCGCACGGCATCCCCGTCGTGTGGCTCAACTGGGGCCTCTCGGAGGAGGATCTTCGGACGATGCCACCTGCTATCGTGCGTACGATGGGGCGGTATAATGCGGGCGCTACGTCCTCTAATGCGAGCGACATGGTTCGGACGAAAGACCCCGCCGTGTATCGCGGACTGGGGGAGGACCTGGGGAGCGTGCCACTGGAGGATGGCACAGTCGTCGAAGGGGGGAGGATCCTCATGGAGGACACATGGAACGCAGGGCTATATGGAGAGCTGGACGAGGAGTACCGTCGACATGCGGGTGACTCGCGTGACGCCGACGTGGTAGTCAACAAGGACCGTATGTCCGGGCTCTGGGGGAGCGGGACACAGCTTGAGCGACATCTTCTTGAACGGGGTATTACGACGTTGTTGTTTGCGGGGGTCAATACCGACCAGTGCGTGGGGTCTACGCTGACGGATGCGTTCAGCAAGGGGTATGACTGTGTGCTTTTGCGGGATGGGACGGCGACAACGTCGCCTGCTGCGGCGAGTGAGGCGTGGGAGTATAATTGTACGAATAGCTGGGGGTTTGTGATGACTTGCGAGGCGTTGAATGCATGACTATAACCACAAGACCCGTAGTGGGTTACATGACAGGGAATATATACAATATGATAGAATGCAGGACGCGTCAAGCCATGCCTCCCTTGCCCTTCCGTCCCATGACGACCGGTCCAGCGCCCGAAGGGTCCGGGGCGAGGACGTGCATGTCCATTTTCTTCTGGTAGGACGCTTTACTCTTCGGTGATGCGGTCCGCAGCATAGTCCACCGCAGATGCGGCAACGGACACAGGAGTTCGTCGATCGCGTCGATCAGCCAGCCGCCGAGTCCGCGACCCTGGTAGTCGGGGAGGACGTAGAGATCCGTCAGGTAGGCGAAGGTGACGTCGTCGGTGACGAGTCGGGCGAACCCGATTTGTTTGTGGCGCGGGAGAGATGTGTCGTAGACGCCGAAGCAGAACGAGCGATTGACAATCTTCTGCAGGATGTCCTTTGGGAAGGGCTGCGACCAGTAGCAGAAGTCTTGGGCGAACGCGTCGTTGATCGCGTCGAGGGACAGGAGGGATCTGTCGGTGGAGATGACAAAGTGGTCGCGCGACCAGGTGGCAGGGTCAGAGGGGAGAGACATTGTCTTTTCTTGCAAGGTTTGTGAGTTATATGGATGAAGAAGAGTTGAATAGATGATGAGTTGAAGTTATACAAAAGTCGCGTGTATCGGTGACTCATTTAGGGCTGGACCCACCTCGTGATATCTTGATCTCGTGTTGCTGTCCCATTATCGTGATCTTGTCTATTCTTTTTTCTGTCTTTCTATTTCTTTGTGTGTATATTGATTTATTGCAAGCGCTGAACTGATCTTGAATTGATTATACGTATGATCCTCTCCACGCGGAGTCGTCCGAATCCTCGACCCTCCGACGCTTCAATAGCGACGCCGACCGTTGTCAATCCATCCATCCATGCACTTCGGTCCCCGAAGGATGGACCCCACACATTGATAAGAGTGCTGGGACGCGATCCTACTCTAGCTGACAGGGTGAACAAAGGGAGAAGCTAAAAAAAGGATTGCAGAGATTCGAAACAGGCACAGCCACCAAGGCGTATGACGGATATTGTCCCGCATCGCATGCGCCGAGTTGGGGGCCAATCTGACCAGCTATAACAGCCCGTCATCCTGCCTTTGACGTCTCTAATTCTCACGTCCCAACTCTGTATCCTACTCACCATGCATCCGCGACTCTTCTTTGGGGCAGCCATCCTCCTGGGCGCGGACGCCGCCGCCCACCTCCCCTTCCTACCCCCCACCGAATTGCCCAGCCCTCGCCCATCTCCAGGCCTCTTCGGCGACGCCATCGACCAAGACACACTGCGCCCCCATTTAGCTGATCCAGAATGGACATCCACCGTATCCAAACACCACGGCGACCCCGCCATGAGGTCCTACACGCAGCGCTTCCTCGCCCAGCTGCGCAACGCCACGATCGCAACCCGCGACAGCCCCACAGTCCATCGCCTACGGGACGGCCCTAGCACGATCGGACTCCTCGACCTGACCGACTCCACAGTCGTCATAGTTCTCTCGAACGAGGAAATCCACGTCTCCTACCTCGAGCGACACCCGTCCAGCGCGCAATACTCCAACCGCGGGAACCAACCATCGGCCGCCGAGCACCCCCAGGCCCGGCTCGTGCGCCCCGACGAGACGCAAATACCCCACCCGTCTGCCGCTGACGGAGCGACCACCGCCCCGCAAGTAATCCTCATGACGCCGTATGCGCCCGGCACACGCGAGCACTTCAAACACCCAGCGCACATCCGGCAGCTACAAGACGATCTGCAGGGGATCGTCGGAGGTGACAGCCACGCCGGTCCCACCGTAGTGGGATATACCCTAGACGACGAGGAGGAGGGGTACGTCTCACCAACCCACGGCAAGGTCCTCATCTCCTACAACCCCATCCACCACCTGGAGTGGTGCGAGGAAGAAAAACGCGACTACATCTACTCAAGCGTGGACATCTGGACGGGGGACGCCGCGCGACCGGTGCATTCGCGGGTATGGCGGGCACCGAATCAAAACCAGAGGCCGGCTCTAGAGCGGGGCGGACGACCGGATGAAGCGGAGGGCCGTCACGCGCCGATGGATCTCAATCGGCTGAATCTGAATCTGCAAGAGGAGGAATCGCTGGCGTACCTTACCTGATTTGTTCATCCCGTTATATAGCCCAGCCCTGTACTTAGTAGTCATAGCGTTGATGGGCGAAGGAGCCGGGATCGATTTGGGCGCTGGGCGTCCACTAGTTCGTTTTGATATACCCCATTTTGCTTGTCGGTTACCGAGGGCCGTTGATTTTGATCTTTTCTTCAATAATTACTAGTTCGGGAATAATGAATAATTGATCGCATATAGCATTCTGTCGCCACATCGGCGGCGAATTGGTAAACGAGGTATAAAACAAAAGGTATATAGTAGATAAACATCGAACGGGGAGCATGCACATCCAGACAGCTAAACCCGAACCTTCTCCTCGTGCTCGGCGGTCTCCACGACCTTCTTCTCCAGCGGCGGGGACGGCTCATCGCCGAGCAGCGCCAACAGGCCGATCTCGCTCTCGATGCGGTGCTTGAGCGCCGCATCCTCGGCGGCCACACCTCCCGACCCGAACAGCTCGTCCATCTCCTCGAGCGTGCGGCCCTTCGTCTCGGGGACGAGGAAGATGACGTACACGACGGCGAGCGTGGTGATGCAGCCGAAGAAGATGAAGGTGCCGTAGTTGGAGACGCCGATGAAGGGGGAGGTGAAGAGTCCGACGGCGAAGTTGTTGAGCTGCCATTGTTAGTGGATGTTGCAATCAGGAGAGAAAACAAAGATATAGGGGAATGAGGAAACAATGAAAGAAGAAAGAAGAAACTCACCCAATTGCTGCTACCGCCGATACTAACACCCTTGGCGCGCATGGACAGGGGGAAGACCTCGGAAACCAGGATCCACGCCACGGGGCCTAAATTTGACTCGTCAGCTAGGTTCTCCACCAAAGGTTCGCGCGGCGACTCACCCCAGGAGTAGGCAAAGTTAATGATGAACAGCCAGACAAACACGACAGCCGCCCAGCCGGCACCGCTGTGCGTGTCAAACGAGTGCTGGTACGACCCGATGATACCCGCGACGATGAAGTGGCACGCGGCCATGCCGATACCGCCTGCGATGAGGATCTTCTTCCGGCCGATGTTGTCGACCCAGATGACGGCGGGGATCGTGAAGACGAACTCGAAGATGCCGGCTACACCGGTGGCCAGGAGCTTGGTGGTGTCACCGCCCAGGTGAAGATCTTGGAAGATTTGGGGACTGGTTGATGTTAGGATGGTACCGAGTTGACGTCGATTGGTCACGACTTACGCATAGTAGTTGATTCTGCAATATCACGAAGGTTAGCATTATCCGTGTGGCCCTAGGGTCGTTGTCACTCACGCATTGATTCCATTGAATTGTTGGAAGAACATCACCATACACTATCCAGCCAGTCAGAATCATACCAGGTCCATGTATCCGGGCGACATACCGCGATGCTGGTCCGCTTAAACAGCGACGGGTCCGTGATCAGGGACATATAGTCATAAAGCCCGATCATGAAGCGGCTGCGGAACGACCCGTCCTGGAAATCGGGGTACTTCTTCTTGGCTGTCTCGACCTCGAACATGTGCAGCGCCTTGATCTCGAGATATTCGATGCGAACCAGGATGTCATCGACGCTGGCATCGCGCAGGCGGGCAAGCGTGTGGAGACACTCCTCGTCGCGTCCAGTGTTCATCAGGTGGCGTGGTGACTGGGGCATGAACAGCATCATACCGGCGGCCAGGACGAGGGCCGGGGCAAGCTGGATACAGACCGGGATTTCCCACGAAGCGATGGACTGGGATGCGCCCGTGCCGCCGATGAAGTTCGTTCCGTAGCCGATCTGTCAAGTCAATACACGTTTCACAGCAGGGGTGTCCTAGTATCACTCACCCAGAAGCTGGTCATGATACCGAATGTGATCGAAAGCTGCTGGACAGCAACCAGCGAGCCACGAATTTCCGGAGGCGCCTGATGCAGTTAGTACCACACCTGGTTCTAAGCAATCATACAGAAGTGTCCACTCACCAGCTCGGCATTGTACAATGGCACGATCATACTGAGGTTTCCCACTCCGAGACCGGTGACGAATCGACCTGCCAGAACGAAGTCCTTGTTGATTGTGCACGCCTGGACGATAACACCCACGCAGAAGATGACCACCGCGACGACTACTGTGACCCGACGGCCCAGCGCATCGGCCAAGTAGCCATTGATCAGTGTTCCCAGCCAAGCTCCCAATTCGAGAATGGCGGTCAACATGCCCTGTCGGATACCGGGGAGTTCGGCGTAACCTTCAGTCTAGGAAGTATAAGCAGAGGTCCATGGAGGGAGATTTTTGGGACAGTAAGTACCGCGTCGATAAAGTTTCGCATCGTGAGAATCTGCGCGAACATTCCCTGGTTGTCTGGAGATGCGGTTTAGCGACTCATACTACACCCTCTCCCTCATCTGCAGAATGTCATCACTTACACCCATAGACCAGGCCACCCAGCGATGCGAACAGCGCGATACCAAAGGTCTTCTTGCTGCCAACGAGTCCACGCCATCCGACCTTGCTGCCGGCGAGCTCCGCGCGCTTGGCCGAGATGCCCTCGGCTGCCATTCCGCCACCCATGTTGGAGATAGTTAGTCGAGTCTACCGACAGAGATACCGATCGAAATTGGGTGCAATGCAAAGTAGATTGCTGTCTTCACGATCCACGACCCTGGAGAGAATGAAAGAAAGAAAAGAAAAAAAGGAAAGAGAAGAAGAAAAAAGTATCAGGAACCCTGGCTAGGCGAACCCAAGATATCCCCTCGCGCGCTTACAACTGTCACACACCTCGACCATGCCATGGCCATGCGAGCCCCACAATACTAGGTTCGTTTGGGAAGCGATCGCCGAAGCGACTTTAGCCAGAGTTCAACCAGGGGGTTTCACACCTCGGGTATTCCGCTTCGGATTAGTGCGTGGCCGGGCGCCCAGCATGGTATCGGATAAGCTTCGTGGCTGGCATAGATGGCATTCTATAGTTGCTCAGATCACAAGATGTGTTTACGGGTATCGCGGCGATTCACCGGACTGAGTTGTGCTCGTTGACATGTCTGATTGACAGCAGATGGCGGTGGGTGTGGAGGTGAAAAGATGGAGAAAAATCTGGGGACCCGAAGGTGGAGGTGGAGCCGCGTCGTCCCTTTTATCCGGCATTTTGCCGGGCCCGGCCTGGAGACCCTTCATCACGTTGATATAGCCTTAATGTGCACCATCATCCTGCTCGGGATCGTTAGACACGGCCATAACTCGGTAGTTCATGATGTCATCCAACCCGTCCGAGCCGGGTTTCGGTTGATTTAGTCGTGAAATGAGCCGATCTCTCTTCCTCGCGGTTCCGGAGATATGTCCCTGTTTTTTCGACCCGGCTCCAACAGTTCCTGTTTCTGTGCTAGTGTGCATATCTCGTTGCTTGTTACTTGCCGGGTTGACCCGAGCAGGCCATGAGTGTCCTGGGCCCCGAGCTGGATAGGGAATGCTTGGGTCCCTTTCCCTGTCCATTGGTATCAGCTTGTACTGCCCGGGGTGATATTTTGCGAGTTATGCAGGATATTCGTGGGTGGGTGTAGTGACTTGGCGAGGGGATCAATTCCTGGAACTAAGATGAAACATTGTCAGGGTAGCAAAGATGGTGAAGTTGATGTGGATTGAGTCTTGTCATTGACTATCTCAAGGGTTTGAGTTCGAAGGAATATACACATCGTATACCCTCATCAATATATATATACACTAGCTCTAGATCCAGATATGATATTTTACTCTCTTGCTAATAGTGTCTTTGCTAGGACTCTATAAACTCCGTTGGTAAGGCTCTTATTAGAACCGTACAAGGAAAAACAAGAGGAACCTATATATTGCAAGGATCAAAAAAATCAACAGTGATTCTATACCAGCTATGCTAAGAAAAGCTTTTGGTTTCTATACTAGCGCTACTTTTTTCTTAATGGAATCTATAACTGCAGAGCTGGTAGGACTTCCAATCTTCAAAGATCCACACCAGCTGCCGTGTCCCTCTGCCGTCGCGGCCATCATCAGTGTAGACCATACTTGGATGTATGCAGACCTTAGCGATTCACCAGAGGGAGCTCTGAAATATTGGAAGAAGCATATCTTGGTCACTTCCCCAAAAGGCCGAATGGCAGTTTGGGGGGGCTTAGCCTGACTGGTAATCCCCAACAGTACAGTTACAGGTCTGCTTGTCTTGTCTTCAACTACCCTCACTGCTGTGAGTAAAAGTCTTTGACAAGACGATCCCGGGTTATTGAGAAACCAAAGATACTTTCTAGGAGTATGTATATATGATGCGATTTAAGAAGACCACCCATATGATCTAGTCATAGTGGCCGTTGTGCCAGGTTGGGTAGTGTGTTTTCCAGATGCACGCTGTTACAGTCATTGGACAGTCTGTCGGCGATGATCTAGGCCAAAGACGCTGCATTAGTGCCGGTTTATATACCCTAAGTAGCAGGCGGGAAGAGGTTAGTCACGAGGCGAGGTCTTTTCTCAAGCCCCTGAGACTCCTCGCCTGGCAGCCGCCCCGCGTGCTCGCCTCGCCCCTGACAATTCTCGTTGGCGATCTCACTGCCATGGGTATGGCGGGTTCTCCGTTGGGAGTAGAAGTCTCCACATACAACCGGCTGCTGGTTTGGTATCCCATCATGTCGCGACACTGCAGGTACCTCAGTACTGCCGTCCCGGTGGTCGGTAGCCCCAGCGGACTAGCGTGTTCACATGGTTGTTCCACGACTGAACGCTTGATCATAAGCTGTTTGTGCTCTAGTCGACGTAGCAAGGGCCATTCTTCCGCATTGGGCCGATTATGGACGAGCGGGCGAAGTCGATGTTCAAAAAAAAGGCAGAATCAAGAGACCGTCTTGATGGTGAGCCTTGGGAGGGAGGGCATATAGCGGGCGTATTATGTGATCTGAAGGTAAACTCCAAGATCCCGGAATGGTGTACAGGGGGGTCTTGGGAACCTTGGAGAAAGTGCCGCAGTATCCATTCCCAAACGCTCATAGGTCCCTTCGTACCCGTCCTCTAAAACCGCCAGCGAATGCCCTGACGGTGGGGGCAAAACCGACGATCGTAACCAAAACGGAGAAGGGGGAAGAGACAGGATGTACTTCGGAGTACGCCATAGAACGTGCAAAGTCGGGATTGATTTCCACTCCGAGTATCCGTCTTGGTATCATGGGAGCCGAGGAAAATTTACACGGGCAAAGGACCAGTGGTGGTGAGACATCGGATCAAGTTAATGATCTGCCCAGAGGGATCACGGCCAACCCGGGATAGCTTTGGAGTATCTATTTTGATTACCATCGATGGAGTCTGGATCAAAGAAAGTTGCGGCTTGCATTGTCTGGGAACTGATCTTCTCGTGTCCTGCATCTCGACTTCACTCCCGCAATATTGAGGCCAGACCCAACACTCCACAAATGGCGTAGGCAACACATATTCGGTTGTCTCTGTGTCCCGCCCATGTTTCTTCGCCGAATCAAAGATTATGATGAGAAGAGGGGGTCCGACATGGTCGTTAGGGCGATGGATTGATCGAGAGACTTGCAGCTTGACTCCACCGAGGCAGCTCCGACAGCTGAAAGAGGAGGGTAATATGGGCTGCAGACGGACCGTCAGGTACTGCTGGACAGACAAACAAGTCTAATAGAGTGCACATGTATTATAGTGGTCAATACGGCGCAGGTGTTAATATTATAGAAGTCATTTCGAGTGAGGAGAAGAAATGTTCAACAGGAATTGGCAAAAGATGCGACAGCAACACGTGCCGTCCACCTCGTCTTTCCTCTTTATCTTCCTTGATTTCAGCCAGGTCCTCGCTGAGCACACACAACGAGATGAGCTATAGTATGACTTACTCGATGAGAAAGTTTATAAGTGTTGCACTAAAGCGGTGGGTTCTGGTATAGGGAATCTTTGATATTGTAACCAAACAGGTACGTTATATATAGCGGCCATGGAAATATTTGTAAACCCGAGTAGATCCCGACAGACTTCGGCATCCCCAGGTTCGTTCAAGTGGAACACTTCTCTGGATGTGGAGGATTGAGATTATTACATGTTTCAATTGCTTGCTTATTTAACAATGTATAGCCCGACGCGTAGCCATGTAATCCAGTTTGGGTCTCGTATCGAAATACGTACCCAGAATCCGGTGTCTATTGGCATCGTCCCAGCGGTCCGTCCATACCTCCCTTATCAGATAGACCACCAACCAGTTATTCATCACTTCGGTACTTGGACAAAGCCCAGTCCCTCATTCAGCCCCTTCGGTCTCCGACTCCAAGCCGGCGCCTCATCCTCACCAGCCTCCTCTTCCGCATCGCCATCCTCCTTCGTCTTATGCACCGTATCAACCGCATGCTCTGCAGGCGAGTACACCGTAATCACCTCCAGTGGAACCTCTCCAATATTCAGAAACTGGTGTTGCGTGCCCGCCGGGACAATGACGACATCACCCTGCTTGACGTCTTGCTCTTTACCCGACACGATAGCGCGTCCGTTGCCGTGCGTGAAGAAAAGGACTTGATCGACCGTATGCATCTACGCCCGATTTTCGATCAGCAATGTTCACATTGGCCATCTGCGGCGCAGATCTGTTCGGGACATACCTCGTCTCCAATCTCGCCGTTGACCGGCACTTCCATCGCCACGAACTGCGAGTACAGGCCCGTGTGCAACACGCGACGGAACACGCCGAAGGAGCGATTCGGCGAAATCACGCCCGGGAGGTAGACCATCTCATGACGGGGCGGTTGGTTTGACATGTTTCCGTTGTATGGGTTCGGCGTGCACGTGGAGTACCGGCGTTGGGGGACGGCGCGGTGATATCTACTCGGGGTGGCCGGGACAAGGCAAGCGGGTCGAAAACAGGACAGAGTGACGGCGAATCGGGGAAGGGATCTGGAAAGATGGTTCATTTTAGAAATGAAGCAAAGTGCAGAGTTGATTTCGTGTCGCGGGGTCGGATTTCGGTGCTTCGTCTTATCAATGGTTGGGGTGACACTGGTGACGTAAAGGACTATCTGCAGCTTTCCGTTCGTTCACCCCGAGCTCCGGGACTCAATGGACAATGTTTTAAACAGTGGAACGTATTAGGTTACTGCCCTGAACGCTGTCTGGAAATGCAACTTTTGTAATAGGTTTTGGAGGCTTGATGGTATGTCGAATGGCCGCTGATAAGGCTGTGTGGGGAAGTCTAGTCACGGTAAGTCAGGCAACACGCGACGGCTTATTCTCACGGTCATTAGAATATTAATTAGGAAAAGAAGGAATCGTTGAGCCCATTCCCTGACAGCCTCTGTTTCTATTTGAGACTGGCAGCAACTAATATCACATGGGTCTCGCCGATGGCCTTGGCCGCGGGTCGTAGGGAGTCACTCATTCACTTTATAAGTATAACTAGCACCACCCCTGGAGAGTCACAGTTGGATTAAGCGCAGAAACATCATCGAGGCAATTCTGGCGATGATTCGCTTGAGTGAAGATAGAGCTAAGCCCGACTACACTCACAGCTAGGGAAAGCCATGCCATGTCGCAACAGTCGAGGCACTCCTGTAGTCTAGAATTGCCATAGATTTCGAGCTTTTGCGTCGAGCAAGTAAACCCACAGCTAGTACATATTCTTCATTAGGCGGTCGCCCTTCAGACATTGGAATGAAGGGGCGGGACAGAGCGCACATGTCACATTCCTTGTACCACGAAGAAACATGTGGGTCGGGCTTGTGCGAGCGTCAATGCGGGCAGAGCCTGATACGCATCGCAGTCCATCTCGAGTCAGACGAGTAGTCGTTATTACTGGCGCTGACTGACAGCCAGAGAGTCTGACAGATACGAAACGGTGGAAGGCCTCATGGAGTGCAGTTGATCGTATATACAACAATATCTCTCATTATGGCTATCCGGCGCATATTGCTCCTGGCTTCTATTTAGCTGCCTTCTAGGCGCTAGATGATAGTAGAACAGAAGATAATTTATCTTTGAAATCGCTCTTGCAGCGATATGGTCAAGAATGCCGCTACCAAGGCAGCACAGCCTCCCAGTCTCATGACCCATGCAACGCTTGTATCATAAGGCTCTCCCCTTGGTTTCTGCAGCATCTTGAAGATAAGACTGCTGACTGCGCCAGAGATAATTTGTGGAAAAGAGATAAAGACGTTATGAATCCCAAGGACAATACCCGCTTGTCCTGTTTGTCCACTACCGTCTTGCCCCGATTCGAGAGAGGGGTCTTGTGGCTGGGAAATCCTCTGTTCCCTGTTTTCATCAAAGACCGGTGGGCACTGTCGTTGCCGTTTTTCAGCGGTGAACCGCGCAATATCCGTGGCGATGAGTGCATATGGCACCCACGCGGTGATGGCCCATGATACACCCAAGATCCCGACCATCACCGACGCCCCTTGGGTGGATGATATGAAGAAAGTGCTAAACATGCAAGCCGCAAATGCATAGTGGGACAGCAGCCACATGCGTCGGAGAGTGAGCCCGGGGATCCAAAGCTTTTGGAGACACCGAGATGGCAGTGTCTGCCATGAATAACTGCTGGTTGGTGTAGACTTGGTGGCTTCCATCTCCTCTTCCTGCGCCGGGCGGATGAGAAGCGGCAGCATAATATTCGCAGTGAACGAAATGAGAGCGTTGACGAATAGGGCGAATGTGCTGATCCGGGTGGCGTATGCCCAGGTCTTGTCTATATCATCGTCGCTCATATCAGGATGTTTGTCGAATATGGGATCGACATACAGCTGCCCCATATAAGTCGTTGAAAAGAATAAGAATGGAAACCACCCGAACCACGAAGCAAGCTGAACGGAGAACACTTTTCTGGTCTGCGATGAGAGCTGACCGATAGACCTAAGAATTAACCTGATGGAAGGCATGGTGGCAGTCGGGTCCCTGGTAGGCGGTTCCTCCGCGCGATTCATCTCTTCCGTGAAGGTGCAGCTTATGATTAGGGTAGTCATAAGAGAGACGCTGGCGACGACACATAGCACCTTGAATTGTGTGTTCCCTAGAAAGGGAAACATCGTTGGCAGATCCAGAAACCCGAGACAGTAGCCCAGGATATTCCCTGCTCCGCTGATGCGGCTTGCCCAGGCGTTTGCCAGCTTCTGTTGCTGCCACGGAGCATTGTCCACGATAAAGGCACGGGTTGCTGTTTGTACTGTGGAAGGGTCAGATTAACTCGAGAGGGCAGATCGTCCGGGGAAGCCTACCAGTGTTAATTGCAAAATCCAGGCAATATATCAACACCATCGCAAGGATAATGATCGCGACTTTCGTCCCTGACTGAGTCTCCTCGGTTGACCAGCCCGAAAAGATTCCAACGATCTCGCGTATCCAAGCCAAAGCCAGTAGACATACAATTGTCCCTGCGCCCCCAGCAACCATGAACGGCTTCCTTTTTCCCCAGCGAGTAGAGCAATTATCACTGCGAATGCCAATATATGGCTGCACAAATGTACCTGTAAGAGGACCAGCCAACCAGGTAAATGCCAGCAGGGCTTTACTCAATCCCAGCGAGAGGAGATATGGCTGTCATGAAGAACGCGTTAATAGGGGCACGTGACACACGGGCTATCGGAGTAGAAGAACTTACTGAAGCGCTGGAATGCTGGACCGACCAGACAACTTGAAGCCTTTTCCAACGTCAGAGGTGAAAACTAGATCCAAGACGGTTCATCACTCACCCCCCTATTGCGAGAGACACCATTAAAAAATGCAGACTGCTCTTCGGCTCCTGGTCCACGCTGGACGTTTCTGTCGGACAAGCGTCATCTTCAGCGGTCAAGGTATTCCCAATGAGAGGCTCATTCTCATTCTCTAATCTCGCCGGATGGCTCTGGCTGAAGGCGTTGTCGGACATTGTTCTTCTGTTCGTGCCAGATACCACTCTCCCCTGGTGGCATTAAGTCTGGACGAACTGACAGGGTTGTTGTTTTGTCCCAGGCTGTCGGTCACATCCCAGCCGTGGTGATACATCTAAGAATAGATTCTTATCTAATCCGCCAACGATCCGCGTGTTTGAGGCTGTCAATATTACCTGTTGGGTCACATGGCGCCGACTTATTGGTGGCTGTATTATTCCGCCGCTGTTTATGGATTACTCGTTACAGCATGACACAAATGTGTCAAACACAACAAACTTGACAAACCACGGAATATACAGACTAACCTGTTATAGACTAGTGGATGCCAAGCTCCACATGCCGGTCTCGGACCGCTTGTCGTGATATTACTAATCCCTGCTTCCATCATTTACTATGTCACTCTTCGATATGGTTGTGGGTCACATCGATAACGACATTCCTCATTTAAGAGTATCATACAGCCCATCACCGTCGGGACCAGACTGGTTCTGGTTGATATCGTTTCAAATGGCTATTCCCGACTCCAGTACAGATCTCACCAAAGGTATGTCCTGAGACCATTTCACAGGATACATCGTTAACGTTACGCAGTGTGGACAACCCTTATCACAAACGCGGAATACCTGCCCGGTCTATTGACCCTGGAGTACTCCCTGCGACGAGTGGGCTCAAAGTATCCGCTGGTAGTTCTGTACACGGATTCCTTTCCCGCCAAGGGTCATCGAATCCTAGACGCCCGGGGTATCCGGAAACAACATGTCCCCTATCTCCTCCCCTCAGTGCCCAAGGATTACGTCAATGACGTGCGGTTCTACGACTGCTGGAGCAAGCTCACCCCGTTCTCCCTCACTCAATACAAGCGGGTGGTGCAACTCGACAGTGACATGATGATCCTGCAAAATATGGATGAGTTGATGGAGATCGAGTTGGACCCACCAGAGATGGCGGGGACCGGAAACCGTGTATTCGCTGCGAGCCATGCCTGTGTCTGCAACCCACTCCACAAGACTCACTACCCCGAAGACTGGTATTGATCCCCCGCGGTTCACTTTTTTTTACCTTCTGGCGCGCAGCGCTTCGATGTCACGTGATATTAACACACAAGATGTGCAGGATCCCAGCCAACTGTGCGTTTACCACACAACATAATAGTCCAGAGGCTGCTCAAAGTACAGGCGCCCCTCCCACCGCCGGGCTGGGTATGCCAAATGGGGGTCTGCAGGTTGTGAACCCATCGCGGGCAGTCTATGATAAAATCACGTCCCAGCTCACAAGCTCATCGACATCGAACTATAATTTCGCCGACCAGTCTCTTCTCTCCGACGTGTTTCATGGTCGATGGGTGGCTCTCCCATATATTTATAATGCCCTCAAAACAATGCGGTGGAACGGTGTGCATGACGCCATCTGGCGGGATGAGCGTGTCAAGAATATCCACTATATTCTCAGCCCGAAGCCGTGGGACGAGCTCGAAGATTGGCAGATTAAGCAGGGCGGCGCAAAACAGAAGAGGGACCCCTCGCATGCGTGGTGGCGGGAGTTGAATGCAGAGCGACTGAAAGATGACAAGGCGAGGGGCGTGGTAGACTTCTTGGGCTGAAGATACCCGGTTGGTATATTCCCCGGCTTGGTTCACCACAGCTATGGCTTCTCACGAAACACTGGCTGTTCTCGCCCCACTTCAAGCTTGAGAATTGTCCTACCGAACGGCCCGTTTCTATCAATTGACTACAGTTGTTTGTTTGTTGATGATTGCGCATTTCCAAGCGTGCATTTCTAGCGTGCTGAAAGTCGGTTCTTTCGTCCTAGCGAGTTTTCATGCTAGCTTGTCGATGTATTATTTCATTCACATCTTTGTTGTTCTTATTTTTTTCTCTGCGACTTGCCATAGAAAGCGTCGTCTGTCTAGTTGTTATGCAAAATATAGATCCTCCTTGTGTACATGCCTTCCTCAATACGTGACACATGTTCGTATCGCTGTCATTAACCGACGTCATAGTCGACGAAGCTCGCTATATCAATCTCATATACAGGGTAGAGCAGATATATATGGCATTGACTGCAAGTTTCAAGCACGAGCGTTCTATCTCGACATCACGACCAAATATGCGCAGACTATCAGCTCTTGCTGCATCCCTCGGAGAGTCCTTCGCGATACACATGTGCCCAATTAACCCTTAAGCGGCGTCACCCTTCCACACATCAAATATAAGGCTCTGTTACCTATAATGCTGGATCTGTTGATAATGACCAAAATGGAGCCAGCCTGCACCTTCAAAGACATGATCTGGAAAAGAATTACCACCTGGCAACAAAAGACACCTTGATGCTTTTGCTTGCCGTGCGTAATCTTATAACCTTATAACTATTGCGACACATGACGTGCTAGAGCTGTCCCACAACCTTGTGTCATGGCGATTTTTTGCAAATGATACTGGGGCAACCATTCGCCCTGAAGAAGCTGTTCGAGCAGGTCTACTCCTCGTGTGGGTCAAAAGCAGTACCAGCCCCCAGGTGAACCGCCATTCCAGTGAATATCTTGGGATGTCTCGACGACATTCATACATCTGGGATCTATCTAAATATCCTAACTCTTACACAGACCATCTTCGCACTTATTGTAAAACACGGTAGACACAGTGTTCAAGTATAGAGTGGTCGTGACGAGTATCAGGGTTGACTGCTTCCGTAACTCTCCCTGTAGTCGCACCTGATGCCTTCAAGTGCGTCCATATTCCAACTGTCTTTGCAGTTTACCACATTGGCTAGAGTAAAACACAGTCAACCGGTCATAACCTACCGTTTCGGGGGTTGTGCATTTCGGAATTCCATAGGTTCCCACGTAATGATGAAAACATACTCCATAATTTGCAATCTAGACATGACCCGAAAATGACTCAAGAGCTTTGAGATAGCTGAATATCTGCCCATTGCCTGGTTATGGCGACCAGGGTGATCAAGGGATAGTAGCACCCCACGACTTGGACCAATAATGTGCTACAAGATGCACTTGTGTCCGGGGAAGTATATTTACACAATCAGTAGCCATCATGTCGAAAAAGAAGAATGAACACAAGCTGCAAGGTCTCTTCTTTTCTACCCCTACCAACCAAGCCTGGGCGGTCTTTAGTTCGTATTTAGTGCTGCTCTAGTGTTCATTGTGGAGCTTGACCGATTCGCGACGCGACTTCTCGCGTACGAAGTAGGCAGAACGATTCAAACCGAATCCGACAGAACACCCTAGCGGGTACATCAACCTTTTGCCATTGCTTTTTGTTGTTTCTGCTCTTCTCCGAGTAGCAGGCCGAATCGATAGAGAGATCTCCATGACCTGAAACCTACAAGGGATGTACTGTGGGGAGCGGGAGTGGCAATCGGTGGGGAACCACGAGGGAAGGGCCGCGAGTGATCGGAATGCTCGACCGGAATCTCCCTCCGAGTCCTCTGGTCCATAGGCGATTATACTGTTTTCCATTGCATCCCTGCAAGATTCCCTCATGTCTACTTCCAAGAGGGGTAATCATTCGATAGTGGTTGCGATCCCAGGAGAGAGGGGAAACCGGATGACGGAGCAGAGTCCTCCGCCTGCTCAGCCCCATGAAATCAACATTCCCCGACAAACATCGGGGGGATGCACTCCGTGAGCGCGATATGCCGCTACGGTTTTGGTAATTCACTTAGCTTCCAGGCGGTCATATCCATGCATGACTAGACTGGTAGCTTCCTAAATAGGCGGAGCCAAGTTTGGTAGATTCGGTCCACTTGCATCATTGGCTTATAGCAGACAAGCGATGCCTTCGATCGATCATGGGGGAAAACCAAACGATAACGTGCTCGGTACACTGCGGCTGCTCCATAGGTCGTCTCGATCCCTTCTCGAGTCCATTCATAGAGATCATGGAAACATAGCTTCAATGGATCGTAAAGCAGTACCGTCGATGAGCGCGAAAGGTTCCGGTGTTGCGCTGCGCCGTGGCCTCAACGGGGCCTAGCCATTGTCCAGCCATCCATCTCACATTAGCGTGGTGTCGCCCAGTATAGCGGCCATGATTACGACCCAGGCGAACCAATGGTCAACGTGACTCCATTCGGAAACCCCTTTTAGCCATCCACGGTATAGACGGAATGACGTATGGATACCATCTCCTCTCCAATCAGGCTTGCCTGCCCAGCGTCCAAGAGTGTAACCACCACCATAGGCGATGGGACGGTTGACATGAAGTTCTTGGTTTCCCGCTATCCCCCCTTGTTTTGAAACTTTGATGATATCCGATACGATTGGATCCTTGATGATAGGACCCCTTTTTCCATTCCAATGTTTCCAGTTTATTCTGTCCCCCGAAATGGCTGCAGCCACAGACCGTGGCGTGTCCCTAGTCCTGGTGGAGGGCGTTTCCTTCTGTCGGTTGACACGCGCGTGGGAGGCTTGGGACCAGAGGCAAGATAATTGTGGTTGTTTGGTGGCTGCAATCAAATGCAAGGTAGCCTCATTGGTAGTTCCGAGTCAGATGGTGTTGGAGATGATATCAGAAGAGACGATCAAACGGAGGAGAGAGAGAAGGAGGTGTCAGTGACCGAAAGGCACGGGGTGGAGAGCCTGCCAACCCAGGCAACTGCTTTCTCTTTCTCCACCAGTGACTTCACCTCCAATGCCATCTTTCTTCCCTCCCTTCATCTCCTTTGAGCTCGTCGCTTCGACCCACCACAATGATATTGTTGGTCTATTGTCGAACTAGAATTCGCTTTAATTCGCTCTCCCTAATGCACTCCGTCTATCATCTCGCCGGATTGTCATTGCGTCTCGAAATGCTCGCATCACATCCCACTTCCCCCGCAAATTGCCGATCCGTCGGCCCACTCTGACAGCGAGCGATGCAGAGCTGATGGAGGGTGGAGACAGGCCCATCCAACGAGCATTGGCACGGCCTCCTCACTCGCAGTATAATACCCACTCGTATCTTTCCGGAGCGCGCCCCACCGGGCCCAGGGATCGTAAAGCTCGCAGAGAGCGTCGTCTGTGTTGATTGGCGGCCGTGCGCGCATTGTCGCAGTATCAGCCAAGGAAAGTTTAAGAGCAGGAATAATATCTCGGGCTGGCTGGGCGGCGACGCCATGGTATAAAAGGTCGCACCATGTCCGGTCGCCCGGGTGGGCGCTCAATTGTGCTTCTTCTTCTTCTTCTTCTATGCATTGTCGCTCTCCCCTGACATCCCTGTCTGCAATCAGCTCGGTTTGAAGCCTCTTCAAAGAGTCACAGCTATCATCGACCTTGATCACTCGTAGCCGGCTGTCCTGTTCAACATGATCGCTCCGACCGATCCCGTTACGTCCTCAAACTCGGTCATGAATGGTGTGACCCAGTATAATCATGAGGATGTACCACAAGATACCCTGTTCGATAAGGTTATCCTCGTTGTAGGTATGTGATCGGCGTCGTGATCGACAACGGCCCCTCTCTCGCAACCCCCACTATCTCCTGCTAACGTCCCCACTCAGGTGGTGCCAATGGCATTGGAGCGAGTCTCGCGGAACTGTGCTGCTCCAACACCTCCTATGTCTGCATCGGCGACATCGATGATACCCCTGGCGAGGCCTTGGCCCGCAAGTGCCGGGATCGGTGGCCCGCCATCTCGAATCCTAACCAACCGCCCAAGCCTCCGCGGGCCTCGTACCGGCATGTCGACGTCACCGACTACCAATCCGTAGTGGATTTCTTCGAATTTGCCTTCGCGACTTACAACCGCATCGACCACGTCGTGGTCACGGCGGGGAGTATGGCCACAGGAGACAACTGGTTCGACCAGAGACTTAGCTTTAGGACGGTCCGAGAGGCAAGTTTCCCTTCCCGTCCCACAGGTCATGCATATCATCTGACCATCCCCACCAGCCTCCTTCATCGAAGGACATTGATGTCAACCTCACCGGCTCTCTCTATGTCACCCGCGTAGCGAGCGTCTACCTCCGTCACAACCGAGGCCCCTGGGCTGACCGTTCCATCCTGCTCTTTTCCTGTGCGGCCGGCTTCAAGGAGATGCCTGGCGTCCCCATCTACCAGGTTGCCAAGCACGGCATCCAGGGGCTCATGCGGTCGCTGCGCACGTACTTCCCATCCCCATATACGCACAACCTGCGCATCAACACCATCTGTCCGTGGATGACGCAGTCGCGGTCGGTGCTGACCAAGAGCGTCGAAGATAGCTGGAACAAGGAAGGTCTTCCCATCAGTACTTACCAGGAAGTGGCCCGCGTGTCCGCCGGCGTGCTGGGCGATAGCTCGCTCAATGGGACGTCTATGTTCGTGGAGGGCGACCGTGCCTGGGAAATCGAGCGAAATATTGATCGGCTCGAGCCCCAGTGGCTGGGCAAGGAGCCGTCCCGTGCTCTCGGGATGGGTCAAACGGTGCTGCGCGACGCATTGGTTTGACGACGTCGAGATCACGATGATTTCCTGACGAATTTCCTTACTTCATACCCATCTGCACTTGAATGGTGGCTATTGCCTTCAACTGATAAATAAAACCGCAATCCCATGTATGAATTTCAGGTGGAAGGATCCGTCCTTGGTTGGGTTTGTGGGTGGAATGCTAGGTCTATGTTTTGGTCTTTATCTCTCTCTGGATCATGTTTATGATGACTATGATTTACACGCTTGTTCCGGATTTCCTTGCTGCGGTTCAGCATGTTGTGCTCACTCCCTTCGTATATAACTGACGTGTATTATGCATACTCGTACTCAATCTCGCGCGTTTCCATGTATTTTTGCTCCCCTGGAAAAGTGGGGATCAACCTAGAATAGTCTAACAGGGTGACTCGAAGCCTCGCAGCCTTCAAACCCTGCTTTAGTGGCGCGATGTTACGGTGGCTGGGTGACTAGGCAGGATAGGTTAGTTAGGCCACCCATTTTCATCACCCTGCCGCACTGCATCATGTCAACTGCATCACTCCATCTCCACCCCGCCGACCCCGTTCTTCTTCCTCTCAGCATAGTCGTCACAATAGTAACAACAGACAACAATGCGAAACCTCTGGTGCGCCGTACTCTTTGGCGTGGCACGCGCCACCCAGACGGTGTTGCGGCCGGACGCGTTCACGACCGACGACTATGACCACTTCCAGAGCCCATATTCACCCACCCACTCCGTCCAGATGCGACGACAGAACGAGTCAATCTGCGATGCTGGTGCAGCTCAGTATACAGGCTGGCTGAACATTGGCCCAAAACATCTGTTCTTCTGGTACTTTGAGAGCCAGAACGATCCTGTCAATGATCCGCTGACGCTGTGGATGACCGGAGGACCCGGCGACTCCAGCATGATCGGCCTGTTCCAGGAGATCGGTCCTTGTTTGATTAACGAGCACGGTAACGGAACCGCTCCAAACCCGTGGGCCTGGTCGCGCAACTCCTCGTTATTGTTTGTGGACCAGCCCGTGGATGTCGGCTTCTCGTACATTGACGAGGGCCATGACGTTGCAAAGGATTCCCAGGAGGCTGCGGTCGACATGCACCGGTTTCTGCAGCTCTTCGTCTCTGAGATCTTTCCTCAAAAGCGTTCTACACCCGTCCATCTTTCGGGGGAGTCGTATGCTGTAAGCCTAGCAGCCCGAGCTCTTCCTCCCAACCCCTGTCATCAACGGACTGACATATCCAGGGACAATACATCCCCTATCTCGGGGCACATATAGTGAAGCAGAACGAGCTCTATCCCGCGGAGCCTCAAGTAAACCTTCAGTCTTGTCTGGTGGGCAATGGATTAATGTCCCGGATGGACACCACGTACGGCTACTGGGACACGCTATGCACCACCAATCCCGGTGTCTCGGCACCCATCTTCAACCAGACGCGATGCGACCATATGGCCGCAAACATGCCCCGCTGCATGCAAGTCGCCGAAACCTGCGCCCAGCATCCAGACACCGCTCTTTGCCAGGCAGCCTACTCCGTTTGCTACGACGGGGTACTGTCATTGTACGAGGACGAAGTCGGCAAAGGGGGTCGCAACCGGTTCGACAGTAAGCTCGCTTCTCTCCCCGAACAATATACCTCCTAACGCCGGAGCCTCATCAACAGTCACCGCGACATGCGAGGTAGACGAATTCTGCTACATTGAAGCAGCCCACATCGAGCAGTTTCTCAACTCGCCGACAGTCTGGGACGCTCTATCTCCCCCAAAAGAAGTCACCTCATATACGGTTGAATCGAGCAACGTAGTCGAAGCGTTTGACACCACCCCGGAGGGCATGACGTCTTCCTCCGAGCATGTTGTGTTTCTCCTCTCCCGTGGGATCCACTTCCTCGCGTACCAGGGGAATCTTGATCTTGCCTGCAACACGGCCGGGACTCTCCGGTGGGCTGATGCACTGCGCTGGAAGGGCCAGCCTGAATTTGCGTCGAAATCGCTCCGGCCTTGGACTGCACCAGCGATTGGGCGCAGTGAGCCGGTCGGGACGACCAAGGAGGTTAATATCAAGGTAGGAAATGACGGGCGGACGGTGCGGTTTGCGTTTGTGACGGTGGATGGGGCAGGGCATCTTGTGAGTCTTATTTTTCTCGCTCATTCTCTGTTTATCTTTTTCTTCTTTTCTTCTTTTCTTCTTTTCTTCTTTTCTTCATTAAATCCCTCCCTCCTCCCTTCCTTCTTCGTTTCTTTCCCCTTGTATTTCGTTCTTTCTGCTTCGGGGGTTGGTTGAGACAGGGAATATATCAAGTATTGACCGCTAGCAGGTACCCCAGAATCGTCCGGACGTGGCGTTCGACATGATGCTGCGGTGGATTACGGGAGCTCCATTTGTTGAATCCTGATAAAAAATGAGGCGGCGCTAATCAAGGCCCCTATCACTCCTTCTATAGTCTGCTAACCCCTAGGAACCTGAAACCTATTATATTACTTATATTTATATATGATAATATGAATATACCATGCGCTCCTCAATCGGCCTTCAAACATCGTGTGCATCAAGCTCTCTGTTGGGAAAGAAATCCTCTTGCGGTCCAATCTACGATGGGAGTTCGGTGCGAGGGAACGTTCGCGGCGCAGAGAGCTCCCACGGTCCCTTACTCTGGGATCCTGCATCTATCTCCGCTATGTCTTGGCGACCGTGTTTGCAAGCTATAGCCTCGGTTTGCTCGCTTTGATTCTTTTTCCTGAGCAACCACCATGCCATCCCAGCCAATATCGCGCAGCCAGCGACCGGTCCGATCACCGCACCAGCAATCCAGGCCTGACTGCGTCCCTTCTCGGTCGATGGCTCAGGGCGCTCGATTATGGTTACTGTGGCGGTAGCCGAGGATCCGGTAAGGGATGGACCCGGAGTCGCCGTTGCTGGTGAGATGTGTGAGACGGTTGATACCAGTTATCATGGATCGCCATGCCACTCACCGGTTGTTTCCGCGGGATTTCGGCGGTAGAACGTAGGGTTCTTCGACTCCGTCGTGTCCCGACACCACATCAACCGATTCCATGTGGAGGCGCCCTTGGATTCAAAGACTGACCATGTCATGCACTCCGAACCTTGACCACTGTAATAGTATGAGCCCGAGGGTGTCACGAACGAGCTGAAAATTCGAAGTCACTATTCACCAGATATAAGAACTATCCTGGGTACGCATCAATGTATTGCCCTTGCAAGAGACTGGGATGTTCGTTTCCCCTGGACTGTTACATCCGGCTTTATCTCCGAGAACGGCGTATGTAACGCGATCCTGGCAGCTTTCTGGAGCCCCTAATGATATTCCTGTGTTTAGCATGGCTCATAGCGATACATGAAGGCGAAGTTCTCCTACTCACACATTCGTCCAGTTGGCTCCCATGAATATCCTATGAAGTTTTCACCCTGGCTCGTTGCTCCACTCACGCGAGCTACTATCAGGAATAGAACGCATAGTATGGCCTTCATATTGCTGAACGAGTATAATCCAGGGACAAAAAACAGACGGACAAGTGTATGGTATATTCCCGCCACGAGTTTCGCGTGAGCTCTTCTGGGAAAGGGGCAAAAAAGAGGGTTAAGCTCTGGCGAGGCTGTGACATTTTCTTCTTTCTTACACGCCGTACAGCCTCGCTTCGATCGGCGGCTTGATCACGTGGATGGAGCTAATTCATTAGTCTACAAACTAAAGAGCTTTTTATGGGTTGTAAAGCATTGCAAAGCGGTGATGTATAGATCCTAGAGGGCCCCGTGAAGGAGTAGGACCCCAAAGCAGCCGCGGGGAACCTTTGAATGCGCCTATATAGGGCCTCAGAAAGCACTCGCGAAAACGCCTTGAAAACGACCACGTAGAGTCTCTAGCAGCAATGACAAAAGATCTTCAAAATCACCCGCCTAAAACTCCTGAAAGCCCTGTAACGCACTCACGTAGGGCCCCTGGAAGTACCTACGTATGTAGAACCCCTGAAAGCGCCCATATATGACCATCTAAAGCACCCAGAAAGCACCTGTATAGAACTCCCAAGAGCAGCTGGCTAGAGATCTATAGCTCAAAAGAATATTTTAAATAACTAGTATTTATATAATCAATAGTATAGAATTCTAGAGATTAGAGATAATCATAACAAAGACATTACAAGAAAGGACTTTTTTTGTTTTTTGGAAATTCCTAGAGATGGAAAATCCGATATTATCAACCACCCGAGAGGAGCTAAATTCCATAGAGAACTCTGCGCAGACTGCAGTGGATTTTGCATGTTTTCCTATGATAATAGAGGTATCGAGTGGATTGGTTTACCCAGCCAGCGGAGCCTCTAAAAGACCGTCTCGTCAAGCGGCACCCACCGTCCTGGAGGAATATCCAATATCATATACGAATCGTGCGGGTACCCCTCATGCCAAGCAGGAATGCGCGCAGATCATTCCCTCTAATGACCCTGTTAGGCGATAGGCTTGGGGACCAAGCAATGCCTCAGCCGGGCACGGAACAAGGCACGACTCATACTTTAGCATGCATGCAGGCTGATATTGCCATCTGTCGCAATATAAGACAGTGCATGAAAGGGTACCCACGGAGCCCAGAAGTGTCTAGGTATCCTTTGTAGCCGAGTGGTATTCTTTGCGACACCATCCAATTATGCGTAGCTCGGGGTAACCGCAGATACCTTATATGTTGACCTGGACTAGTCTTCCACGGCTATATAACCGGTGTATTAGTCTTCTGTGGACCAGATTACATAGAACATTATCGCATATTCTTATATTCCACATAGTGAGCCATGATCCTCATGATTGACTATCAGCCTCCCATATATTGAATTATGAGACTCGAGGTTGTCCTGGCCTGCGGGTGGTCCACGCCTAATCCTATTCTGTCCAGTCGCAAACACGTTCCAGGCGCGTGTGCCCCTTGCTTATCGGCAGCATAAAGTGGGGAGTCGAGAGTCGAGTTTCAGCGCGGAACAACTCCCTTCACAATTGAACTCATTCGATATCGTCTATCACGATGGTACACTGGATCTCTCTCTATAGGGTGCTTTTCTGGACTATCTGCCCTGCAGCTACGGCAGCGAGTCAATTGACGGACGACCGTCATGTACCCGAGGATTCCCTGGTAGCAGATCAGGTGCTTTCCACGCCATCTGCGTATGACTTCCCTATCCTAGGGAGTAATGGGTCCGATCTATTCCCGATGCGCCCGTGTCGGGGCATCCAGATCGCGGAGGCGACGATCGACGAATTGCAGACATACTTATTGTCAGGCGGCCTGACTAGCGTCGATCTGTTACATTGTTATCTAGGCCGCATTTTCCAAACCGACAGTTATCTTTCGTTCGTATAGACAAAATTCCTTCTTGCTAAGAACCTTGCTCATAGAGATAAGGGCCATCATCCAACACAACCCGGATGTGTTCTCCATCGCAGAAGCTTTAGATGCTGAACGGGCCGCTGGCAAAGTCCGTGGTCCCCTGCACGGGATACCGTTCGTAGTCAAGGACAACATCGCGACCAAAGATCGCATGGAGACCACAGCCGGAAGTTGGGCTCTCCTAGGATCGATTGTGCCCCGTGACGCATTCGTCGTACACCAGCTGCGCAAGGCCGGCGCTCTGCTGCTGGGGAAAGCAGCATTGAGCGAATGGGCCGATATGCGCTCGAATAATTACTCGGAAGGATTCAGCGCGCGAGGCGGACAATGCCGCAGCGCGTATAATCTCACGGTGAACCCTGGTGGCAGCAGCTCGGGCTCGGGGGTCGCAGTTGGCGCCAACCTCGTTCCGTTTGCTCTAGGGACTGAGACAGACGGTAGCGGTATGTAGCTCTTCTTTCCTAAAAGTTTGCGTGTTCTATGTCTGACGTTGTCGCAGTAATAAATCCCGCACAGCGGAATGCTATAGTCGGCATTAAACCAACAGTCGGGTTGACTTCAAGGGATGGAGTGATCCCCGAGTCCCTTCACCAAGATACCGTGGGCGCATTTGGCAAGACCGTGCGAGATGCGACATACGTACTGGACGCCATCTTTGGTATCGACCCTCGGGATGATGCAACCCAAGCACAGCGAGGTCAGACTCCCCCGGGCGGCTATAGCCAATTTCTCCACGATCGGTCTGCTCTCCAAGGCGCTGTGTTCGGCCTCCCGTGGGAATCGTTCTGGCGCCTGGCGAACCCTACCCAACTCTCGCAGCTTCTCAAGCTTATCGAATTGATCCAAGACGCGGGAGCGACGATCATCAACGGGACCGAGCTACCTCACTATCGCACCATCGTGTCGCCAGATGGATGGAATTGGGATTATGGCAGCCAGCGAGGGTACCCCAACGAGTCCGAATACAGCTATGTCAAAGTGGATTTTTACAACAACCTCAAGACATACTTATCCGAGCTAGACAACACGAGTATCCGTTCGTTGAAGGACCTCGTCGAGTACAACAAGGCCAATGTAGGATCCGAAGGAGGGCAGCTTGGCATTCACCCAGCCTTCGGATCAGGACAGGATGGATTGGAAGCATCGCTAGCTACCAAGGGTATTCAGAATGATACATACTGGCAGGCACTGGAATTTTGCCACCGGACAACGAGAGAGGAGGGCATCGACGCGGCGCTGCGCTCCGGCAAGCAGACACTCGACGGGTTGCTGGTGCCACCAGATGTTGCGCAGAGCATCCAAATCGCAGCACAAGCCGGCTACCCTGTGATAACGATCCCGGCTGGCACCGATCCGGAGTCCGGGATGCCATATGGGCTAGCGATTATGCAGACTGCTTTTGCAGAAAAGACATTGATCAAGTATGCTAGTGCGATTGAGGATCTGCAAAGAGAGGCGAATACGCGGTGGAAACGCACCCTTCCTGAGTGGCGGGGTTACCTTGTTCGGAATATCCCTGTCATTAATTGATTTTAGAGGGATATTGATGAGTTTATCCCCTTGGTCCGTTGGGCGAACTATTCATTCCTGGCACACATCGGAACCCATGGACGGCTGAGTTTTGTTATGAGAAAACTTCTGTATATTTAAGCTTCGCGAGGCAGACGGGAGATTCTGTTTCGTTTGGAGTCTTTGTTTGAATAATGCAATTGATTCTATGTAGGTGATATTGTGGATTTTAGATTGTCTATCAGTTCCGTCAGTGGATCCCTGGTCGCACAGCAAAGCTGACCATCGTCGGGGGAGTTTCCTCGCTGGTTGTTGGCCCGCTGAGGCCTTCAACATGCACCGAGCGCATCTGTCAAGTGTCAGCGCCAGTCCATCATCATCCACGCGTGAAACCAACCTCGAATCTCATAATGATCATCGCAACGACCTTTTTCACTTCCTTCCAGGCCGCCCAACCTTCTGGACAGGACCGGATGCCTTGGGAGAATGGAAACAAGTTGTCCTCCATGCGCCTCCGTTGACATTGGTGGATCGCAAGCCATCGGTCTGGTTGAAATGCCTGACTACCGGGTCCGAAGATTTCGGAATTCCGCCGCATTGTATCAGAGTGTGAGAGAACCACTGTATCCTCGGGCACATGAAAACCTGCGATCGTAATGCCTCCCTCTGGAGCGATCGTCTTCACGGAGTGGCCCGGGGAGAAAAGACGGATGACCTCCATCATGACAGCATCGAGATATCGCAGACGATTCAATTCTACCCACTGAGGGGGGTCGGAGAGAATCCTCGCCTGAGATGCAGTGTCGAGCTCGTGCCGAAGTTTGCATAGTATCGAAGGGTGACATAGTAAGGCACGGAACACGGAAACAAAAGCCGCATTAATGCAGTTAATGCTCGCTACCGTGGTCTGCAGTCTCCGATATTCTCCCACACTGCGGGCTCTTTGGCCAGGGGAATTCTTCGAATTCGAGCGTGCGTTGGAACCCATCTCCGGCAGACACATTAGCCTTGGATCGGATAACAGCCCCCCGCGAGTCATCTTCAACCGCGCACCGGGACTCCCTAGAACGAGGTACTCAATTGTCGGAAATGCGAACCAACCCTTTAGGGTGTGAAACCATCGGCCCGAGTGGACTTCATTGCGAAGATACGCGGTCCGTTCCATAAGATCGTCTAGAATCAGGCGACCAACGAAATTCTTCACAAAGAAGCGAAACGACGCCGTCAGCTCGATAACGCGCTGCCGTTGGAGGTTCTCCATAAGATCCGCCGCCAATTGGTCAACCACACCCTCGTACTGCGCAGCGCCCTCGATGGTCTGCTGAACGGTCTCATTTCCCTAGATTGGATTAGATTGGTGCGATGACTCCGGCTGGAATCCACAAGAAGACATACCTCTTCGTGCAGTTGGCGCCCATGAACATACGAGACTGATTCTGGATCCGCCAAGCTCACACAATTCGGACCCAAACGCACAAGGGGACCATACTTCCAGTGATAGGTGGTCAACAGACGGCCAAAGTTGGAGGCGTTCTGGGCACGTTTATGCCAGAAGTCGGACCATCCGGCCAGTCGCGGGCCCGGAATTGCCATCAGGCGGATATAGTTGCCCACCAGGCACCACGACACCGACAGTAGCAAAAGTAGAATGGCTATTGCGGGCGCCACCATTCCAGACTAGGCTACGGGTCCAGCTCATCGTCCGAGCGACAATTGCGATGAATTTTCCAGGTTCATGGAATTTGTTGCATCGATAGACTGGGTGAAAATTGTAGTTCGACCACCCTCTTGACAGGATTGACCCGCTGCGCCATTATTGTCCTCGTTACCCCGAGCGGGGAGTGCCTCGTGGTAATACAAGGTCAGCCTCCTTTTCCTGCCGCCGCATTATCCCGAAGCGAGAAAAAAAACCGGGCGATCCAATAGGCGATCCACGACGATTCAATGAAACCCTTCGGACATTATTGTCATTGGTAAGACCATCCGAGCTGCAGTGGGGTCACCAGACGATAACTCTTCTGTGTCATGCTGGAGATAGTGAACCTGTCGCTCATAGGCTTCCATGTTCCGTATATAGCCACCTCCACTGGAATGAAGGATGGGATACCCCATGTTTGAAAAGGGGTGTCATGTTCGGCCCGATAGGCGTACAAGCTCCCTGTCCACAGCTTGTCGCTGATTGAAGGAGAGAACAAAATGTGGAGAAGTTGAAGCCAAGAGAGAAACGAGATTGGAGGGAAACGAAACGCGACCTCGGCATGGGCTCCACTCACCGCCTTCGGGGGTTCCTGCCTGGGCCTGCCTCAGGCTCCCACGGGTGTTTGATCCGACATGAGGTGGAGATCGCAGGAAGGAAACCAGACGTCGAGATCACCATCTTCGACAACTTTCATTCTTCTAGTTCTTATAGTCTTACAACACCGAGAGTCTGCAGGGCATATCTTCCTTTGCGCGTCAAATAACTCCACTATCCACTCCGTCCACCACTAGATCATCCCCACCTGCGATATGGTCCTTGCACTTCCCCGCTACGACTACTAGGTTTATGAATCCTCCAGCCAATGGGTTACGATCGGCCCCGCGGAGCCCTACAGCCTCGCTCCGATGATCGATTGAACTCGAGACGTTCGGTGGTGGCGTGTAATAGATGTCGCAATCGGAAAACCCGATGTGCGGGGAATCCTCCGGCGCCGTGTGCCGCCTGTGAGGATGTCGGCCATGCCTGTGTCTATTCCGAGGCCGAGAAGCGCGTGTCCATATCGGAGAGGTAAACGGAATATGGTGAAGCTGCTTTTGTCGACAGTGGACTAATCATCTGCCAGTTATTACCGTCAACTTCAAACTCAGGCGCAAGCAAACCGCCCAGGTGTGTATACCTTCGATCCTTTCAATGGGTCCTTTCATTGATTGAACGTGGCCGATTTTATAGGAAGTCTGACAGATGACCGTCATTTGTCGCCCTCACTTACGACTCCTGGATCTTCCCAGGCGACTTCAGGTCCCTCTAATGCGGAAATCCCAGCGGAGCGGGATGACTGGTGGTACAAGGGTTCTGACGATCTGTTCCTCAACCGTTCGGGAGAACACCGTATGGCCACTCTCTTCAAGACATTCGACAGTCGATAGCTGACATTGATAGAATTTGTGGGTGCATCATCGGCCACGCACATGGCCAAACGTCTCCACCCAACATCCAATAATTTCGCATGGGATGTGCGGCCGTTGTACGATGACCCGTCGTCGTTGCGACGGTCGGTCAATCGTGCTTTACCCCAGATGCCACCGCTCGATTTTGCCAAGAGATTATTCTGGGTGCAGTACACCTATATTGGGACGATCTTTTCCCTCATTCATCCCGACGACTTTGAACGACGGCTAGCGATCGTCTACAATCGACCTCCGGATGTCTCCAATCGGGAGTCGTGTCTGGTCTACTGTCAGGTGCTACTCGTCATCGCCTTTGGGCTGATGTATTCGGTGAACCAGTGGTCAGGGGATGATGGCCCACCTGGGTTCAGATACTTCAAACACGCCTTGCGATTCTTGCCGGATATCCACGAGGACGGCTCCATCTTTTTCGTCGAAGTGCTCTGCTACGTGGCGTATTATATGCAGAATCTGAACCGGCGGGATGCGGCATTTCTATACATCGGACTGGCCCTTCGTATGGCCATCTCACTTGGCCTCCATCAAGAGGTGTCCGACCCAGCCATTGGGGAAGAAGATCGGAACCGTCGCCGCCGTGCCTGGTGGTCGGTGTATAGCTTAGATCGACTGCTTTCGGTTAAATCTGGCAACCCCATTACCATCCAAGATGAAGACATTGGCACGACCTGGCCCATTCCGATGGATGGATCAACAACGGCACCATGGCCGTCGGTCGTGCTCACTCACTACACCCAGTTGTCTCGCATTCTGGGACGCGTGGGCGAGGAAATCTACCGGAAGAAGCCCCGATCTGGCTCCAACCTCCTCATGTCCGTGCAGAGCATCACGAACGATTTATCCAAGTGGCTACGGCAGATCCCAGACCGGCTTCGGATCGACTTTTCGACCCTCGGCACCCACCTGAATCGGGAATCGGTCTCCATATTCTTACACTTCTACTCGTGCGTGAACATGACGGCCCGGCCCCTGGTCTTCTACGTGATTCAACGCCGCTTGGACGGGGATGCTCAAGGCTCGGCCAGCGATGACTGGCGAGACGGACTGTCGCAAAACACGGTGGCCGTCATTGACAGCTGTATCACTGCGGCTCGCGCCACCACCTTGATTATGGACGCGGCGGCAAAGCACAACTTACTTGGTATGTATCTTCCAACCGTCACAGCGGCCTGTTGACTCACCCACATTTCTCCAGCTACATACGGATATCTCGATGGGGAATACGTCTTCTCGGCCGCTCTACTTCTCGTCATGGTCAATGGTGCCTTCCCCCCAGACGACACCAATACACGGACCATGGAGATGGCATTGGCTCTCCTCCGTGGGATGGCGGACCGGGGGAACGTGTACCTCGCGTCGCGCCATGCACTCCTCTTGGAGCTGCAGGCGGCCATCAGCCCGAAGCGCACGGATGTCGCTGTGGAATCACCGGTTACCACTAGTAGTATTGCTCACCATACGAGCCCGACGATGAACGTGGTAGATGAACGACCCCCCGTAGTATCGACTGAGTGGCCATTGCCGCAAGATTTGTCGTCGGTGCGAGACATCTCCTTCAACCTTGACGTCACCGAGTCGGATCCCGGGCTGTGGGAAGAAGTATTGGATCAAATCGATATCGATATGGATACTGACTGGATTGAAAGTACGCTGCGGAGGTGACTGGACTTACGAGGCTACGTCGTATGATTTTTTCGCATGGAGTATTGGGTTACTTACGAAGCTCAAAATTGCCATGATATCTTTTGTAGCCGGGTGGTAATGGCTTGATGATTGCAGCGTATTTGAGATGACTGGCATTATTGTACAGCAATAGTGTATCCGGTTCTAATAAAAACAATTGTATCATCGTTATATAAGATGGAGGAATCTACACCACTAGATCCGGTTCTAGTTACCGGTAGTCGTACTTTGGATAGTCATCCCACCCTACACATTCAGTTGAACCAGTGTCTGGATAAGACAATACTATACCCCGTACTACTATCTCCAATCCTATACATCCTTCATATCACACCACTCGTTTCATTCCCATCGCCTGATAAAATCTCCCAATCATGCCGGCCGTGTCGGGCCGCCCGCTCCGACCGAGGGGTCATCGGCCCGACACGTGACCATGCGGGGATGGTCGACCAGAAAGATAAGGCAGAAAGTGGATTGTTATCGGGACTGCGGGGAGCCATTGGAACTATTTGAACTCCCCGAACCCTCCGCTCTTCAGTAATTTCCCCATAGACTCCATATATTATACCCCCCTCCCACCAAACGCCCTTTCTCTTCTCGTCTCTCCACCTCTCACATTCAAAATGGACGAGTCAAGGAAAATCACCATCTCCATCGACCGTGGTGGCACCTTTACAGACGTGCACGCCATCGTCCCGGGCCGCCCTGACATCATCCTAAAGCTACTATCCGTCGACCCCGGTCACTACCAAGATGCACCGACAGAAGGCATCCGACAGATTCTTGAGCTGGTAACAGGAAAGCCGCACCCGCGGGGTCAGCCGCTGGAGCTGGGTCCGATCGGCAGTCTCCGGATGGGGACAACCGTAGCGACAAACGCGCTGCTGGAGCGCAAGGGCGCGCGCTCGGTTTTATTCACAACGCGGGGGTTCCGAGATCTGCTGAAGATCGGGGACCAGTCTCGACCGAAAATTTTCGATTTGAGCATGGCTCGGCCAGGAGTGTTACCAGAGGGCGTGGTGGAGGTAAATGAGCGCGTCGTACCGTGTCATCCGTCTGCGGATAAGGATTGTTTTGCCGAGGCGCGAGTGGTGGAGGGTGTGACTGGGGAGAAGTTCAAGGTGGTTCAGGAGTTGAATATGGAAGAGGTGGAGGGTGAACTGCGCCGGTTGAAGGAGGAGGGATATCAGTCTCTGTCTGTTGCGCTAGTGCACTCCTTCGCCTACCCAGATCATGAGCGCAAAATCGGCGAGCTAGCACGGAAGATGGGCTTCTCCGTCACATTATCTTCCCAGCTGCAGCCCATGATCAAGATCGTTCCCCGAGGCATGTCTGCCGCCGCGGATGCCTATCTTACCCCGGTGATCAAGACCTACATTGATTCGATCTCGTCGAGCTTTGAAGGCGGCCTGGAACGGCAGCATGAGTGTCGATTCGAGTTCATGCAGTCCGATGGTGGTTTGGTGGACTTCCGCAAGTTCAGCGGCCTGAAGGCTATTCTATCTGGTCCTGCCGCCGGCGTGGTCGGTTTTGCGGCGACCAGTTATGATCCGGAGGAAAAGACACCCGTTATTGGCTTCGACATGGGTGGCACGTCGACAGATGTGTCGCGATTTGACGGTCATCACGAGCATGTCTTCGGATCCAAGGTGGCCGGTGTGCTCATCCAGTCGCCCCAACTAGACATCAACACTGTGGCTGCTGGTGGTGGCTCGATCCTGTCGTGGCGCAACGGACTGTTCTACGTCGGACCCGAGTCCGCTTCTGCCCATCCGGGCCCTGCATGCTACCGCAAGGGTGGCCCACTGACCGTGACAGACGCAAATCTGTTCTTGGGCCGCCTGATGCCGGAATATTTCCCCCACATCTTCGGCCCCAACGAAGATCAGCCGCTGGACATCGAGGTCACCACCAAGCTGTTCAACGACCTAACGGACAAGGTCAACGCCGAGAGAAAAGAGAAGGGACAGCCCACGTACACGGCGGAGGAGGTGGCACTGGGTTTCCTCAAGGTCGCAGACGAGTCGATGGCTCGTCCGATTCGCGGGCTGACTGAAGCTCGTGGGTTCGAAACCGCATCGCATCACCTTGCTTGCTTCGGTGGAGCAGGTGGCCAGCATGCGTGCTCGGTCGCTGCGTCGCTTGGAATTTCTCGCACGATTATTCACCAATTCTCTTCCGTTCTTTCTGCCTACGGCCTGGCGCTGGCTGAAGTGGTCAAGGAGTCCCAGGAGCCGGTCTCCAAGGATTACCTGTCCTCCAAGTCTAGTCTTGATGGGCGATTTGTCGAGATGATGAAGGAGGCGACTGAGGACATGGAGGTCCAGGGATTCCGCAGCGATCAAGTCCATCATGAGCTTTATCTCAATATGCGCTACGAGGGTTCTGACACAAGCTTTATGATCCTCAAGCCCGAAGATGACTCCGGGTTCCTCGAGCAATTCCGTGCCCGTCATCGTCGTGAGTTCAACTTCAACTCCGACCGTCCGGTGTTGGTGGACGACATCCGTGTACGGACGATTGCCTCGTCCAAGGTGCGCACGGAAAAGAGCCCACTGGTGCAGCTGAAGGAAGCAACCCTACAAGATATCTCAGGTCCCCCTCACAACACGACTAAGGCCTACTTTGACGGATACCCGGATCGCATTGACACCGCGGTTTACCTCCTGGACAAGCTGGACCGCAGCACCCGGGTGCATGGCCCCGCCGTCATTATCGACAAGACGCAGACGATCGTTGTGGCCCCCAACGCGGTCGCCAACATCCTGGAGACGTGCATTGTCATTGATCTGCAGGAATCCAAGAACCCCGTCGCTAAGAACGTGTCCTCCGAGATCGATCCCATTCGGCTCACTATCTTCGGCCATCGATTCATGTCAATTGCGGAACAGATGGGCCGTACCCTGCAGAAGACGTCCGTGTCGACCAACATCAAAGAGCGCCTGGACTTTTCGTGTGCGCTGTTCTCTCCAGACGGCGGCCTTGTCGCCAACGCGCCGCATGTTCCCGTTCATCTGGGATCCATGCAATTTGCTGTGCGCTACCAGCATCAGAAATGGCTGGGTAATCTTAAGGATGGCGACGTGCTGGTGGCGAACCATCCGACCTGTGGCGGGACGCATTTGCCCGATATCACGGTACGTTCAATTCCTCTGTCATTCCCATTCTAACATACTAATATGAGGCGACAGGTCATTACACCCGTTTTCGACCGACCGGGTGGAAGCGAGATCATGTTCTACGTGGCCTCGCGCGGCCACCATGCCGACATCGGCGGTATCCTCCCCGGGTCTATGCCGCCCAAGTCGACGGAGCTGTGGCAGGAAGGCGCCGCCATCGAGGGCGACAAGATCGTCAGCAACGGCGTCTTCGACGAGGATCGCGTAATCGAGTTGCTGGTGCGCCAGCCCGCCGAACACCCCGGCTGCTCGGGAGCGCGCTGTATCAGTGACAACCTCTCAGACTTAAAGGCACAGATCGCGGCCAACACACGGGGCATCGGGCTCATCCAAGCGCTGTTCGCCGAGTACGGCACGGAGACGGTGCAGAGGTACATGTATGCGATCCAGACGAACTCGGAGACGGCAGTCCGCAATCTGCTGAAAGAGCTGCACCAGAAATTCGGTGGTCAGCCACTCGAGGCGGTCGACTACATGGACGACGGCACCCCGATCAAGCTGAAAGTCACCATCAACGACACGGACGGGTCAGCGGTGTTTGACTTTGCGGGGACAGGGCCCGAGGTGTACGGGGGGTGGAACGCGCCGATCGCGATTACGCACTCGGCCATTATCTACTGCCTGCGCTGCATGATCAACGCGGATATCCCACTGAACCAGGGGTGTCTAGCGCCAATCGACATCCAGGTCCCCTCGCCCAGCCTGCTGTCCCCGACGAAGACGGCAGCCGTCGTCGGCGGCAACGTCGTCACGTCGCAGCGGATCACAGACGTGGTGCTCAAGGCGTTCCGTGCCTGCGCAGCGTCGCAAGGATGCTGCAACAACCTCACCTTCGGGACTAACTCGCGGACAGACTCCGACACAGGGGCCACGATCCCCGGATTCGGCTACTACGAGACGATCGCGGGCGGCAGCGGGGCAGGGCCAACCTGGACAGGCGAGTCCGGCATCCACGTACACATGACGAACACACGGATCACCGACCCGGAGATCCTCGAAAAGCGGTACCCGACACTCCTACGGCAGTTCACGCTGCGGACGGGGTCCGGCGGACGCGGCAAGCACCAGGGCGGTGACGGCGTGGTGCGCGAGATCGAGTTCCTTTCTCCGATGGAGTGCTCGATTCTGTCGGAGCGGCGGGTGCACCGGCCCTATGGGCTGGAGGGGGGCGAGGACGCGCAGACGGGGCTGAACCTGTGGTCGACGCGGGATGTCGAGACGGGGGAGGAGCGGACGGTCAATATTGGGGGGAAGAATACGGTGTCTGTGAAGACGCATGATCGGATCGTGATTATGACGGCTGGCGGGGGGGGGTGGGGGCGTCGTGAAGAATAGATCGTTGATGTTCTATATATATATCTATACTTACATATGATCGAGTCGATGGACTCATACAGTTCTATTTACTTCTATTTCCTACAACACATATTCCCAGCTCTTCTATCCCAGATGGCAATCCCAACACCGCTCACTCTTCCCAGTCCAATCCCTGACAGCGAAAGGGAGCTAGATAGATACAATCATAGTGGCGTGAGAGAGATTGACAGGCCAGGGATGACTCACGGGTCTTTACCCTTTAGGCTGACCGGGTAAAACTGGATCAACTGGAGGAGGTGGTGTGATTGATATATTCTATTTTGTTATTTTGACTATTATTCTGTTTATATTTATGTATTGTGTTTGTGTTAGAGGGTTGTATCGTTGCAGTATACGCGTTGTATACGCGTAGGAATAGGATCATAGAGAAGGATATTGGTCTGCTGTTTTCCGCCATTTTTAATAAACAATAAAAACAATGATAATAGAAGATATTTAGTGATCTATACATGCAAGTATACATTACCAAAATATACTAATGTATGGAGTATGGATGTCTATATTAAAAACACTCCGATAACTCGAGGTCCATAGTTAATTAGTTATGCACGATGCGCGAGTATGCGGAGTCGGCACGATGCTGCTGTACAGCAGAACAGACCTTTTTGAATAGCAACAGAATAACAACAAACATCTAGATTCGTCTCATTACTACCTCTATTACGATTTACTAGAATTCTCATATACTCAATGATTGTAGTGGTTGTAAAAAAGGATAAAGAATCATACTGATGACATAAGCCGCATCACATGTCGGATCAGGTTATCTTTTTTTATTTTTTTTTATTCAAATCAATTCTTTCATCTCGACTTTTCTTTCACTTCTTTCTCTTCTTCTCTGCTTGATTCTCTTCTTGACTCTCTGCATCCTGTTCTCCACGATCTCCTCGTTTCTCCGATGCGATCATGTCCCTCCTTCCCCACTGCTGCCTGAGCCCCTCCTGACCTCTCCAGTCGGGGTATTTGTTGACCTCTCAGCTCCGAGGTCTCTAACTCACCTCTCCATCCCATATAAACCGTCCGTACGACAGACCTCGTACTCCACTGGCCTATCTTTTCAACCTGCCAAACCAACCCTCGCGCCTCGCTGGGTTGCATCATAAACGCCGGTCGCAAACGGACTTTTCCTCCACCGTATCCCTCGTCTCTGGCGGCCATGGGGAAACCCCCCGCAGCCATCATCGTTGCGCGGTATATCTCTCTCTCCCCCCCCTTTCTATCTTTTCTTCCCCTTCTTTCCCCTCAAACTAACCTCTGTAATCTCCCAGACATGGTGCCCGCTTGGATGCCGCTGACAAGGATTGGCACCTGACCTCCCCCACGCCTTATGACCCTCCCCTCTCCTATGGCGGTTGGATGCAGTCCCGGGCGCTCGGGGCCCGCATCGTGAACCTTGTCCATTCCATGGAATCCGACCCCCAGCCACCACGTGCCCGTCCCCTCAACCGCAAGTTCCGCATCGTGATCCACTCCTCTCCCTATCTGCGTTGCCTGCAGACCGCCATCGCTCTGAGCTCGGGAATCTGCCAAAACTCTCCCGCCGGAGATTCCCCCCAGCGCCCGTCGCCGGCCCCGCAGTCCGGTCCCGTCAACGGATGCCTCTCGCCGACCCCGACAGACAGCGGCTCTCGCTGTGTCTTGCGCGTCGACGCCTGTCTGGGGGAGTGGCTGTGTCCCGATTACTTCGATCACATCGTGCCCCCTCCCTCGTCCGAGCGCATGGTCACCGCCGCCAAGGCCGAGCTCCTGCGCCGCGAACACCAGTTCGTCCCGGACGCCGACATCAACGCCCGACCCACCACCGGCCACTTTCCCGGCGGTTGGACCGACCGCGTCAGTCCCACGACCTCCGCGCCCCCCGCGGATGGCAGATTCGCCCAAGGAGAACCCGCGACAACCCCCGCGCCGTCGCAAGCCCCCCGACAGCGTGCGGAGAGCGTGGGAACGTCGTTGTCGTCGGAGGATTCCCCTGGCCATCGACGGTGGCTCACGATCAATACCGATCTCGCCCCCATCCCCGACAGCGCCTACGTGCCGCCGACCCCCAGCTATGCCATCTCCCCCTCGGGGCCCATTCCGCCCGGGTACGTCACCCATGCCCGCGACGCATGCGTCCAGGTGGACTACCCGTGGGATAGCATGCGCAACTCCCAAAATTGGGGCGACGGCGGCGAATTTGGCGAGGACTGGAGCGCGATGCACGCGCGGTTCCGGGGGTCGCTGGAACACATAAATGCCTGGTATCGCGACCACGAACGGCCCGCGCCCCGCGCCCCGCGTCGGCGCCGCACGCAACTGCCCGGCGACGCGGAGGACGGCACGGTTGAGGAGGAGGTGGAGACCGTCGTCGTCCTCGTGACGCATGGCGCCGGATGCAACGCGCTGGTGGGCGCCCTGTCGGGTCAGCCGGCCCTGGTGGACATTGGGACGGCGTCGCTGACCATGGCGGTGCGCGAGGATCGCGACAGAGCCAGCGGGGCGGGCGACGCTCGGAGCTCGTGGGGACTGGACGACTATAACCTGGAGCTGGTCGCCTCCACCGACCACCTCCGGTCGGCGCCCCCCTCCGCCTCGGTTCTGTCCTCGCCTACCAGCGTCGTCGCGCCGTCCGGTCGCTTCCGATCGGCGTCGCGGACCTCCCCACCGCCCAAGCCGTTTGTCGTGGGGCCCACGGCGACGTCGGGTTTGGGGTCGACCTCGCGCCCGTGGTCTCTGGACCGACCGTCCACGGCGCCCCGCGGGGGGTCGTCCGGTCTGTGGGGCTCGATGGCAGCGACCGCCCGGGAGGAGGATGACCTGTTTCCGAATTTCGGGGGCGCGTTTTCGGGCTCGTCCCTCACCCTCGGTGGCCCCCGGGTGATCGCCCCGGTGGCCGAGGAGGAATCGGCCAAGCCCAAACAGCTGCCGCAGCGGACGTTGTCCCAGCGGGGGTTGTGGGGCGGTGCGCCTCTGAATAAGGACATGGCTGTCAAGCGACGCTGGACCGTGACCGAGCGGCGAGCGTGACACTGATCCCACTCTAATTTTCTTGCGTATGCCTGGATCATTTGTCCTTGCCTTGCTTTTCTCCCTTACATCTCTCCCTTCTTCTCTCCATTCCTTTCTCGTTTTGGCGATGGCGTTCTGATTAGCGATATTTACGATAATTACGATGAATTTCCTATTGTCCTTTTGGAAACTTGACCGGCAAATCTCGATTCAAACTGGTCGCAAATGCTGGCGTCTGAGAATGTACTCGACGGCCACCATACACCCATTTCTTTGTAGTCGTGTCTTTCATAATGGTGGCCGATTGGCTCCAGTCAGCCCACCCATGGGCCCAGCAGTCTTCATTCCCTCCGTTGGTTGCCCCCTGGCAATGGCCGGTGGGGACGCTTTGACCCGCCGATCTATGAGGTCATTACCCGAGGGCCAGCCCCCCAAGTGGGGAAGATGACGGTTTCCCAGGCACCAGGGATAATAACTCCCCTGCGCCGCCCGAGTTTCTGCGCCCTACCTTGAAAGCATCACGATGGATTCCCACGAGGCCGCAGTGTCTGCGGTCGCCGCCCAGGTCGAACGATTCCACCACCGTCAGCAGCCGTTCCGGATCTACCATGGCTCTACTAACAGCACGCGCCAGTCGCAGCACAGCGCGGCTAATACTATCAGCACGGCCCATCTCACCCGGGTCCTCGAGGTCAACCGCGACGCTAAAACCGCCGTGGTCGAGCCCAATGTCCCGATGGACGCGCTCGTGCACGCGACTCTGGCACACGGGCTGGTGCCGCTCGTCGTGATGGAATTCCCGGGCATCACCGCCGGCGGTGGTTTTTCGGGCACTTCGGGCGAAAGCAGTTCCTTCCGACACGGCTTCTTCGATGCCACCGTCAACTGGATCGAGATCGTCCTGCCGAACGGCGAGGTGCGGCGTGCGTCGCCCACCACCGATGCGGACCTCTTCTGGGGCGCGGCCTCCTCCTTCGGCACGCTGGGCGTCGTCACGCTCGTGGAGGTGCAATGCCGCGAGGCTAAACCCTACGTCGAGCTCCGGTACCTCGCCGCACCGAGCATGAACGCCGCCATGGACTTGTTCCGCGCAGAGACGGCCGACCCCTCGACCGAGTACCTCGACGGGATCGTGTTCGCGCGCGACCACGTCGTTGTTTGCGCCGGACGGCTCGTCGATACGGCGCCCGGTGGCACCATCCAACGGTTCACGCGCCCGCGCGACCCCTGGTTCTATCTCCAGGCCCAGCGTCGCGCACCTGTCTTGAAGCCAACAGACTCCACTCCCACCCCGGTGGACTACATTCCCCTAGAAGATTACCTCTTCCGATACGACCGCGGCGCATTCTGGACCGGTCGATACGCCTACTCGTACTTCATCACGCCGTTCAACCGCATCACACGCTACATCCTCGACTACTTCATGCACACGCGCGTGATGTACCACGCACTACACAAAAGCGGTCTCTCCGACCAATTCATCATCCAAGACGTGGCAGTACCCTACCACGCGACCGACGAGTTCGTCACCTGGCTCGACAACAAAGACACCTTCGGCGCGTATCCCATCTGGCTCTGCCCACTGAACCACACGCGCGGCGTAATGGCCCCATCCTCCCACGCGCCCCAATCCCAATCCCAGCCCACCGACCCCGCCAACTCCGACAGCAACTACCTCATGAACTTCGGCCTCTGGGCGCCCTCGCGACACGCACGTAACACGCCCGGCTTCGTGGCACAGAACCGCCACCTCGAAGATAAAGTCCGCTCCCTCGGCGGCAAGAAGTGGCTCTACGCGCACGCATACTACACCGAGTCCGAATTCTGGTCCATCTACGACAAACCGGGGTACGACGCGCTGCGGGAAAAGTACCACGCGTCGTATCTGCCAGACCTGTACCAGAAGGTGCGGGTTGATCTGCGCGACGACGGGCGCGGGGGACTGCGGATTGCGGGGGGTGGGAAGCAGCGGACAGGTGTGTTGGGGTGGGTGAAGGGTTTGCTGTGGGGGGTGTGGCCTGTGAGTGGGCTTTATGGGGTCTATCGGGCTTGGAGGGGGGAGAGTATTTGTTGAAGAGGGATTGATATACAGCCGTGGTAGATGGCTTTGGGGGAGGATTTATATGATTGATGTTCGAACGAGTTATATATTTGAATGGATCTATGTTGAATGATGTATGGGACTGCGTGAATATATATAGCTAGCTATACGATCCGGAATTCTATAACAGTGTTTTCTTTCCCAGGTGCAGCCAGCGTAACACTTCGAGGTCATTATATTGACATAGAGTCATCATCACCCCAAATCCATATCGTATCACCTAACCTTCTTGCCCTGGAGAACACCAACCTGCATCGTCTGCAAGCTATACCTTGCAAATTCCGAATGCACATGGCTCCCATCATAAAACAACGCAGTTACATCTTTCCCAATCTCCCGCTGAAGAAGCGCCCTACCCCCAGGATGCACATCCACGAACCCAGCAACATCATACACAGCACGATCAACAACAACAAGGGAACATCCCTGCTCAACCCTCCTCGAAATCCCCTCCCACGACAACACCATCCAATCCGTCTCCCGAAAATCCAACCCCCTCCGTAACTGCAGCTTCCTACACCGATCAACATCAACTGGACGAGCCCGATGCAAGTCCCACGCCCAGCCCAGCTTCTCAAACCCCCAGATAACCCACTTGGTCATATCAACCGCACAGGTATCAACACCATGGCGGTAATCCGTCGGAAACGCATGATGGTAATTATGATACCCCTCTCCAAGCGTCACCGCAGCCAGCCACGGATTATCAGTCGCCGTAACACCGGCCACAAAAGGCTGCGTGCCCAGCGAATGCCCCAGCGAATTAACCGACAGCGTCAACATCCAGCCCACAACGGTGCGCGCAAAGCCCGCATACAGCACCCCACCCACAGCATCATCCCACCCAGCATGCGCAATCACACCAGGCAGAACCACGCCCGCGCCCATCGCAATCCAAAAACCAGTATTTCCGCTGCCAGACGACAACCGGGTTAGAGGTTAGATCCGACATATCGATATCCCAGGCCGTCGTATCCGTCTTGTACAGCATGAACCCGACGTGCGCCCAGAGGAGGCTCTTCTTCGCGTTATATGGATCGCGGTCCGACGTCGTGCTTGTCTGTGTCTGTTATGCGGGCCGTCCCATTGGAGATTCAAGGTCGTGTGTATGGGCGTGGTTGGACAGATCTGGTAGCATCTCCTGAGGGTGTTAGATCGCATGGTATCATCTTGTGGTATCAGATGCTCCGCTGACTGGCCTAGATAGAAGAGGTGCTGAGCGCGTCAACGCAGGCCAATGCATGTTGACCATATAGAGAACTAACACAGAGAAGATACTCGAATCGTCATACAGTTCCGTATGTCTACATCAAAGTAAGCGACTGTTCCTAGAACTTGACACAGTTATAAGGATGGCACTTCGGCTTATAAGTAATCCTATATTCAATGCGACAGCATAATCGTAAATCGTCTATATCTTTATCTATACCACACACACCCATATCCAAATGCAAATCCAGTTCAACGTCACTGCAATGCGAATACCACCTCACTTCTGGCTACCATCCTCGATGACAATACGGCCCTCCAACCGAGGCGCAATGCCAATGGTCCAATTCGGGACGAATCCCCGCGTATCGACGTCGTCCAGGGTAGCAGGCTTCAAGCCCGCACGGTCCATCCACTTGCGGACGACACGGCGGGCGAGTTTCAGCCGTCGCTGTTCGTCGTCGGTGGACTGCGCGGGGAGGGTGACGTAGTTGGTGGAAGAGGTGGAGGACGAGGTGAGGAGTTCGGGGTCGGTGTCGGAATCGGAGTCCATGTCTTCGTCCTCTTCTTTGGGTGTTTGGGCGTCTTTGTCTTGCGTTTCTGGGTAGGTGGGAATTTCGTATCGACTGTACTGGTAGTATTGGTTGGTCCGCTGGAGGGTAGGTCGGGGAGGGGCCTTCTCGGGGGGAGAGGAGACTGGTCCCGCGGCAGGGACCAGCCAGCCGTCGCAGTGGAGGCTCTTGTGCACGTCCGTCCAGTGGCGATTGAGACTCTTGCTCCAGCGCTGCCAGCGGCCCATGACACGCAGACTCAAGAAGTATTGACGCAGGAGGGTGCTGACCAGCACGCCGCTCTCCTCGTCGACGACCTCCTCCACTTGGCCGCCTTCGGATTTCACGAGCAGAGACATAAACCCGTCCTTGCCGCGCGCCATGTACCCCCGTGTTGCGAGGAGGTAGGGACGGTCGAAGTCGATGGGCTGACCGCCCAGTTTGGCCCAGTTGATGCGCGAGCCGGCCGGTGCGGAGGGGTTGTAGCTGAACGAGATGTTGGAAACCTGCGGGAATCGACCTTCTAGCGCAGGAAGCAGGCTGACACCGTTCTCCAGCGCGTCCATGATGGCCTTGCCGGAGGCGCGGACCAAAACCACCGGGTCCTCGAAGGGGAAGCAGTTGAGAATGTCCCTAAGACGCAGGATCCCAGGCGGGTAGATCTGGTCGCCACGGATCGTGCCACCGGCCATCATGGCACAGTCTGCTCCGTAATAGAAGCGCATCAGGTCACAGACGAAATTTCCCAGATTCGACTCGCGTTGCCGCACAGTCGAGAAGCGTCCATCCAGCGGGCGCGCAGTGTATCCGACCGGTTTTTCGAGCTTAGCCTTCAGGCTCGTTGTCAATTTAGCAGCCAGTGCCACGGTCGCGGGGTCCTCCGGGATCGCACGGATCATGTCCCGACGAAGAATACTGAAGTCCCATCCGGGGCCATCCTGCTTGCGCCACGCTTCGATGTAGCTCAGTTGTTTGAAGTCGGTCCCGGAGCGCAAGACGTGCACGCCGTTGAGGAATGCATGCCCATAGAAATGGTCGTGACCGCCCAAGATAATGTCAATCATGCCGTACGGAATCTTTTCGGCCAATTTATAGTCGTTGGGCTCTCGTTGATGAGTGACCGCCACGATAATCTCCGCACCTTGTTCGCGAAGCTGCGGGACAAGTTCCATGGCAGTCTGCGAAGCGGATTTGTAGATGAGGTTAGGAGGGAGCGCGTTGATCGTTGCGAGCCTGCAGGCAATTAGTATCTCATCTGCCAACAGAGCCAATGCGCCTTACCATTCTCTTTCGCCGAGACCAATGACGCCAATCTTGATCCCATTCGACGAGGTCAACATACACGTCTTCTCACAATTGGCAATCGGGACACCCTCGCCCAGCGCGGGATCGAGAACATTCGCAAGTAGCCAGGGGAATTTGCATTGGCTGCGGAGATGGCGGAGCTGTGCGACGCCAAAATCTAGGTCGTGATTCTACCTCGTCCATCATTAGCAGTGTCCCACTGCCGGCTCCAATTGTGCTGCTGAACATACCCCAAGACAAGCAACATCTGTTCCAGCTTTATTGAGAAAAGGCACCATGTGTCGCCCCTTTGTCACTGTGCTTTCGAGGCTCGGGTTGAAGGCATCTCCGGAGAAGAAGGTGAGGGGGGCGGGCTGGTCGGCGAAGCGGGGATCCGATCGGTAGTGATTGATGACAGTTTGAAAACGAGAAACGCCGCCGACCGGTTCTGCAGAGCCTGGTCTATATAACAGTTAGTGAGCGCGCGCTGGAGAGAGATCGGGGTGTAGACATACTCGACGTGATACACGTCATTGTAGTGGATGAGGCGTAGGTCAGGGGTCCCTGTCCGATCGGACGAATGGGTAACGGAGGAGCCACTATCTGCGACACTCATTGTGACTGAAGGGATAACTATAATGGGACTATAACGAAGAGAATACGATAAAGATACAGAAAGAAAGAGAGTGTATATGAGAGAGAGAGAGAGAGAGAAGAGAGAAGACAGATGGAGGGGATTGAAAGGCGGTCTGACACAAGGCGGGGAACTGAGGCATCCAGGCCTGCAGGCACCCGTGCATCCCCCGATTTGCCACCGCCAATCATTGTGGATCTACTCTATACAGCCCATTATCAGTATAGCTATAGGCCCACTAAGTCCTTGTAGATCCAATTGAGTGTGGCAAATTAGCCAATCCTTGTCATACCATATGGCTATCCGGCTCCTAGATAATACATGACAAATGGTATCATTAAACATCAATCCCCCATGCGCCAAAACGCCACCGTCATTGCACGCCTACAGGCCGTGCCCCCGATAGATTCACCACGCGTCCACCACCCGCTGCGGCGGGGGCCATGGTCTTCATAGGGGCCGGGGGTTTCACCCACCCCGGAACACTGTCGTCGTCTGCTTCGCGAGCGGCAATGGTGTGCCACACGTTGGGGAACCCCGTGGGTAACGCACCGCGCAGTCGCGCGCCCGGAATGGCGAAACGGGGGTTGCGGTGCGTGAGATAGCCGCGCATCAACCCTTGGGTCAAAATGGAGGCGAGGATCGATTCGAGCTCGCGCAGCATCGCGGTCGGCTTCCCTGGGTCCTGCCCCAGCGCCGACTGTCCCACAGTCCGATGCGCGTATGGGTCCAACTCGTGTGCCTGATAATCCGTGTCGGGTTGTCCATCCACCAGGCCCCGGGTGGGATTAGTGTGGTACTGCCCTTGGGCGTCGAAATGCCCATCTGGGGCCAGGTAGTCGCCATACTGGGCCATCAGCGCACCGCCGAGCGGGCTGTCAGCGGCGTTTCCACCGACAAAATCCGGATCGGAGGGTTTATGAATGAGCTGCGATCCCACGCGACTATCACCTGCCCGCGCATCCAGATCATGGTCCGGTGGCAGTACAGCGAGATTGCGAGTGGATCCGGAGTGTTGCGATTGAAGCCACCGGACGGCGGTTTCGAGCTTCGCCAAATACAGGAAAGGCGGCGGGCCACGTTGGGCTGTCCCCGGCAGCTCCCCATGGAAGCCCCCGTGGATAAATACTTTTCGGGCCAGCGACCGCCAGACGAGAATTTCACATCGATTACGGACGGCCAGTAAGATGCCGCGCTGTGCAAACCACTCGCTCACCTCCGAACCCCCTGCCAGATGTTCGCGAAAGGCGATGTAGTCACCGCGCACGATCAGTCGGCAGATCGGGACGAACTTATCTGCCAGCCCCTCCGCCTCTGGCAGCCCCAGCAGTTTCATGGACGGGAATCGGCCCATTATGATGTTACACGGGATGAGATAGGTGAGGATGACGCGTTTCTGATTGATGCCCTGCCGGTGGCATTGATTGTATGCCGCCTGGAGGGCGATGCGAGCGGGATGGAATAAATTGTTGGAGAAGAGGTATCGTCCGAGGTAGTAGAGATAGGTGACTCGTTGCGAGGCCGGGAAGTAGGTCAATGGTGGAGATTGGGCGCTAATACTGGCGAACATCTGTTCTGCATTTCGCAGTTTGCCGCACTAGGCCTGTTAATATCCGGGGCACCAGTAAGGGATTGGCAATCGTACCTGGAAGAGGAGTTTCAAACACAGGTTGGCCATTAGGTAGATCCCGACGCGCTTCCCTTCGGGCTTTCCGGCAGGCCCTGGCGTACCGCTGCGATCGGTGAGGCACTTGATGAAGGCTTCCCGAACCACATTCGCCGACTTCTCCACCAAGGTCACTTTCTCGACGCTATCGTCCTGGTCGGAGCGGCCCTCCATCCTCAGTATCTGCGCAATCAAATCCGGTCGCTTATCCAAGCCCATGGCCAGTTTAGCTAGGACTTTCGAGAGGTAGAGAACGGTTGGGAGGACGATCACACCGAACTGGCTGTCCCCGAGAGCCAGTACGCATTGGCTGCACGAAAGTAAAGGAATCAACGGTGGTTCCAAAACAGGACGAGGGTTGAGTCGGGGCATACTTGAGAAGGCTCTTCAGAAGATTATACGTCTCCAGCAAATTGTCGACATTCACATCGCGTAAAAAGGTAAAGTAGAGTTTCATAAAGGTCGGAAACGCGATCCAGGAGCTACTAGTATCTTTCGAGCGCGGGACCAGCCCTTCGCATCGTCGCAACAGGTCCGCCTCCTT